CAAGGGCTAGGGCCACTCCGGCCAGGCCGAGGCTAAGGTCCTGCCAGTCTGGCCTGGTGCAGCTGGGGCTGGGGTCCCACCAGCCGGCCAGCCCGACTCGGCTGGGGCTGCTAAGGCTGGGGAGCTTTCGGCCAGCCGCCAGGGTTAACGGTTAAGGTCCGGTTAACGGTAAGCCTAATGCTTAACCATTTAACCTTTTACATCCCCCCCCCCCCCACAGTTAATAATAGTTATATAGCCCAAAGTGGCCTATACCTTTTATAATTGTGTACAATTGTGCTAAGTGTCCCATAATAACTGGCATTAGCTGAAGTAAGTTTTGGCTTAAGTAGATAGGAAAATTGTCAGAATCAGTATATATGAGTGTTTTACCATAGCAACAGCTAGAGAGTTATTCCCACAGGCCAGTACTGGAATGTCCCAAAGGAAATGGACAAGATATATGTGTTTTCTACCCTGGTACAAATCAAGGAGATGCATTCACAGACTAGTACCTGGAATGCTAGTATCCAAAACAAACAAGGAAAGGAACATAAGTCAAGGAACTGGGATGGACTGCTGGGTTGGATTTTAGTGATGGGTCAAGAGTTTTATAACTTTTAAAATATCTTATAACTAGTCCTTGCTGCACTGTGTAACTTTGGGAGCTCACTTTCTGTGTAAGGTGAATGTAACATTGCTGTACAAGATGGCTTCCCAGAGACTGGTATCAAATAGAACTTTTTTTCTGTACAATATTATTATTGGCTTAGAGCAATAAACCTGACTGATGTTGCTTATTTGGTCTCTTGAATGTATTTCATAATGAAGCAAAGTAAGGTCGAGCAACTGACTATACAATTTATCAACAACTAAGAACCCAAAGAGAGGATTAGGAAAAACCTTTTCACTAGGAGGGTGCTGAAGCACTGGAATGCGTTACCTAGGGAGTTGGTGGAATCTCCTTCCTTTGAGGTTTTTAAGGTCAGGCTTGACAAAGCCCTGGCTGGGATGATTTAGTTGGGGATTGGTCCTGCTTTGAGCAGGGAGTTAGACTAGATGACCTCCTAAATTCCCTTCCAACTCTGATATTCTATGTTTTGCCCCAAATCAGCCAATCTTTGAGATATAGGTAAATGTGCAGTCCTTGTCTTCACAAATAAGCTGCTAAGATTGATAGGCATTCAAATAAAAACTCTTGGTGCCATGGAAAGGCCAAACTGTAATGCTCTGAGCTAAGTAGACAAGCACTTCACTGGGTAATGTACTGACTTTTAAGCATCTAATGGATGAGGCAGACAAGATTTTCATCGGGTGTCCTCTTGTTCTTGCTGTTCATCTCATTCTGTGAAGGTGCTGTGTTGTAGATACAAAACAGAAAGAAAGATGGCTGCCAAATGGGGGCGGGGGAGGAAGGGATTTATGTATCAGTCTAGGACTCTTGACTGTGGACTCAAACTTGCTCCTGAGGCCAGGTGTCATGTGATCAGCAACGGTAGGTGAGGCCGAACTTCTCCTTCTCTGGTTCCGAGGTCTTTTCTTGGGAGATTTTAAGGACCTTTTTGGGTAATGATATAAGGAGGCTGGTCTTTGCTGTGAAAGGTTTGAGGCCTAACCCACCTCTTCTGGGCTGGAATGTAGAGGCCTAAACCCAGATACTCAAAGGTCGTGTTCAACTTCCATTGGTTTCAAGAGGAGTGGAGTGCTTTGTCAATACTGGAGTTAAAAAGATCATGACCTCCCAACGGTAGGGTCTCAATTGTGCTGTGAATCTCATTTAGTTTGCCTAATGATTGCAGGCAGGATGCCTTGTGCGTGGTGACAGAAGTAGCCCTTGTCCTTGTGGCTAGGTCAAAAGCATCTAGTGCTACAGACAATACTGTCTTGGCAATCAGCTGACCTTCAGTATAAATGGACTTCAGTTCATCTTTTTGAGTCCTGTGTAAGTCTATCCACAAACTGGGAGATTTTGTCCAATCCGAGGTGATCATATTTCACTAGCAAAGCTTGATAATTTGCTATGTGAACCTGGAGGCTAGCAGAACTGATCTTCCTTCCAAATAAGGAAAGTTTCTTTGGCTATTTATCATCAGGCATCAATTTAGAAGGCTGGTACTATTTTGTTTTCTTGTGTACTGCAGCCACTAGTAGAGATCCAGGGACAGGGTGGATATAAAGACCCTTTTGGAGGGACTTGATAATTGTGATTTGTTCTTTTAGAAGTGGCTGCGATAAAGGCCAGGGTCTGACACAGATCCTGGCCAGCTCAAAGATGCCCTCATTAATGGGCTATTACTCTGCCTCCTTCACCACTAACAGGTACTACTGTGAGGGCCAAACTGTGCCCTGAGATACACAGGCCTGGGCCACCACCTCAGCTCATGTCACTTAGCATAGCTGTGTTGATTAACACCAGACATGGAGCTAATCCACCCCTGAAGCCATAACAGCACAGGTTGTAATCTAATCAAAAGTCATATACTATGCCAAGCTGGGCTTGGTAAGATTTTGATTCACTTTCAAGAAAAGCCCAGCAGCTGCCTGCAATAGTGCTAGGAATTCCTTACTCCTCCTGCTGCGTGAGTACAGAACCACTACCCCAGAATGGAGCTCGTGGACAAGCATAATTGGCCTCTTTCAGATGTGAGGTAAAATTAGGGTCATGACCAATTGTGTTCATGGGTTATGTGACCCAGGGTGCCTGGGCAGCCCTCACTGAAAATGCCAAGGGCAGGGCAGACTGCAAAAAGGAGAACAGATTCTCCCAAAGATGTGTGGTTAACACTGAAGTTAAATTCACCAACCAGTCACAAACTGTGCTCCTGATCCCCCACATTGGTTATCAAGAAGCACACAGGTCCAGTACAGGCAGAAGTTATTTGAAACTCTGCTCACTATACAAAATGTTCTTCTGACCCCAAAAGGCCAGCTACGTAACCAGGTCAATATTAGTTTGGATCTTACCCAACATACCACGCTGCCAGCCAATCCTTTAGTGTCTAAAACTCAAGGTTTATTATAAAAGAAAGAAAGAACAAGAAGAGAGTTGTTAAATGGTAAAGCAATCACATACATAGAGACTTCAAAAGTCCATACATCAGATTCTTAGCAGCATTGGTGAGTTTGCTGGCTTGAAAGTCCCTCTGGAACACACCCACAGTTTGAAAGGGTAATTCAGTCCTTTGCAGTGGTGCAAGTAGGACCCATTTCTTACCAGTACGGGGGTGGGGGGCACCAGCTAAAGGGGGGATGTGACCTTCCCACGTGACCCTCCATGTGACTTCTCTCAGCCCGGGGCCCCCATGCTCTCCCCATCCCCTCCCCATGATTCATCCCACATCACTGGGGCAGGGGCTCTGTCCTTCTCCTGCTGCCGGAGGAGCTGCCGGCGTTCTGCAGAACCCCCAGCCCTGCCCCCTGCCCTGCCACGGAGCTGCATCTCCTCTGGCGCCATCTGTACAGCAGCAGCCCTGCTGGAGGACAGGGCTGGGGGTTCTGCCCCTTTCCCCGCTGGGAGGGGCAGCAGGGAAAGGAGCACAACTCCAGCAGCAGTACTGCCCCCAGCCTCCCCCTGCCAGCCCCGTCCTCCAGCAGGGCTGCTGCTGTACAGACGGAGGAGACGCAGCTCTGTGGAAGGACAGGGGGCGGTACAGCCACGCCAGAGGAGCTCGGCTCCTCCTGTGTCTTTCCGGTACACCGTACCGGCTATAAATACCCTGCTGGCATGGCGTGCCAGACCGGACCGCCCTACTTGCACTGCTGGTCCTCTGTTCAGAGCTTCAGTCTGCTGAAAAGTTCCTCCAGAGGTGAGAAGCAGGAATGAAGACAAAATGGCCTTTTAATATCCTTTGCCATGTAGGGTGACCAGACAGCAAATGTGAAAAATTGGGATGAGGCTGGGGGGTAATAGGAGCCTAGATAAGAAAAAGACCCAAAAATCGGGACTTTGGTCACACTATTGCCATGTGGCCTTTGTCCCAAACACAAGCCTCACAGCACGTGGCATGGAAAAGCCTTAGAGTTCTGCCCAGAGGCATGCCCCTGCTTGTCTTGATGACTCATAAGGTATAGTCCTTGGCTTTTTCAATGGGTTCATTGTACAGCTGATGACCCTTTATGGGCCATCAAACCGGCTAGGCAGAGCTGATGCTAATCTGTCTGGGGGTGTCACCCAGAAACAAGCACAAGTTTGGAAATACAGCAATACCCTATGTATCTATGTCTCAGAATACAAAGGTGATAAAAATATATAAACAAGATTATCATACTTGGCAAATTGTAACATTTTCACAGATATCTTACACAGCATATCTGGTCCGATTCCTTGCAATTTTATATTATTGGCATCAACAATATCCTGAAGTGTCTCCCATATTCCATACAGCATCACAGGTTATCCCACAGTTACTTTTCATAAGAGTAGTACAATCAAATCTCGTGTCCTGGTCAGAGTCCATTGTTCAGGATGACATTCTGCATACCTCAAATCCCCTCTGCAGTTTCAGGTGGATTCAGTCTGCTTTACTTCCTGTCATAAATTACCATATGGTGGAGGTGCGTATTGGTAAACCGCTGCTGCGTACCGTAGCAGCAGAGGCTCCATATGAGTGGTGGGGGAAGAGAGAGGAGCACCACTAAGCCCTTCATCCACAAGATGTCACGTCCATCTTCTGTGGTTGGTGGTACGGTAGGTACGAGGCACCTGTCCCAGCTCCGTGGCTCTCAGAAGTCATTCCTAGCACCAGAGATGTGGGACAGGCCCTGATTCCCTCCACACAAACCCCTGCTCTGAGCTGCCTCAAGGGACACTAATATAAACCTTCCTTGACCTGGGACCAGTGCTCCCTGCACAACAAGCCTTCCAAACACAGGTTTCAGCCATGTGGCACCCAGGCAGTCTTCTAAAGGCTAATGAGTGGGGGCTGGTCGGGAACTTTTGAAAAAAATTTTGTCAGAAAATGCTGATGCATCAAAACTGGCACTTTTTGCTGAAACCTATCCGTGTCAATGCAGCTTCCATAGGGAAGGCGCCTTGGGTCCAGGGTGGAATTTCTGGTCAAAACCAGAGTTCACCTCAGAGATTAGACAATACCCTGTAATTATAAGCCTCACCTGGGAGACCTTCAAGTTCTTCCTGTCAGTCAGACAGAAGAGGGACTTGAACCTGGCTCTCTCCTAGACTGGGCTGTAGTGGGGCCAGATTGCACTGCAATGGCATACCTGCATTTTTGCTGCACGGAGAACAAAATGGCATTCTCCAAATGGCATCCTCCACTTAGCATGACCTCTCATGCACTATTCAGGACTACACCACTACTCTTATGTCAGGGGAGTGCCCTAACCAAAAGGCTATTCTGGAGTGGGGCCTAATCAATCACTCCTGTTGGAGTTGTTCCATTTTGTATAAATTAAATATTCATTGGGCCACAAAAAGCAATAGACAGACTCTGTAGTCCAATGGCTAAGGTACTCACCTGGACTGTATGAGACTCATGTTCACATCCCTGTGCTGAATCACACTCTGATGGGGTGGTGCTGGGTGTCTTTTCTTTTTTTGAAACTTCTTGATTTCATCCCAGGGTTGAATGGAAAAAGAGTTGTGAACCTTTTTGAGAGTTCAATGGATAGGAAAAGCAGTTCCTACCCAGCTCTGAGAAAGAAGCATGGGGCAAACCTCAAAGGCTAGGGGTCTGGATTTGATAAATAGCCAAACTCCCATCCCTGTGCTCTGGACCATGAGACCTGAATAAACTTAGAGATGTGTTGCTTCCATTTATAAAATCAAGGAGAGAGAAAAGGCAGACTATAGAAAAAGTATTCGTGGCCATACCACAACTTGATGCTAGAGGGTGCTGCAAGTCCACAATTACCAGTATAGGTGGAAACTTGGCATTCCCCAGCCCCTTCCATCACTTTTCAAGTTCTTTGCAGCCCTACTGTCATCTTCTCTTCATCTTCACTGTGTGGGTGACCATAGGATGGGGGAAGAGGCCAACCTGGAGAATGGACGGGTCTCTTTATAGCCATTTTGGAAGCTCCCCATTTCCTTTTTTCTCTCCATCTGGGGACTGGGCAGAGAAGGGGTTGTAACTGAATGCAACCCCTCTCCCACCTTTACAGAATTATAAAGGGTGGTGGAGATGACAAGAGAAACAGTGAAGGAGCAGTAGTGACTGCTGTACAAGCAGAACCTGCAAGCTTGCATGAGATTTGCATACCATGCATGCAGAAGGGGGAAGGTTTGAAAAGACCCACAGGGAAGGACCTATCATGGAGATGAAACAAATTTTCCCTGAGTGCAGTGATCACATCAGGCAGAGTCATCTTTGTTGGTGCTGCTAATGGAGACCTCTTATCGAATTCATATTGAATTCCCTTCCCAGCATGAGTGCTGAGAGGAGGTGAAAGACAGGCAAGTGCTGTAGGGGAACTGCCTTAAACAAGACAGTAAGTTCTGGGGAAAGGAGGAGAGAGGGGAAAGGGGCTGGAGGTGAAAAAGAGTAGTCTGGGACAGGAGGATGGAACTGGGGGACAGAGAATGATGGTATCCTGCTACCAACTCAGAAATGGACAGGGATACAAAAATGAGCCTATCAAGTCCACGAGAGCTCCTTCGAGACAGACACTCAGGCTGTTAGCTTGGATGACACTTGTATTCCTTGTCATGTCAATAATGTTATTGAAGTTAGAGCTTGGGAGAGAGAGTATGAGAGGGCCAGACATGGGCAAAAAGCATCCTTGGATATGAGAGAGAACTGGGACAGAGATGGCCTTTGAGAAGGAGGGGCTGGAAAGAGACACGGGGAGGGAGCTGGAAACAGATTATTATTATTAGGGCTGCCAAGCAATTAAAAAAAATTAGTTGTGATTAATTGCATGATTAATTGCACTGTTAAACAATAATAGAATACCACTTATTTAAATATTTTTGGATGTTTTCTACATTTTCAAATATATTGATTTCAGTTACAACACAGAATATAAAGTGTACAGTGCTCACTTTGTATTTATTTTTATTACAAATATTTGTGCTGGAAAAAAAACAAAATAAATAATATTTTTCAATTCACCTAATACAAGTACTGTAATGAAATCTCTATCATGAAAGTTGAACTTACAAATGTAGAATTATGTACAAAAAATAACTATTCAAAAATAAAACAATGTAAAACTTTAGAGAGTCTACAAGTCCACTCAGTCCTACTTCTTGTTCAGCCAGTCACTCAGAAAAACAAGTTTATTTACATTTACAGGAGATAATGCTGCCCGCTTCTTGTTTACATTGTCACCTGAAAGTGAGAACAGACGTTCACATGGCACTGTTGTAGCTGGCGTTTCAAGATATTTATGTGCCAGAGGCACTAAAGATTCATATGTCCCTTCATGCTTCAACCACCATTCCGGAGGACATGCGTCCATGCTGATGACGGGTTCTGCTCGATAATGATCCAAACTGGAGTGGACCGATGCATGTTCACTTTCATCATCTGAATCAGATGCCACCGGCAGAAGGTTGATTTTCTTTTTTGATGGTTCGGATTCTGTAGTTTCCGCATCAGAGTGTTGCTTTTTTAAGACTTCTGAAAGCAGGCGCCACACCTCTCACCCCTCTCAGATTTTGGACGGCACTTCAGATTCTGAAACCTTGGGTCAATTGTTGTAGCTATCTTTAGAAATCTCACATTGGTACCTTCTTTGCATTTTGTAAAATCTGCAGTGAAAATGTTCTTAAAATGAACAACATGTGTTGAGTCATCATCCCAGATTGCTATAATATGAAATACATGGCAGAATGTGAGTAAAACAGAGTAGGAAACATGCAATTCTCCCCCAAGGAGTTCAGTCACAAATTTAATTTACACATTATTTTTTTAACGAGAGTCATCAGCATGGAAGCATGTCCCCTGGAATGGCTGCCAAAGAATGAAGGGCATAGGAATGTTTAGCATATCTGGCATGTAAATACCTTGTAATGCCTGCTACAAAAGTGCCCTGTGAACACCTGTTTTCACTTTCAGGTGACATTGTAAATAAGAAGCCGGCAGCAGTATCTCCCGCAAATGCAAATAAATTTGTTTGTCTTAGCGATTGGCTGAACAAGAAGTAGGATTGAGTGGACTTGTAGGCTCTAAAGTTTTACATTGTTTTGTTTTTGAATGCAGTTCTGTAACAAAAAAAAAATCTACATTTGTAAGTTGCGCTTTCATGATAAAGAGATTGCGCTACAGTATGAGGTGAATTGAAAAATACTATTTCTTTTGTTTATCCTTTTTACAGTGCAAATATTTGTAATGTGACAGGGTCAGGCCAGATGGCTACAGGAGAGTGATAGAAGACATATATTAGCCCCAGGTTGAGTAGGTCACCTTTCCCTGGGTAAGGCAACAGGGAAGGATCCAGAACAATCAGGAACTTTCTGGAAACAATTAAGACAGACAGGTTGATTAGAACACCTGCAGCCAATCAAGAAGCTGCTAGAATCAATTAAGGCTGGCTAATCAGTGCACCTGAGTTTAAAAAGGACCTCACTTCAGTTTGTGGCATGCGCGTGAGGAGCTGGGAGCAATAGGCACTAGGAGCAGAGAGTGAGAATGCGTACTGCTGGAGGACTGAGGAGTACAAGCATTTTCAGACACCAAGAGAAAGGTCCTAGGGTGAGGATAAAGAAGGTGTTGGGAGGAGGCCATGGGGAAGTAGCCCAGGGAGTAGTAGCTGTCACACAGCTGTTCCAGGAGGCACTCTAGACAGCTGCATTCCACAGGGCCCTGGGCTAGAACCCAGAGTAGAGGGCGGGCCCGGGTTTCCCCCAAACCTCCCAACTCCTGGTCAGACACGAGTTGACCTGGACTGTGGGTTCACGAAAACGGCCAAACTGAGGGCTGCCGTGAATCTCCGAGGCAAGCAAATCCTCCAATAAGCGCAAGACCCACCAAGGTAGAGGAGGAACTTTGTGACAGTTTTTTAAAATAATAATATAAAGTGATCACTGTACACTTTGTACTCTGTGTTGTAATTTAAATCAATATATTGAAAAATGTAGAAAAACATCCAAAAATGATTAATAAATTTCAATGGGTATTCTATTGTGTAACAGTATGATTAAAACTGCGATTAATCATGATTACTTTTTTAATCACGTTTAATTTTTCTTTATTTAATTGCGTGAGTTAACAGCGATTAGTCAACAGCCCTAATTATTATCTATATTGTGGGAGGCCTCGCTGCCCCAGTCAAGGATCATTGTGTTGGGTGCTGTATGCACTCATCATGAAAAGACAGACCCTGCCCCAAAGAGCTTATAATCACATGAAAGGGTGTAAGGGGCTAGAGCAGAGCTCATGATGATCCCCTGGCCATGATAGCTAAGAGAAGGTGTCTTTTTAAATTATGTGAGCATGTTATAATCCAGCCAGCAATTTACGGTTCTAGAAAATAAAACACTTGATTTTAAATTTGAGTCATTTAAGAACATTAAACACAACATTCACTTTAGAACTTTTTTTGTTTCTTTTCTCAAAACACTAGCACTTTATTTTTTATATGTTATTTATATAAAGCTCTGGAATCCTCTGCAACTAGGAACCTTTGACAAATTCTCCTTCTGTCTCTAACAGCACTCAAAAATATACAGGTGCTAAAAGGTGAGAGATCAGTTCATCCCCCAGACAGCTGGGCAGAGACAGATGTGCTAGAGAGCTCTGTCACAGCAAACACCGCCGGGGGCTGACAGCATGGCACTACACAGGTGGCAAAGGCAAACCTGGGAAGCCTGCCCCAAGCAAAATGTGAGACAAAAAGACCACGAGGGAAAGGCAAAAAACAGTATCTGAACTATTCAACACTTATCAATTAAACTCTCTTTACCATGAGGGCGGGACCCACATTTAATTGTGGAGGGAGGTGAGAGAGACTGGCTCTAACAATAACACCTTGTGATTGTACCGAGGTCTCCATCTGAGTATCTCATTGCACTGTACAAACATTCATTCAGTCTCACAACAATGCTGTCAGGTAGGTAGGGATTAATTCCATTTTACAGATGGGCGAGGAGGCAGCATAGAGGAGTCAAGTGATGAACAGAAGGCCTCACAGCGAGTAGGTGGCAGAGTAAGGTCTCCTGATTGCTAGTCCCCTGCTCTTACCACTAGACCACTCTGCATTTTGGCCTATGAGCCATAGGACTAGTGACAAACAGTGGGGCAGTATCTAGTCTGGTTTGTTTTGGGGATCTGGATGGCAGTGGCTCCAAGACAGGCAGCTCAAGCTGTAGAAAGCAAATTGCAATGGCTGGGCATCAAGAAACCCTCTAGTTTTGTCCTCTTACTGCTCTCAGTTTGACTCTTCTCTTCCATACTGCACGTGCCACACGTCTCACGTTCAAGGTCACAGCATCTACTGAAAGGTCAGGAAGAACAACTACAGACAACAAGAAGGGCTAGGTAGTAAAACAAGATTGGGATAGCAGGTTCTCCCTGCCTCAGTCCAGGCAGAGCACGGGGTTCTCCAGGAAGACGGCGAGCTTGCCTGCCACTAGGTCCAGGTCGCTGGTGTTGGCATACTTGAGCAGGTTGGTGCCCCTGACGAAGTAATGCTTCAGGAAGTGCTGGCTCACGCACTTGTGCAGCTTCTGCACCATGCGCAAGAAGCCTTCCCGGAAGCAGAGCCAGTCCTTGGTGCGCGGGTACTTCTCGCATGTCCAGAACAGCACCATCTGCAAGAGGCAGATGGGAGGGAAGGAGGAAGGAGAGATGTTACAGGGATGCTGCCAAAGATTCACACAATTAGCGAAGGTAATTTTTCTGCTGATGCAAAGTGCTGTAGTGACTGCCCTGATGACTGAAGGCAATGGCAACGCAAGTGTCTCCTGCCACTTTACCTCCCCCCGACACAGAGGGATCATGCTAAGCCAATCCTAGCCCTCCTCTCCAGTTACCATACCAACAAGGATACCAGTGGTTCACCAGGGGCTGGGGAGTGAGACCCACCAAATTCATTTCAGAGAGGCCACCAAACAGCCATCCATTGGGAACAATTTTCAGTCACTACTGACCTCGGCGGGCTTGGAACCAGTGACCACCACCAGCATTCACTGTGTGACCCTGGACAAGTCACTTCCCCTTTCTGTGCTTGTTTCCTACCTCTGTACTTACCTTGCTATCTCAGAGATGGTTCCGAGCATGACCCGGTAAAAACTTTGAGCTCCTCAGACAGCAGTCTCAGTAGAAATGTAAAGTGGGTTAGGTTGTAGCAGGCAAAGTAGAGTATAATATAGGATATTGGTCAAGAAATAGTGTGTGATCATGCGGTTGAAAGCTGTACTGTGATGCATATGGGGACTTAAGGTAGCACGGGCAGCCTTATCTCTGAGGCTGCCTGACTTGTGTGTGTTTACCTGTAACTGTGCAACCATAATGTTCTTGTAACAAATCTTTTTGTATGGAATGTAGACAAACAACAATTCTCACACCATGTAAGGAAAATAGATTAATGGGATGAGGGTCGTTACCTTGGGTGTTCGCTAGGGGGCACTATAGCCACTTAGGCCAATTATTGTATTGTAATTGTTGCTACAGGCCTCCCGCAGGAAAGACACTGTGGCTGCTGCTCTCTCCTGATGACAGTATATTCCCCTGCCCCCCTCAGACCTCACCACTCTTGCCTGCTATACACACCTGTAGGTGATAGGTCGTCAGGACTGGCTTATTTCCTGTACACCAGACATCCTCCTTCATTTGTCTCATGACCCGGAAGCACTTCATGCGGCAGCCACCGTCCTCGTCAAGGCCCTCTATCAGCATGCGCTCAGCTCGGGAGAAGCCCAGCTGCCAGTGGTAATTGGAGCGGGCCAGGAGATTAAAGCCAAATGACTGCAGAAGAAAGGGGGAGAAGCTACAGAAGGGGAGATACAAACTTATCGTCAGAGCAGCATGAAGGGAGGATAAGGGAAGGATCCACTGCACCTGCCTTTTACCGCTTGAGATCAGGTTGTGCATTATGGACTGAGTTACAAGGGACAGCAAGTTTGGGTTTCCTAATTCCCAGTGGACGTCTGTCCACATCAAACCAGGCCAGTTCCTCACACATGGATATTACTCACTCCAGAGAGACCCAGCTCCAAAGCAGAAGGGGGAGCTGCAAGCAGTGCTGCACTGGCAGAACTGTCTGGGGATGTGGTAATGGAACAGCAGGGCCCACTGCACATCAGGATGAAGAGGCAATTGAGTTACATGGGAAATCCCTGTACTAGAACAGCAAGAATCAAGCAACATTGTTCACTATGTCAGGATCGAGGTGGCCAGAGCTCTGCCAGGGGTGTAAGACCGGACTTACCATGGACAGGGCAGGACAAGATGGAGGGGCATGTGCAGAGAGGGGTGTGTGTGGGACAGTAAGAGGCAGAGTGAGAAGACCAGAACAACAAGGATGGTGCTGGTCAGGATTGAGTGGCATTCGCAGAGCTGAGGGAGAGGCGTGGGGAGTCTTGCTCAACATCTGTCTATACAGTTTCCATACATTATCAAACCTGCACAGGATTCACAAACACTAATATTAAGAAACCTAGTACACTTAAAAACATCTGAATACTTAGAAATGCTTATACTAAAGAAAGTAGCCCTTCTGGGCATTTAAGAAGCATGACTCTTTCTCAAGCTCTTTCTAGGTCTGATTTCAGGTCAGGAAGATCATTTTAGATGGATACAGAACAGGGAGACCTGAAACCTTAAGACTGACCCCCCTAGAAAGAGAATGATGCCACTAATTGGAAATCCAGTACTGGCTGCTTGGCACGCCTCCTCCTCTGGGGAGCAATATCTGCAGACTATGGAAGTCAACAGAGCTCTCAGTGCCTGATAGAAAATGGTCTCTTCCTCCCCATAAAGGGCCTGGTTCTCCCATCTTGCACCTTGTGTTATTATTTACATCTGTGCCAAATGAGTGACAAGTGGGTAGAAAATGCTGCTGTTCTGATTTGGGTCAAGCCACCCTGACAACAGTGTGCCTCAACTTTTGTGCTTCTCAGAAGCATTTGACACCGATATCGTCTGAGAGTTCCAGCAGGTTTCCCAGCTCTCAGTTGGGAGAGGTTTTCGACAATATGGTAAGACCTTTCACAGCGTTACTGGCCCTTTAAGTCCCCCTCCTGTGCCAACCTGCTTTGTACCTTGATGCACTGTACTTTCTCCTGGGAAGGCCAGCGCTTGAAGCAGCGGGGCCACCGGGCTCTCTCAGGCCAGCAGGTTGGGATTTCCACAGTAGGGACCAGCTCCACCTCTACCTGAGAGTCTGGTGTCTCCACAGCAACTCGGACCACTGAGCTGAAACTCTCCAGAATGCTGACTTTACCTGGGAAGGAAAGACGAGAGGAGATGATAAAGACAGGGCTGACCTTATGCATAGGCCAAGCAAGAGGCCGTTTGGGGCTATGTATCCCTTGCAAACCCTGCCCCTCATGGACCTGCTTCCACTCTCACTTTCCAACAGTGGGACCAAAGAAAACAACTCACCACCTGGATCCCCCCCGTGGCACCAGGACAAGAGGAGGAGGGGGCAGCAACTCAACATCTTGTTTCCCCCTCAGCCTCGACCCTTTGTCTGTGTGGGGCCAAGCACATCACAAGACCAGCCCAAGATAAAGAGGAGCAGAATTGCTGCAACCTAAATGTCTTCAGCAACCCACTGGCATAAGAGGCAGCAAGGGAGCTCAGTGAGTCTGAGTGGAGAAGAGTCTCGATTGAGCCCTCGGCTTCAAAGATCCCCTCCTCTTTAGTGGAAGTCTAGATCCATGAAACTCTGTTGTGAGGCGTATCTCTGCCCCTAGTGGTTATTAAGGCTATTGGGAGAGTTAGGCATACTCTGGTCTGGCTGGGAACACCCAGGGAAGCCAACTCCTGTGGACAGTCTGACCAGTCTGAAGTGACGATGGCAAACTGAGGCACTGCAAAGCCTCCAAATCTGCTACTGCGTGGCAAAGAGGCAACAGTGAAGTCAGGGAAGTGTTCAGGTAACTTAAGCTGTCTTTGACAGAGTTTGTCCTATTTGAAACCAGTTAATCACACTGTCCTACTTCATTCCCTTTCTTCTCCCATCTGTTGTGTTCCAGAGGAGTCAGCACCATATGCCCAGACATCTTTGATGAACCAAACAGTTTTGGAGCTGTTGCTTTATAGAATGCTAGGTTTTCACCCTGACCCCTTGCCTTCCACATAAGTAAAATATCTGAGGCAAGAAACCAAAACATTTGACTTTCTGCCAAGCCATAGCATCTGCTTGGTGGTGGGATTTTTTTTTCTTACCACTCCATCTCCCTCAATAGTAATAAATATTTGCTATAGGAGTGAGTTGCTAAATGAATTGGTTGAACACTGAGTTTGATGTTAACAGGTCTCTCCAGGATCTTGCAAGACCAAAATCCAGAGTTACATTTGGGTAGGGAAAGTGGAATCTGTGTGTTTGCAATGCCGGGATGCAGTGTCATCACACTGAAAGGAAAAGTTGTCCTTAGAAGAGAGGCATCATGGTCTGAGGTCGGCCTTGGACAAGATATAATCGATGTGCCTCAGTTTCCCCAGCAAAAGAATGGAGATAATCATACTTACTCACATCAGAGGGTGTGGGTTTAATAAGTTGAAGCCAATAAAGTGCTTCAAAGATGACAATTGGTAAGTATGATTATTATTAAGGTGGCCTCCCATAAGCTAGCAGTTAGAGGTGTCTGCAGCCACAGCTCTAAAGGAGTGTTTAAAACACAGCACAAAGCACATCAAATCTGCAATCAATTCTTCAATTTCTTTTGTATGGAAGGCTGGGATGTAAACACATATTTTGGAGCTGCCTATGAGAGGTAGCAGCAATGTTGCTGAAAGTGACCCTGGGTGACATTACTTCGAAGCAGGATGGGGTGGGAGCAGCCTGGGCATAGCCAATATTGGTCTAAAGTCTGAATAAAGATAAAGGGTTTTGCACAAGGAGAAGATCTGCCACCCAGCCACTCAACTCTACAAGCCGCCAAGCTATGAAAGCCTGGGGCTTCTCTAGGGGAATACTCACCTCCAAGCAGTGGTGCCTGCAGCCGAACGTACATTACACACGGTGCAGGCCACTGGCAGGGGTGGCAAGTAGTCAGCGTTGGGCCCTTCCCAGGGCAGGAACAGTGCTGGCTGCCCCACCGCCCACTCAGGTTTGACCCCGCCGGCCCTGCATCATGATGGGAGGGCAGCAGTGCCAAAACAGAGTGAGCGGCATTGCAACATGGTGTACGGGGGTTGTAGCACTATTCAGGTTTGGCACCACAACCCCTGCATCCAAACCCGAGCGGCACGGCAACCCCCATGCACCAGGTCGCAATGATACTCACTCAGTTTCGGCCCTGCCGCTCTCTCGTCCCTGCCATAATTGAGCAGTCGTGGGGCCAAACCTGAAGGGGCAGCGCGGCAGCCAGCACTGCTCCTGCTCACCACTGCCATGGGGCTGGCTCCTGCACCAGGCTCCCTACCCAGCCTCACCCCACAGCAGCCCATGTCCCCTCTGCTCTGCCCACAGGATACACTGAGTGACAGCCTTGAGAGCTGGCTGGGAGTGGGCAGCAGGGAGTCTTGGGGCGTACCATGTCAAAAAATACCTGAGGGTGCCCCTGGCTCCCAGTACCATTCCCAGTCCTCTCTCCGTTCACTGTCCTAACCTTCATCCACACCAGAGAGTGTCTTTCTGGTTGGTCTAGGCCCACAAAGGAATGGACTTAAACACCAGCTGGTCATGGACACAGGTTTCAACCTCAGCTGCCTTCATTTAAAGACATTTGTAGGCAAGAGGTACCAGTTCTTGCCCTCTGCAGAGGGCACAAGGACACCCCATGGAAGCTCTGCAGCTTGGGCTGGAGAAGCCTAGAAGGCCTATCGGACCCACATAATTTCTGGCCCAGCAGAAAGAGGTTATTTTCTGAAAATTTAGGCAAAAGAAAATGTTGATTTTTTTGGGGTGGTGCTGAGGGAGGACGGGGTCCGAATTCATAACAGAATCCAAACATCCCTGAGCACTGAGAGCTTGTAATCTGAACCTGGGTCGGGAGGTCTTACTTGTGCAAATGGACCTCATCTTCATCAAGGGCCAGTGTCTCCTCAACTCTGGCGTGTGTGAGCCAATCTCTGCTCACAAGGAGTGAGGCAAGTGGCCTAACACCCGCTAGGGGTAGTGATCACAGTCCCGTCAGAGGACTGCATTTGAGAGGCAGACTCCCTTCACATCTTTCCCGCTCAACTCACTGGAGAGGTGACAGGAGGTAATTGACTTCTCCATCAGCTCCCTGAAGATGGCAAGGACCTTGGCTGGAACGAGATCACCTTCGATGTTCACCTCTGTCTCATGCCACTGCTGCAGACTCTTTGAGAACTGCTCCACCTCCAGCCACTGCTGCAGCTCCTCTGGGTCCCGTACTGGGGAAAGGAGCTTTGCTCCATGCACGGTGTAATACCGCCAGTGCCGTACCTGGCGCTCCCGGTACCCTGTCAGGCCGCGCAGTGGGACTGTGATGAGAAAGTGGCTGGGCGCTAAGACCTAGAAGAGTTCAGAGAGATTGAGAGAGGAAATGAGGGCAGATTTACAACCTGGATGTGGGAAACATGGTCACAACAGGTAGAATCACTGGGGCTTCTAAGCAAAAGGGAAAGTCACGCTGGAATGGAAGCAGCTCCGTGCAGATAGGTCCTACTCCAGGCCTATCTGGCTAGGACGCGGTCTTAGAATAAAGCTAGAGGCTAGAATGTGGCAGCCATGTGCTATTTAGGTTCACAAAACAAGAAAACTGTCATTAGAAGGAAGCTGAAGTGACCATCACAGGCAATGCTACCAACGTCAAATTGGAACACCATTGGCTGATTTGTTACCTCTCCCTCCACCTTCCCCTCCTTACCCTTCGTTGGATCCATAATCTTCCATGGTTAGCTCTGCAATTGCAAAAGATGCAGTTACAGAGAGAGATGCTAGGATGGAAGGCAAGATATGTGTAAATTATTGCCTGAGTATTCTTTCTAGAGATGGGCCAAGAGATTGCTAGTAGTAGTAGTAATGTCAATGCTCACTTCTCTAGCCCCTTTCACCCAAGAATCCAAAAGTCCCTTAAAGACATTAGTAAAATAAGCCTTTTACAGCCTGCTTTGTGGTGGGGAAATATTGTCCCCATCTTACAGATGGGGAAGCTGAAACAGAGAAAAGTGAAGTGACTTTCCCAAGGCCACAGAATGAGTCAGTGGCAGAGCCAGGAAGAGAATCCAGTAGTCTGGTCACCTATGTCACATGGAATTGTTTCTGCTCTTTGATTGGGTGACAAACTTTTAAAACATGAATGTAATAAACAAGGTGATAAATAACAAATAGCCACTAGTCTTGTTTGCATATCAATACGGTCTTCATATGAAGAACAGCCATTCTCCAATAAAAAACTCTTTGTGAATAGTGAATTAGCAGGGGAATGAACATAGTCAAACCTATTAGCTACTCAGAATTTGAACAAATGTTTCCTAACACTGTTTTTGGAGATTTTAAACCATCTCAGCTCTCTCGGTCCAAACAACGTGGCTAAAACATCCAGATGTTTACCACTCTGAACTCTGAAGCTTTTCAGCTTTGCTTATCACTAATCATAACTCACCCTGACATTATTAGAGGAAAACCTATGAGAGAAACAGAATCTAAACTGACAGCAATTGCTGGAAGGTGGTTACCCCAAGGTAAACAAAACACTATGCCATTCTCCAGTAATGGTCCAAAGCACTGTAGTAACACTTTTGGTAGCTCCACTCACTTAGGGTATTGCTACTGAACACGGTAGGATTTTTTTTAAACCGAGACTACCAGCAGGAAGCATAGAAATGGCAAATGCAACAGCGGAAACCTTTGCTTAGTCAAATCCAGTTCACCGTTTATATAAGGGCAGGAGGAGGAAAGAGGACAGTCACCACAGGAAATTTCAGAACAAAATGGACCCCACAAGAAATTTTTTTTTTTGTCTCTGGATGTTGAGAAATAAGCAAAGCCAATCTAGGATCTACATGCTACACTCATTAAGAACAGAATACAGCAGTTTTCATGGGATGACTGGCTTATTTTACAGTGCATCTCCTTAAAATTACATCTGCACAGAAAAAATCATGCAGGACAGAATCCATTTTTCCCCCAGCCTTTTCCTGTTCTAAGATGTCTGCTTTTACCTGCTCACCCTGATTGTAATGTAATTGTTCGGATGTAACCTGGGAACCACAAATGCTCCCCTCCTAGTGAATTACTGGTGATCCACAGGCTAAGAAACACTAGTCCAGTGATCCGAGCCAGATCCCAGGCCCTAATGCGAACTCAGCCATTGCTTAAGCCTTGCTCAGACTGAGATTCACTTGTCACTTCGAATTACTCTTAAAGTGTTGTAAGGCCTCTCTCACTCATGATGACTGATTCTCCTGCAGTGTGTTTCAAGGAGATATTTTAAAATCTCACTTCTTCAAGCTGTCCTGGCTTGCGAGAGAATCTCTGTGTGGCCTCGGGGCAGGGCTGCTTTGTGCCACATGATCACTCCTGCCTCAAACATTGGGCTTAAAACAACAGCAGGGCCTCAGTGAATGAAATATCATTGAATCTGTGCTGGGTAACGTCATACATGAATCTCACTTTTCAGAAGGCTGGAGATGCGGTGAGCAAGCCCCAGTGTATTGAACAACCACGTTGCCATTCCCCAACTTTCAAAAATCATGAGTCGAGCCATAAGAGATCATGAGATTTAAACAAAATAGTAATATTCTGGGGGGTTCTTTATATTCACCTTCTGGTTTCTGAGCCCCGGGGGCTGCACTCAAGTCGTGCTTTCAAACTTTTATCTGCAACCGGGAGCACTAGAAATGTACTTTTTTGTTTTTCAAATGAAACCTGAGATTCTCATGGAATCACAAGACTCCTGCAGATGGGGCTTTAGCAGAAAACACCAAATATCAAAAGACTCCAGACAGAATCACGAGAGTTAGCAATAACGGAAGAGGTGCATTCACATTGCAGCCCATTGGCTAAATAGGACTCACACCCACCTTTGTCTTTCATATGGACATTCTGTGCCTGCTGAATTTACTACAAGCCCCAGCATGCCATGTACCACTTTTATCTGAGCAAAGCCACTGGGAGCAAACTAGAACAATTATGCTGGCACCTGTAGTCTGCTGCCCATTCTCCTGTATTAAAAACAGTTGGTACAGTTATGCAAATTAGGTGCAGCCCAGCCCTTGGGCTCCTGGCAAAATACAAAGCATTCCTTAGATGGGTACCTCAGTATAGCAAGAAGGAAGCAGTAAGTTAGAAACAAGAGTCCTGTGCTCAGAGCTCCCTTGCAAGGAGGCTGGGAAGGTCAGAGGGGAGATTAGCTATGCGGGTGAGGGATCTAGTGTTTGGAGAAGAGGAATGGATGAGGATGAAGCAGGCATGGGGGCAACTGTTTGGAGGAGTCTGTGTGAGGTATTTGTACCTGGACAGATGGGTGAAATGGGCGTTTCCCCCGAAGCAGAGCGGACCACTTGGCCAGTAAAGCTAGCTGATCCTGAGAGAAGCAGAGAGGAAAATAAGAAGTACATGGAGAGAAAGCACGTGCCATACAGTTAGTTCTTGCGGCATTTTGGAGTTTCCGCTGAGCCTAATAATAAAGAAAAGGTTGCACAGCTATTGTCCACAGAGAAAATACACTATAGGCCTTATCAGTGCTGGTGGGAAGTGCTACAGCTCTGGAGGGGGTGCTAAGCTGTCCAGCTCTGCCTCACCAACACCCCTCAAGCTGTCCCACCTGCCCCGGATTGACCACCCCTACTGCAGGAGGGGAGTCCCATCTCTACAGCTTGTTTAATCTGTAGGATCTGTGTTGAGGCCACCAACATGGTGTCAACTGTGTGATGGTGGTTTTGCAATCTGGAATCTCTCTGCCAGGAACTGAATTGAGACCCCCTAAACTCCTTTTGTACAGGCAATAATATTTGAATCAGTGACCTATATGTGAAAGGCTTGAGACCTGATTAAATCTCTCCCTGTGTAATCTACCAACTGGACAGATATTGCCACTAGAGTACTATTTCCTGATGACAACCATGGGGTATGTTCCCTTTTCATTGGGTGTAAGAGGTATTACTTACCTGTAATTGTTGTTTTCTGAAATTCTGACCTGTATATAAATTCACATTCTTGGGCCTGTTATAGCTGCTATCTCTGAAGAACTCCCACTGGCAGGCATAGGAAATAAACAGTGCAAATACTGGGCAGGGAGATGAAAATAAAGCCCTTTTCTGAAGAATAAACCATGTCCACACTGGAGCATCTGGCTACCAGGAGCAGGTAGATTGGCTTTGGCAAGAGCCTTTGACATACTTGCACTAAACAGTTTCTGGGTAGAGCTGATCAGAAATTCTTCAACAAATGATTTTCTGTCAAAAAATGCCAATTTGTCAAAACTAAAACTTTTTGTGAAAGGGAAAGGGTCAGTTTCGACAAATTCCTCCTCTTGACAAATTGAAAAAGTTTTGAAATTGTTGAAATGAAAAAAGTTCCATTTTTTTGGTTCAACATGGACTTTTCGTTTCCGAGTTTAAGTTAACTTATACTAAAAATAGTTTTTAAAATAAAAAAGGTCAAAATCAAAAGAAATCTTATATTTTATCAAAACAAAATGTTTCAGTTGACCTAAATTGATTTCCCCCTCCCAGGTATTTAGTTTGTGAACATTTTCAAAACGTTGACTTTTTGTCCTGATTCAGGATGAGAAATCAGAAAAAAATCTTCCCAAGACAAGGAAACAATTTCTTGCCCAGCTCTATTTCTGGAAGAAAACAGTTAGGAATGCCTAAAATACAACATGGATGTCTGGATCTTCCCAACAATTGGGATCCCACAATATTAAAATGATTCCTGTTCCCAAAAGCAACACCTCAAAAGTTCTACTGCAAGGACCATAAGAACGGCCATACTAGGTCAGACCAATGGGCCATCTGATCTAGTCCAAAATCCTGTCTTCCAACAGTAGAAGGTGCTTCAAAGAGAATGAACAAAACAGGCAATCACTGAGTGATCCATCCCATTGTCCACTCCCAGCATCAAACACAGACTGGCATGTGCTCTGATGTCTTTTCCACCACATTACTCTCCCAGAGGCAGTCACAGCAATAACTTTATGGGCTTTGTTTTGGGAGCAGGAGTAGCTAGTGCCCTGAGCTAACTGTCATTACCTATAAATACATCTTTTACAACTCCATTCCTACACAATATAGTTAACAAACAGATACAGTCCTTCCGTCCCCCAACTTGAATATAACATACATATTTTTAGCACTGGATTTAGTTAAATATGGATAATACACTAGCCACTTTACAGATAGTTAAGTTTTCAGAGTCTCACTTGGGCAGAGATTATTCCTGATTATTCCCTCAAAAAAGATTATCTTGCTTTTTTTGCAGGCCTCAGCAGCCATTCTGTCTTGGACTGGGATCTTGCTCAATCTTGCATGTTAAGCGGAATTCATCTAGGTCAGTATGGGGACCAGTTGAATGATGCACCAAGTGGTGTTTGTGGTTTGGAGTGTGGCACTCTTTGTGGATCAATACAGTAGTACTGTGCTGCTGGAGATGCCATATTTCAAAAATGGCCTAAGAATGACTAAGACTGCGTGCCCCAGAGTATAGCCAAATGCCAACTCGGGTAATAATGTTCTGCCTCCCCAAATACCCACTGAAGCTTCAATCACATATACTTATTTTTTTCAACTTTCTGCCCCAAACTCTTGCAAAGATTGCTCTGTGGTTTTATTCAGTTGCTTTGTTCCACCCTAGAAGTGACTGCATTTCAGTAATGGGGTCTATAATGCATAACTATAATAACACAATGCCCTTCAGGTGAAAGGGTCTGTTTAAATTTATTATTCTTTCATTATTAAACTAATTTATTTTGGACTTAAAGAGCCACATGAAATAACCAATCTTCACACTGGCAGAGTTGAGAGTGAACATTCTTATTCTGGTGGGTATCTGACAGTCTAATCCAGGGGGAAGTTTCACTTTTCCCTCCAGCAAACTTACACCCTCATGATGAAAATGGAGAAATTCCAGCTTATGAGTAAAATCTCTGAAACCTCCCCTGGTGACAGAAGTCCCTTAGTTATCCATGTTACACACGGCAGCAGTAGCAAGGCAAACTAACCAACTCTCTAATCTTGCCTTGCCAGATCCTCCTGTAGCAGTAATAAGGGAATTCAGTCACCACGGTCCCTTCAGACCTTGGCTTCTCTGCCGAGACTGCCAGTAAAGATGACAATGTGCCAACTAGAAAAGGAGTACTTGTGGCACCTTAGAGACTAACCAATTTATTTGAGCATAAGCTTTCGTGAGCTATAGCTCACTTCATCGGATGCATACTGTGGAAAATACAGAAGATGTTCTTATACACACAAACCATGAAAAATGGGTGTTTACCACTACAAAAGGTTTTCTCTCCCCCCACCCCACTCTCCTGCTGGTAATAGCTTATCTAAAGTGATCACTCTCCTTACAATGTGTATGATAATCAAGTTGGGCCATTTCCAGCACAAATCCAGGTTTTCTCCCCACCCACCCCACAAACCCATTCTCCTGTTGGTGATAGCTATCACCAACTAAGCTATCACCAACAGGAGAGTGGGTTTGTGGGGGAGTGGAGGGGGGTGGGGAGAAAACCTGGATTTGTGCCGGAAATGGCCCAACTTGATTATCATACACATTGTAAGGAGAGTGATCACTTTAGATAAGCTATTACCAGCAGGAGAGTGGGGTGGGGGGAGAGAAAACCTTTTGTAGTGGTAAACACCCATTTTTTCATGGTTTGTATGTATAAGAACATCTTCTGTGTTTTCCACAGTATGCATCCGATGAAGTGAGCTGTAGCTCACGAAAGCTTATGCTCAAATAAATTGGTTAGTCTCTAAGGTGCCACAAGTACTCCTTTTCTTTTTGCGAATACAGACTAACACGGCTGTTACTCTGAAATGTGCCAACTATGGGTGTTTGTTTGTGATATGGACACCTGCCCACTATGAACAGGGGTGAACCACCAACTCATTGCATGCAGCTCACCAGATGGTACACTAAACCCTTCGCCCTTACCCTAAAATTCTCGTTGTGAACACCAGAGTTGGAGATGGCCTGAAATCGCGTGTCCCTGTAGCTGATTTCTGCGGTCAGCTGTTGGATGATCTTCTGCACCTCGTCCACTGTCTTAGACACCAGGTGGTGTCGCCGTTCCACCTGTAGACATCAAGCAAGTCACTTTACATCATGGTGGACTGCAAACAATCTCTGTCTCCAGCCAAGAGATCACCTAAACCTGGGGCATCTTGAAACGTGTGTGAACACATGCGTGTGTGTACAGAACTCTGGGCAATAAAGGTTTAGAGTTCTCCTCTTGATAATTGCCAGCTTACTCCATCTGGTAATAATGGAGCTCTGGCTGGAGGCTCTAAAGCAGATGAGGCCATTCAGGAGTGTACTACAGCATGGAAGGGTAGGTAGAGAATTCATTATTTTGGAATCTCCGACACCTGGGTACACTCTCATTCTTTGGCCGATTTTGGTTTTGGCCCAAGACTATGCAGCTTTTCCTTTGTGTAGGCTAGCCAGTCACTGATCCAGGAACTGTAGCCTCCTAGGAGCTTGTGTGGCTCAGGTATTCTCTGCTGGGTCAAGCCCATTGTGACAGAAAACACTGACTCAAATTCATTCCTGGCATAGGCTGACGCAACTCAACTGACTGGTCTGAATTTGGTTCAGTGGCCCTATATGTGTGAAGCATAGGAGCAATTCCATTCCTAAAGGGTGCTGAAGTTCCTCCTCTGTGCTGATCTCAGCGGTAACCACAAGCTCTCACGAGAAGTTCATGCCTTGCTGTACCCTCCCTCCAGTCAAGCAGTATCAGCAAAATATTGATTATCACGAGTTTCAGTGGAACGGAGGAGGTGGAGGATGAACTGAGGTGCAGGATGGGCAAACCAGATAAATAAGAACCAGCATGAACTGTCCCACACCAGCACAAGTGCAAGGCTCATACAGGGATGATACAAGATACAGGCATGAGTCAATTATTTAGGGTTTAATTGAAGGAATATACAAGACCATGCCTAGTGAAGGACACTGGCATGTTCCACACATGCTCCTCACACATTTGTCAATATGGGATGCAGGCTTATCCACACCAAACCATTCTGAGGCTAGTTCATTGCTACTACTAAGTAAGTTAATTAACATATGCCTAATTACTCCTCCATCCAGGGATCGCTATGCAGGATGATGAGTGAGGACTGTTCAATGCACTTCCGTTCATCCCAGTGCCTGATCTTATATGATGAGGATAGAGGCAGTGAGGAAGAAACCCAGCAGAAACTCAACAGCCAGCGTTAGCAAAACTAATTGGGAGAAAATGAAACCCACCAGGACCTGCAGCCAAAATCCCAACCAAACTATTTGCAGATTTGAAATCGCAACATTTTGAAATAACAGCACTGAAGCTCAGCGAGGGGAAGTGATTTGCCCTTAGGCCACACAGTAAGTCACTGGCAGAAACAAGAATAAAAGCCAGGTCTACTCCCAGTCACTTCCTCTGACCTCTGCACCTTAGTTGCCACTGATTCACTCTTCATTAGAGTACTGTGTCTCTGAAAACTCACCATTGCCATGGTGGTTACCACTACATCTAGTAATAGATGAACCTCAGGCCCCAGAATATCTTAGGTCTGCAGAAACAGGATGGAGGTCTTGGGAGAAGTGGCTTTCCCATGAGATCTCTGATGTTTGCCACTTCCCATCACAGTTATAAACACTGTGCTGAACAGCCTCTTTTGCCATATACTGGTGTTTCCCTTTCCAGATCCCAGCTTTGGAAGTGTCAAAGCAAATGTTAAAAACTGAACACCAAAGTATTAATATTTTGAATATCAAAAATGGGTTTGGTTTTGGATCTGGAGCCAAATGTAGGTCAGGTCTAATTCGTCACTCCATCTCCATCCAGTACATATTTGGATTTTTTCATTGCTACAGGAGTGGGCTAACAACACTGATTCAGAAAAAAAAGCAGGCAGTAGCTTACAGGCAGGCTGGTGGCTGGCTGCTGCCCTGCCTCCCTTGGGAGGAAGATCAATGACGGAGGAGTGGATAGAAGAATCCATACACTTAATAGACACAGTTGTAAAAAACCGTTTAAGTTAACATGCATAAATTATTACATGGTATCTGTGCTGGTTCATTATATGATTATAAGTTTTAACAAACAGGCTGTAAAGTGACATGCTTTAATACAAAATAATAATGATTAATAACTGGAACCTTGTCTTTCTCACTTAGGCGGATGCTGGAAGAGAGTCGCTCTCTGAGGGATGGGAAGCTTCTGGTGGAACCTAAAATTCTGGTGGCTCCGGGCCCCATTTAAACGCTACTTCTGGTGCTCGGTACCACTGCAAATGAGGCAGCACACTACCACAAATCTCTCTATGCACAACCATGCCCTCTGGTTCCTGTGTCACCCTGCAACAGAAATCTTTACAGCGAGAAGTACTAATGGGCAGAGTTGGCTGGAAATTTTCGGATGGAACATTTTTCCATTGGAAAATACCAATTTGTCAAAAGTGAAACATTTTGCAAAGACGTGTTGATGTCAGTGATCTTGAGTTTAGAAAAAATGAACAAAGTTCTGATAAGGGCAAAACATTTCTACCTTTTTGAAACAGAAGCCTTGATTTTCTGTTTAATATTACTTTTTGTTCAATTTTGGTATTTAATAAATATAAAACATAAGTTGAAATTGGAACAAAACATTTTAGTCGACCTGACATGATTTCTCTTTGTGCAGACAATTTCAATTTTTTTTTGGTTTTGGTCCATTTCAGAACAGAAAAGAAAAAATTCAAAATCGGAGCAGTTCCCATGAAATTGAAACCTGGTTCCTGCCTAGCTCTCTTAAAAAGGTTAGATGGCTTGTTTAGATAAGCATCCAAAGTTTAGGAAAAGAATTAGTATTCTAGTATTATCCACCTCTTCCTAATTATTAAACACATGCATTATCTTTCCTAGAGACAAACTTGCTGCCATATTTTTGGTCATGCTTCTACCAAATCTGGGTCTTTGGCTCGATAAAGATGAACCCTAGAATCTCTCCTAGTTCTAAACACAAACAACTCCAGCTGTAACCACATTTGAAATTCCAAGTTTGGAGGACAGAGCCCAAAACACAAACTGGTTCTGAAGAGGGACAGGATGACCATGTAGGGAAAAGCTAAGAGGCCACCAAACCAAATCCTTTGCTAAGGTTCTGAAAGGGAAGCATTGGAAATGTCACTAGAAATCTTATCATGATACTTAAGACCCATTTTGTCCCAAGACTCAAGACTCAGACAAGCATCCAACCCTTGATTTCTGAACTTTTCAAGACCATCCCTACTTGTGGAGACAGAGAAGAGACATACACACAAAGACTTACCTTATTCTGGATGTAAAATTCCACATCTTCTTCAGTGAATGGTTTCATGGTAGGAGTTCTTCCTTGTGCTCCAAAATTTAATGTTATTCTCTTGCTTGGTTCTGGGTGTTTGAGAACCACTTCCAGCTTTTGGTCTGCAGCCTTCCTTGCCTTGCAAACCCAAGACACCTAATTCCTCTGTGGATGGAGAAGAGGGGAGACAAGCTGGGAGGTTTGCTTGTTTTTTCCATTTTGTGTTACAGTTTGTTTCAACTTACTAGGAAAAAACATGTCCAATTATCTTTTTCAAGCTCTGGTTTTATTAATTATTATTATTATTTTCAAATGGTGATTCTTAACATATATAAAAAATATCCCAGACACTGCTTTGCCTTTGGTCTGAATTCGAAGCACCTTTCAGACTTTGTTGGGGATTCAGAGCTCTCTTGCCCAGCATTATTTGCTGATTGCCACAAACACTTCCCTGTTTTCTAACTCTTATAACTAGATTGTGTATAAACCCTTTCAAAACACAGAGAAACACTCCCTTGTCGAGGTCAATCCACCCACTTTCCTTCTGTAGCTGTACTGCTAGGTTTACGTTCAGATCACTCATTTGGGTTGCAGTCCACGGCCTCTGCTCCTTATATTTCCTCTCTCTTTCCTGCTGTATTGACAGTAAACGTCGCACCGCCTGTCCCCAGCCTGCAGTTTGCTTCGCCTTCTTTACAATAAACAGATATAAAGCTTCCTCTTATTAGCTGCCAGCTGCCCAGATAACAAACCCAACACATCGTTAGAAGGGAAAACCATTGATTGGGCCTTATTGATCTGATAAGAGTTGGTGGCTTTTAAAAAAAGGGTATGTCATCCTGGGGGAGAGTGGCAGAGCCCTGTAGAGACGTGCTGCAAACTGTCCCTGGTTAGGAAGAATGGGCTCACTGTTTAGCAAAATAGTTATTTTGGCCCAGATCCACAAAGGTATTTAGGCTCCTAAACTTCCACTGATTTCAGCGGAAGTTAGGAGCTTAAACACCTTTGAAGGTCTGGGCCTTTTCCACTCTGTGTTCTCCCAGCCCTCTTTTGTGTGTTATTACTTGTACAGTGCCAAACGCAATGGGGCTCCTGTCCTGACACTACCACAATACACTTATTATTGTTCATTATTAGCCAAATGATGATAATGTGCTTGGTGCTGTACAAGACCCAACAGAAAATATGGTTCCTGCCTCGAGGAGCTGATAGTCTAAAAAGCAAACCTGCTTCTGGATCTCCCAGGGTATTTTCTATTGTCCGTTTATTTAAAGCATTAGTCTCCCAACCTTCCCGCCACTCATTCTCCTACTCCTTTTGGGGCCCTTCTTTAAGGTGATGGCCCAAAGGATTAGCAACGTTGTGAGCTTTGCAGGAGAAGTCAGATTTAAGGTGCAGAGAGAAGGGAATGTGGAACAGTGGGCTAAGGAGGGCACTGCAGGAACCAGGGATAGAATGGAAGAAGATGTAAGGAGAGGCGGGACAGGACACACTGGCAGAGCACAGGGAATGAGGGAGGGTAAGGAACATTTTAAATATTCAGACTCAATTTAAAAAAGTGTGTCCTTATTTCCCCTCTCCACCCTCTCCGTTCCTAGTTAGAGATTTTAAATCCAGGAAGGTATGAGGACGCCGTAGTCATTTTTCTTCACTTCATACACCCACAAGGCTTGTATGTGTGTGGTGGATTTCAGATTCCCGTTTTCCCATGCCCACCAGCTGTCTGGTGCTATAGCAGCTATTGGACAAACAGGCATCAAGGGATCTGGTCCCAGTCATTTCACATTAAACAATAACACACAGCACTTGATGGTTCGAAAGCACTTCACAAAGAGGAATTTAATTCTCACCTCCCTCACCCCATGAGGAAGGCGAGTATAAGCAGTTTGGGCCAAGGACCCTCTTTTTGTCACATGCATGCACAGCACCTAGCACAGTGGGGGCCTGACCTTTCTTTGGCAGCCTCTAGGTGCTACTGCAGTGCAAATAATAAATCATCATTAGGATTATTACCCTCCTTTTACAGATAGGGAACGAAGACTAAGAAAGGAGAAGCGACTTGCCTGAGCAAGTGTCAAAGCTAGGATGAGAACGCAGGAATTCCTGACTCCCAGACCCCTGCTCTAACCAGTAGGTTTTGCTGCTTTATTTGCTTAACTTTAGTTAATTCCACTGGAAAACAAAAAAGCCAGGGGGCGGTGCAAGAGCTGACCCCAGCAGCTAATGGCAGACTGTGGTGTACCGGCCCATGGGGGATTCCAGTGGATTTTGACATGCCTATTTTGGAATCACAGTGTTGCTGAAGGACAGCCAGGAAATACTGTGTACAACAAAGGGAAAGCCTCTGACACAGGCAGTAAAAGTCAGGTAAGCACAAGGAGTGTCAGCAGCTCCTGCTGGAAAGTGAAAGTGTCGGGTTTGGCCAGAAGCAGCAAAGCAGCATGGGCAGCAGGTGCTTACTTGTCCCTGGCCTTGTGTCAGGATCAACAAGTCAGAGGCAAATACACCAACTTGTTGTTACAAAATATGCGAGGGAGGGAGAGCACTCTAAAGGGGGAGAGAATAAGAGGGTTGTGGGAGGGTAGAGAAAAATAGAGAGAGTGGGGTAGAGAAGGGAAAGAAAGCAGGGGAGAGAGAGAGAGAGCTCTGTAGAGAGAGTGGGAAGAGAACAGAGAAATGGAAGAGAATATAATCTAGGGACCCGCAATGAGCACTTCTGGGTGGGCTGTACAGCAGTTTGTTACAGCGGTGCGGTGAAGCCTCCATCAATCTTCAAGCCGTGAACCTTGATCTCCAAGCCAAATGCAGGATTTCCAGAGGCTTTTTTGACCAGCTAAACTAAAAAAGCGCACCTGAGCTCCAATCTGGCCTCCCTATGGCTGCTTCAACCCTCATCCCATTTGTAGCTGAAAATAAAACTGGAGAGGGAGCAAACACTTAAGGAGGAGGGAAAGAGAACCAAACCACAAAGGCACCTGGACTGATCAAAGCAGCGGGGTACATAACAGGGATGTGCTGCCAGAATGATAAAAACAAACTCCCACAAAAGTACTTCCCCCGAGTTTATGAGCAAGTCTGTCCCAGGAGACATGGGCATCAGAGAGAAGTGGCGAGGGAACAGGGAAATCGATTCATTTGTTTGGCTATTTGAACAAATGGCTCTCTCAAACCCCTAACCAGGGAGTGAGGCAGCACCATGCAGCAGATTCCTCATGAGTACCCTTCCTGGGAAATGCTTAGACTTTGTTTCTAAAATAGAGAGTCTGCTCAGTACTAACTGTAGCTCTTTGAGTGAATTATCTGTATGGATCACACTCTTGCAGTGGGGCGGCGTCCTGGGCCTTCCACTCAGATCTTGTTAGAAAGCAGTATCAGTCAGGGCCACATGGATTCTGAGCAGGCATGGACCAATGCTGAGTGAGGATGATAACAAAACTTTATTTAAGTAATGGGGAAAACCAAGTTTCACTAAGGGAGTTCCCAAAGTACTAGGCCTCTGTCATAAATATAAAGGGAAGGGTAAACCCCTTTAAAATCCCTCCTGGCCAGAGGAAAAATCCTCTCACCTGTAAAGGGTTAAGAAGCTAAAGGTAACCTCGCTGGCACCTGACCAAAATGACCAATGAGGAGACAAGATACTTTCAAAAGCTGGAAGGAGGGAGAAAAACAAAGGGTCTGTGTCTGTCTGTATGCTGCTTTTGCCGGGGACAGAACAGGAATGGAGTCTTAGAACTTTTAGTAAGTAATCTAGCTAGGTATGTGTTAGATTATGATTTCTTTAAATGGCTGAGAAAAGAACTGTGCTGAATAGAATGACTATTCTTGTCTGTGTGTCTTTTTTGTAACTTAAGGTTTTGCCTAGAGGGACTCTCTATGTTTGGAATCTATCTACCATCCTGATTTTACAGAGGTGATTCCTTTACTTCTATTAAAAGTCTTCTTGTAAGAAAACTGAATGCTTTTTCATTGTTCTAAGATCAAAGGGTTTGGGTCTGTGGTCACCTATGCAAATTGGTGAGGATTTTTACCAAACCTTCCCCAGGAAGTGGGGTGCAAGGGTTGGGAGGATTTGGGGGGGAAAGACGTGTCCAAACTACTTTTCCCAGTAAATCCAGTTAAAGTTTGGTAGTGGCAGTGGAAATTCCAAGGGTAAAGGGTAAAATTAATTTGTACCTTGGGGAAGTTTTAACCTAAGCTGGTAAAAGTAAGCTTAGGAGGTTTTCATGCAGGTCCTCACATCTGTACCCTAGAGTTCAGAGTGGGGAAGGAACCTTGACAGCCTCAAACTGGAGCAAGACTTAAGCATATGAGATGTTTCAGATGGAAAAGACCTTTTATATCACATCTAATCCACTTCCCCTTGGACACTGCAAGATTGTGCCCTACAATATTCTCTGGGGCTGTGCCAATTTTTAAATACCCCAAGCAACGAAGCTTCAACCCCTCCCTTTGGGATTCCACAGTGGAAAAGATCTCACTGTCATGATGTTTTGCCAGGTGTTCAGCCTAAATTTTTCCTTTCTCAACTTCATACCAATATCCCTTAAGAAAGCAAGACAGACAGAGAGCTGGAGCTTTGTTTTGAAACAGTTTAGTTCAGGATGGCTGGGAGTAAGCAAACAAGTTCCTCCCACTGGAGTAACACATCCAGTCAGTCAGACACTAAACATAGGTACATTCTGGAATGAAAATAAGCCCTAGCACAGCTAAGTGATCAGCAATGGGGACACTGATGGCTTTGCAATATCAGGGTCACCACAGTCTAAGTAGGTTAGGCCAAGACATCCAGCTGGAAATAGACCATAGAAAAATGCCAACTGCCCCAGCGTTTCAGCCTTAGTGAGCTAGTTTGCTAGCCCATGAAACCTTCCATATTAACATTTCCTGGTAGCGCAGCTCACCAGCGTGCCACCCAAGCAGTCTTGATCATGGGTACTCTCCTGCCATTTTGTGATTGCATCAAGTCCCACATAAGAAAGGCCATATCGGGTCAGAGCAATGGTCCATCTAGCCCCGTATCTTGCCTCCTGACAGGGCAATTATCGAGTGATCCATCCCTTGTCCTCCACACCCAACTTCTGGCAGTCAGAGGTTTAGAGACACCCAGAGCACGGGGTTGTATCCCTGCCCATCCTGGCTAATAGCCATTTATGGACCCATCCCCCAAGAAGGTAGCTCATTCTTTTCTGCACCCTGTTATGCTTTTGACCTTCACAACATCAAGCAAAAAGGAGAATGGAGAGACCCTTGTGTGGGGCTAGCAGGTGGAGTTAGGGATCCTTAGAAATACTGTGCAGAGTAGCTGTCTCTAGCAATGACCAACTGCTTCTCAAGCCGTTTTTCACGCAGGCTGCTCTGGGACAAGACCTGCACTTGATCGGTTTACTTTGGGCAAAAAGTTCTCTGCATTTTACTTTTTCTTTCTTTAAAAAAAGCCCAGATTTGGTCAAAAGCGATGTTTAAATAACAGTGCCCTGGGAGCGTTTAGAGGCGAGAGGAGGAAGGTTTTCTGTGAGTGCTGCTAATTCATTGTGACAGCATCGAAGTCACACACAGCTGCCACATTGACATATGCTCCCCCCATCCCCATCTATTTCCTGTCCACGGCCTCCCTTCTCCCCCCACCCTCCCCCTTACCAGGGAGCCCACAGGCCACTTGGGGCCTCGTTCAAATCGGGCACTGCATGATGTCATCATTGGAGGGCGCCTTCACCAGCGCTCCCCCCACCAGCACCCTTTGTTGGCTGCAGGGCACAGAGTGGCCACCCCACCCATGGGGGTGGGGCTTGGCCCCGCTGGAGCTGGTTGCCCGCTGAGGGGAGAAGCTGGAGCCCCTCATGCAAGTGTCAACCTTGCTGGGCGGGGGCAGAAGGGGGAACCCTCCTCTGATTGGCTGCCTGCCCCACGGCCCTGTCTCCTGGGGGAGAGCAGCCACTCAGAGCTGCTGCAGGAGGCTGACAGAGCTCTTCCCCCCTCCCCTCAGGGGATGAGATAGGGCTGCCAACCTTCCAGGATTGTCCTGGAGTCTCCAGGAATTAAAAGATTATGGTCGTGTGATGAAACCTCCAGGAATACATCCAACCAAAACTGCCAACACTTGGCTGAGAGGAGGGCAGGGTGGGGAAGGAACAGTGGCACCATGCTCTCAGGACGGGAGAAGGAGCCGAAAGATCCCAGAAGCTCAGGGTGTCTCCGCTGCCCCCTCCTGTGAACAATGGGCAGGAGCACCGGGCGAGCAGAGCGGTGCAAGCCCCCCAGTGCCACTCCCTGGCAGGAGCATGGGGGGTGTATGTGACAGGGGGGAGGGGAGGAAAGACTACAGGAAGAAGGGGTGGGGAGGGCCCCCCACTTGCTTTGGCCCAGGGCCCCCTAAAAGCTTAATCCACCTCTGAACGCACCATGTGTGTTGAAAGGGGGGAGGTTTGTGGAGTTGCTGTGTGGTTGGGGTTGCAGTGGGCTTGCCTTGGGGCCGGGCGGCTGCCAGGTTTTTCGCATTTCAAAAGTGTTTACCCTAGCTACAGTACTTACCTAGCTCCCATCACCCTAGTATTTGAGCACTGCGTGTGATGTATTCATCCTCCCCACATCCCTCTGAGCTAGGCCGAGCCATCATCCCCATGTCACAGACGGGGAACTGAAGCACAAAGAGATTAAGTGACCCACTCAGGCTCATCACACACGGGAAGGCTGTGGCAGAACCGGGAACCGAACCTGGACTGCCCACAGCAGGTCAATGCTCTGCTTCCTCCCACCACCAGGCTTGGGAAGGAAGAGAACTCCACTCCAGCTGCCCGCACCCCCTTGGGGCCTAGGAGAGGGGTGAAGAGCCCTTGGAACTTCAGAAAGAGTCAATATGAGGGACTGGAGGAGCAGGCAGATGTGGGGCTGGGGGTGTGAAATTAATAGCTGGGCTGTGGGGGCAACACACAGTTAGCTAATTAGACTGTTGGGGCCTGGGGAGAAGGTGGCAGCTCTGCTCCATCAGCAGCCCCGAGCGCTTCTGTAGCAGGGCCAGAATCGCCTCATGCTGTACAGGTGGGGGAAGCTGGCAACAGCGTAACTGCCACCCCTGGGGTGTTTGAGAGACCAGGTGGGTGAGGTAATATCTTCTGTTGATGGTGGGCAGGGGGAAAGACAGGCCAGAATACTATATAGGCTTTCAAAATGTTATGCTTTGAGGGGAATAGCTCATCACTTTTGAGCATTTGGGGGATGGGAAGACCGGCAGCAGCTCCAGCTGCACAGGATCAGCCCAGATCACATGGCCAGGCTCAACCTGTGTAAAAGCCCAGCCCCAGCACTGAGCCGGCAGGCCCACAAGGCAGATTTTATAAAGTTACTTTTCACACTAGAAGCGCATTTGGGTAGTGCTCAGTATTACTTCCCCAACGGGCCAGGCCCCATGCAGAGGGAAGGCAGCCTCCTCACCAGTCATCAAGACGTCTTCCTACAGCAACTTGGCTTTTGCTTGCAGGTTACAAAGTGTTACCAGTGCTCATGATATTTGGTGTTTGTCTTAGAGAGCCAGGTGTTGAAATCAAGTGATTATATGAGAACCTCAGCTTTCTTTTTATAAAAGCCTCATAGGATATGGCTACAGCTATGTAAGCCCAGGGTCAAGCCTAACCCCCACTTGCGTCCACACTCCCATTGTGCTAACTTAGGGCTCAGGCCCCTAGGACCGTGCAGAGCTGGAGGGTCTGAGCCTGTGTTAATCTGGGACCTAGGGTCTGAGCCCTGTTGCTTTCCTGTGTGGACGAAGACCCAGCTTGACTCAGGTCCCAGAAGTCCTCCAAACATATCCCAGAGTTCCCAGAAGCAGAGGAGCAGCACTACAGGCCGCAAGCAGGGGCTGGAAGTGCCATTGCTGCCTGGCTGAGCATGGTGCCTGTGGCAGCTCTTGCTCCAGCTCCTCCCCACTGCTGGGTAGGGTTCCCATATTTCAAGTTCCCACACGGGGTGTTTAGATGTTGCTTTTAATCATTAGAACTGGGAGCACTGGCTGTTGGGAGTCTGAAAGGACAGGAAACAGGAAGGAGGGGGAGGAGTTGAGAGGCTGGAGAAAGCTACAGAGGGTGCAGCAGTAGCTTGGTAAAGAGATTTCCACTTTGAAAATAAAGTCCTGTTGAAGGTTGTTAGTACCTTGCCTGGTTGATACAACATTTTGGCGACAAGGATGGATCTTCTGCCTCTGAACCCACCTGCACCCTTTCTGCAAAGCCCAGGTGAGCCTCCAATTGCTTTTACTACCTGGATCCATATGTTTGAGACTTATCTGTTTGCAATCCGTTCTACAGAGATTTCTGAAGAAAGCGTGCTCTGCTAATCCACTGCATTGGAACAGAAGGGCAACATATTTTTTACACTTTTCCCCTTGCAGATGATAAATATGAGACTGCACTCCCTGCATTAAAGAACTTTTTTGTACCAAAAGTTGTAGTAGCGAATCACTACAGATTTCGCCAGCATGAGCAGAAACCAGGGGAAACTATAATGCAGTATATTGCTTCCTTGACGAGTCTGATTGTAATTTGTGACTTTTGGAATATGGCAGATAAGATGATTAGAGACCAGCTCATTGAGAAAACAACCATGCTTCATGTAAGAGAACGCTTACTTCTAGAACCACAACTTACACTAGAAAAAGCAATAACCATTGCTACTCAGATTGAGTCAGCTACAGCTGAAGCCAAAATAATGAGCATGGATACAGGAGGCACAATCCAGGCTGTGACTCCTTCGCAGAAAAGTTCACTACCACTGCAGACACACAATTGCAAGAGGAAAACTAATGAAAAACCACTGAATCAGAAAATCAAAATACAGTAAAAGCATGTTTTCGCAGTGGATCCCCACACCACCTTGCAAGCTACACAGGATGTCCAGCAAAAGTAGCTCAGTGCAATCATTGCAAAAAGACTGGGCATTTTGCTAAAGTATGTCGCAGTAGCCAGTTCAATCAACAGGTGCATGCAGTTACAATACCAGATGTTACTGTGCTGAGCGTGGGCAAAATCACTACTGCACGTATTCCAGAACAGATAAAGTGCACGGTAAACGTTTCTGCCACACCCTCAGGCAAACCACACTATTCAGCTAATGTTGGACACTGGCTCAGCCGTATCTATACTACCTGATTCCATCTATTTGCATTACTTTAAAGACGTGCCTCTTACTGAACCCAAACTTCACTTGGTGTGCTACTTGAAAAACCATATTCCAGTACGTGGCTGCCTGCCAGTAATAGTTACTTTTGGTGATTGCTGTGTAACTGCAGAGTTCTACATTGTCCAGAAGGTCACGCCTATCTTTGGCAGAGATTTATTGGCTGCTTTACATCTCAGGGTAGTTAATGGATGACTTGATCTTCCTCAGCAAAGCACTCTTGTGGTACACACACCAGTTCCAGCTGGGACCCAACACCAGGTTGAGGAGAAACTTGGCTGTGCTTATGGGTTTCTGCATAAAGTTAAAATGCGGAATAATGTGGTACCTGTACGACAGAAGTTATGGCGCTTACCATATTCAGTCTGTTTCAGAGGAACTTAGAAAACTTGTTCAAAAGGACATTATTGAAGAGATCGACTCCTCAGAATGGGTTTCACCTATAGTCGTGATGCAGAAGGGTGGAGGCATTCACCTTTGTGTGGACTTAAGGGAGCCGAATAAAGCTATTGTGATTGACAGCCATCCTCTTCCTCACATAGAAGTATTTGCAGAACTCCATGGAGCAAAGATGTTTTCTACTCTTGATTTGCAGAGCGCATACCACCAGGTTATGTTGCATGAAGATAGCAGAGACCTCACAGCATTTATTACACATGAGGGACTATTTCATTTTAAAACGTGTTCCATACCGTCTCGCATCTGCCCCAAGTGCCTTTCAAAAAATCATGTCATTGATACTGAAGAATCAACATGGAGTTCAGTGCTATCTGGATGATATTATCGTGTTTGGAAATACTTCTGAGGAGCATGACAATAGCCTGCAGTCTGTACTAAACTGCATCAGCTCAGCAGGCCTCCAGTTTAAATAGATCCAAATGCAAATTTAGACAAACTGAACTCTTTCTGGGGCATACAATTTCACAGCCTGGACTAAAGCCTATCCAGATCATATCCTGGCAATTTCAAATGCTCCTCCTCCAACAGATTTGCAAACCTTACATTCCTTCTTGGGTCTTACCTCCTGGTATGCAAAATTCATTCCCAATTATGCTTCTGTCATTCAATCGTTACAAGAATTACTACAGGGAAGTTCAATCTTAGTGTGGACAACGGATGCACAAGCTAGTTTCAAAACAGTGAAAGACTTGATTGTCCATAGTCCAGAACTTGCACTATTCAGTCCTGCATTGCCCACAATTGTAACTACTGATGCTTCTGATTATGGACTTGGGGCAGTTCTCACACAACTGCACGAGGACAACACAGAGAGGACTGTTGCATTTGCTTCAAGGACATTAAGTAATGCTGAGAGAAAATATTCGACAGTCGAAAAAGAAGCACTTGCTTGTGTCTGGGCTACTGAAAAATGGAGAACTTACCTGTGGGGCCACACGTTCAAGTTGCGCACAGACCACAGCCCTTTGACAACGTTGCTCACCACAAAAGGAGTGGGAAGAGCAGGATACCGTATTGCTCGATGGTCTGCAAGACTACCCTCTTTCAATTATGAGCTGGAATATAAGCCTGGAAACCAAAATGTGGTCGCTGATTGCCTTTCTGCCTGCCTTCGCCTTCACCAGATGGTCCGCTGGAGGATGAGGATGTAGTGGTTGCGCTTATTACAGGCACTCTCACTGCAGTTACAAGAGAACAATTTCAAGCTGCTTGTTCAGCGTGTCCAATTCGACAAAAACTACGGGAATTTCTGACAAAGAGATGGTCCAGTCACCCTAAAAACCTTGACCCAGTTTTGCTGCCTTATTTTAGGGTTTGGGATGAACTTTGTTTGATGGCTGTGTGCCATGAGGTACACACCGGCTCCTTGTGCCAGAAGAATTACAGTCAAAACTCATACACCTAGCACACGATACTCATCAAGGAACTGTCAGAACCAAATGACTATGGGATCTGTATTGGTGGCCAGGGATGGACTCTCAAACTGAAGCACTCATAAAATCCTGTGTCACTTGCCAAATGCATGTGAAGACAGCAGTGACATGTACCCCTCCATTACAGCCTGTTCCTCTTCCTGAATCTGCATGGGAAAAAGTGGCGATTGACATTGTTGGACCCCTTGATACTGCTCCAATTGACTGCCGTTATGCCATCACTTTAATAGACTATTTCAGTAAATGGCCTGAGGTAGTGTTTACATCGCAAATCTCTTCTGCTACAGTAATTAAGTTCCTCTCTTCAGTTTTTAGCAGGGAAGGTAACCCCAAAGAACTGGTTTCAGATAATACTGAATGCATCCGATGAAGTGAGCTGTAGCTCACGAAAGCTTATGCTCAAATAAATTGGTTAGTCTCTAAGGTGCCACAAGTCCTCCTTTTCTTCTTGCCAGGAGGAGAGGTAGCTGTGGGGGATGGGACTGGGGGGGGGGGGGGGAGGGACACAGTTTCTACTGTACAGTTTCTTTCCACTTTGACTATCTAACATTTATAAACAACAAGTATAATGGCCTCAAAAATAAATGTAAATCAAATTTAAATGTACCTTTTTACATATAGTCAGCCCTTTCCTACTGCACTTCTTGGGCCCATGCACATTTCTTTGAAGAGCGTATCTTGCTTAGCAGTGGTTGACTGCTCATCAAGTAGCCATGAAAGTCTTTGGAAGATGCGTGCCTGAAGTTGTACTGTACAAGCAGGATCCCATTCAGCGATTCAACAGTCAGTACCATGCCACCCTTCCTTCTGCGCTGCTCCCGGCTGGGGTGTTGCCTTCAGAGCTGGCGGCCGGCCAGCAGTTGCCACGCTCCAGCTGCTCTGAAGGCAACACCCCCAGCAGCAGCAGTACAGAAGTAAGGGTAACAAACCAGTGAACACGCACACTGCTTTTAAGGCTTGCCGGGAATTGCAGTTCTACCAAAACTGATGTTGGAAAAAAGACGAGCAAGGAAAAGTGACGGACATTTGTTCATATTTCAAAAATCTGCCCGGACAGAAATTGGAGGACCAAAAAAAGAGCTCATGTCCAGGAAAACCTGGATGTATGGTAACCCTGTGGGCGGAGCTTGTCTGGAGCAGGGAGCAAAAGCTGACAGGCAGGAGCAGCATCCCCTTCCCCAGCCATGCTGAGCTGGGAGCTCTGCTGCTTCCCTTCCCTGCAGGGCAGCTGCATTGGTCCCTCTCTGCTTGCTGCCCCTTGCTCTCAGGCCCGCCCTGCCCTCCCTGGGGCTGTGGGGGCATCCTGCATTGTGAGGGCAGTGAGTGACAGCCAGCCCCAAAACTTCTCCACAACCTCCCAGGGATCCCATATCCCTGCTTCCTGAGCTGCAGCAAGGGCAGGGCTAAGGGATCCCGAGGGTGCTGGAGCACACTACACCCCAGGCCTGAGTGATACATTTCACCCTCTGCAGCCGACACCAGCCAGACTGGGTGGGTGTCTTTTCTCTGATACCTTCATTTTATGTCAAACTTCAAAACAGACAAAAACAAATAAAAACCAACCAACCAAAAACACCTTCATTGAACAGCCCAGTTTAAAAATTAAGAATTGCAAAGTTTCATTATAATTTGACAGCCCTAGAGACTGATGTGCTAATTATCCTCAGAGCAGGTGCACATGGGCATTGTCCTGCCATGGGACTCAGCCTGGGGAGCCCAATTATCAGATTGGATGGTAGGTCAGTATAAAGCCTTCTCAAACTGCCGTCATTTGACTGAGATAGTCGCCAAGGGAGCGGATTATGTACTTGTGTGTTCTTTACAGGCACCTGAGGCCTATCAATAGCCCCGCCACAGTTCGGAAACAGGGTGGGCAGTAGAGTTTTCCCACAGTGCACCACATTCCTAGGGCTAGAGTGTCAACATGTAGAAGATGGTAGGCACTTTGGGATATGTTTACTTTGACTCGGATCTGTGCACTGCAGTGTAGACGCCTTCAAGCACAAGTCAGAAAATTCTTAATCTAGGGTTAAAATGCAATGTAGACGCTCAAGCCCAGGGTTCCTCGATCAGATGACTTGAGTCCCACCAACTTTAGGTTTACATTACTGTGTAGACATGATACCCTTACTTGCAGAGACAAGCTTGAAAACATGAATGCTAAAAGCTCAAAAAACTCGAAAGCAAATTGACCCCCGCATTTATTTTTCACAATCTCATGATTTTTGAACACTTGCAGTTGGAAATACACAGTATCCTAACAAAATGTTGTCCAGACCAAATTTATGAGCTCTTACTGAAACACAATCTCAGGTAGCCCAGGATAGTAGTTTTATAGCCAATCTGCTTGTAACCATTTCTGCTGGCTATTAATGTTTCTGCCCTGTGTTTAAGAAAAACTAGGTGATCTCTTAAATGACTGCAACAGAATACACCAAGCCTCAGCAGAACAGAGTTAAATGGAGTGTTTTCTTCTTAATCATCAGGGAATTACAATTGGCAGCTCATCTCTCCTCCTGGCTATTGCAAACATTCAAGGACAAGCAAGAGGGTTAAGCAGACACCAGCAAGAAGCCCAACTGATGGTCTCTAACTGGGTGTGTGATGTGGCGTGTTTGCACCCCATACATTTCAGTGTAATGGAAAACCACATGTGCAATTGCTTCAAGCAGGATTTTGTCATGATTTCCTTCTGTAGGAGATGTCAAGGGCTATTGCCTCAAAGGAATAATAGCAAGAGCAGAGATGTGTGGCAGATGTTAACTGGGGCTTGATGAGTGCTAGTTAATATTCAGCTTTGCAGAGTAATTGGATCATAGGACTTGGGAGGCAGGCACAACATGCATTGAGAGGCATTGGGTTTTCTAAAAAAACAAAAAACAAACCAAAAACGAGGCACCTTAAAGACTAACAAATTTATTTGGACATAAGCTTTTGTGGGCTAGAACCCACTTCATCAGATGCATGGAGTGGAAAATACAGGAGCAGGTATAAATACATGAAAAGTTGGGAGTTGCCTTACCAAGTGTGAGGTCAGTCTAACGAAACAATTCAATTAACAGCAGGATACCAGGGGAGAAAAAATAACTTTTGTAGTGGTAATGAGAGTGGCCCATTTCAAACAGTTGACAAGAAAGTGTGAGTAACAATAGGGGGAAATTAGTATGGGGGAAAGTAGGTTTTTAGGTTTTGTAATGATCCAACATTAGAAAACCAATGGATTTTCTGTAACTAAGCAAGGCTTTTTATGGTAAAGTTTGTTATAATGCATTATTACTCATCTAGTGCATAGGCAATTTACTGATAAATCTTTCCCTGAATAGCTTGCAAGCTCAACAATGTATAGATACAAATAGACATACCTGCCACTAGGCTAGGAGTGTAGATGCTGGGGTGTCTGGAGAGTTCTTGAGTCACAAGTAAGCAGATAACTGGGATTTGTCTGGGATGCTGGGTAGGGATACTGGAGGCCAGCTGAGAATCTGGGGTCTTATTGCGGGGGCTGGTGCCTGGGGACTCACTGGGTAATACCGAGGCCTCTGACCTTCTGTCCCTGCATGCTGACCACCTGTTCCTACTGATGGCACTTGTTCCTTCTAAGTGCTCCTTTCCTGCTCTGAGTGAGCTGGGGGAAATAGTGAGAACACTAAGCACCACAGCAGCTCCCTAGAGGGAGAAAGAGCAACTGCTACCCCTGGCTGGAGCCCAGCATGATGGATGAGAATTCAGTAGAGCTGGGGGTAGGTGTGACAGGGATGCTACATTTGTGAGTGGCATGGAGATGCTTAGCACGTAACAGCCTTGGACAGGGCATGGGAATGCAAACCCAACCCAGTGACTGAAGGGGCTTAGAATTCATGATTTCAAACAGATTCCACCCCACGATTTGTTAACATTGCTTTGAGGTGAGGACTTGGGGCAGGTCTACTGTATAATTGCAGCGCTCAGGGGTATGGATTTTTCACCCCCGAGTGACATAGTTATACCGATATAGGTCTATAGGATAGACTTAGCCTTGAAATTGGAGGCATCAGACGGATTCAGGAGTGTGGTCCAGGCATACATTAGAAGTCACTTGGAAGAGGGCCCAGACTCAAACAGCAGTAAGGACACAGCAGGGGCTAGGTAGCTGCACATTTTGAACAGAGAGGAAGGAAAAATGAAGCAGGCAAGGGCTATGTTATGCAGGGGCTTGAAGATCAGACAGCAGTTAGGGTCACAGTGGAAAAAGGTGGACATAGAGGAACAATTAGGGTGACCATATTTCCCAAAGGGAAAACAGGACACCACATGGGGTTGGCTCAAGGCCCCCCTGGCCCCAGCTGCTCACCCAAGGTGGCCCTAGCTGTCACTGGTCACTCAAACCCTGCTGCCCCCTCTCCCCCCCCCCCCGCAAGAACCCTTCCTCCCTCCCCCTCCAGCCCAGCCTCCCCCCTGCACGGGTGGGCGAGCAAATGGGACAAATGCCCACCAATACACTACAGCAGAGGATTAAAGTTAATGAGACACTTTACTAGAAATAGGTTACAAATGGAACAAAGTGGAGCAAGAGTTCAGCACTTATGTACTATACTGACAGGCATGGTGTATAAAGCTAGATCAACCCAGCAGCCTAGCTTGGCTGGATGAGGACCTCGTCAGAAGTTTCTACAAACTTTTGAAAGAATTCCTATGCTCAGGATGGCTACCAATTCCCGGTCGTATATAGATACCACTGCAATAGTTGAGGTGCACTAACAGGCTCCTGGTCACTGTGGTTGGCATGTATTTAGTAAAAATTCTAGTTAAGTAGCCTCCTAGAATAACCTGCTGGCATCAGTGGATGATTACATTTGTTTTAAGAAAAGGAGGACTTGTGGCACCTTAGAGACTAACAAATATTTGTTAGTCTCTAAGGTGCCACAAGTCCTCCTTTTCCTTTTGCGGATACAGACTAACACGGCTGCTACTCCGAAACGTACATTTGTTTTGCAAGCAAACATATTCTCAATCTCTGTCAATAGACAATTCAAGTTCAAGCTGCTCCCCACTAACAAGATGCTTGGCTCTTCCCTTTTTATTGGCTGCTTTGTGCTGTCACAGCCAAACAACCTCAGGGAACAGTTCAATCATTTGCATTACACTGGCTCAAGGTTGCAGTGGAGCAAGGGTAGATATGTAGGGCCAGAGCTGGTCAAATGGAGAATTCACTGCAGAGCTCTTGAGAAATAGAAGGAGCAGGAGAAAGTGGAGCACAAGCTTTTAAAATTAAAAAACATTACAATTTTGCAGAAATAGGCTTGTGTCATTTGACTGGTAGGAGGAACAAGAGCCTTCATCTACCTGTATCCCCCCCCAAACAAATTAAGAACACAACATGAACATGCCTGCCAATTTAATGACAAAAAAAGGCAGGGCTCCTACCATCCATGCAGAGAATCTGGATGGGATAAGGAGTGGAAATTCAGACACATTTCAAATGACAGGAGAGGGCAAGGGCAAATGCCAATTTCAAACTACCCAGCCTCTGAGAGCTGATCAAACTTAGCCCCCACATTCACACTGCACAAGGGAAAGGCCAAGTCACCCCAAGAGTTCACGCCACCAAGTTTTTTAAGATACTAGGACAAAAGCATAACAGTTTCTTCTCTATAATACTCTGCCTTTCTGCAATACTTCTCATCCAACAGAGAAGGATAGGCTAGTGGGTAGGGACTTGGGAGACTTAAGGTTTAATTCTTTGCTCTTCCACAGACTTCCTGTATGACCTTGGGCAAGTCACAGTCTCTGTGCCTCCAATTACTAGCTGTAAAATGAGAATATTAATACTTGCCTACCTCATGGGCCTGTTGTGAGGTTTAGTACATTGAAGACCAGAAGACACTCAGGTATGATGGTAGCGGGGGATGACAAATATTTTAGGTCAAGACAACTTTACAAACAATAAGTGTCATACCCTGTGATGTAGATAAACTGTATTGGTTCCATTGTATAGATTAGGGAATTAAAGTTTCAGAAAGGGTAAGCCTCAGGAATAGAAATCTGAGATTCAGCCCTATCTACTGCACTACACGATCTAAGAACTGTAAAAATGTAAGTAAGTATTAATCAGACACTCCCAAGTGAATGCCAATGAAATAGAATGAAAGCTGTACCCAAGGGGAAAAAGGGCTCTGGTAAACAATCACCACCTGATACTGTTTAAACAATAGCTCTCATCCAGGGAGTGCATTACATGACTATTTTGGTGAACACTGCAGGTATATTCTTAGCCCAGCTACACACCCTGTGATATGCCTCGCAGGTTTACAAATAGAAGAAAAAACCTCAAGCATTTGCTACATCAACAGAAGTTTACAGTAATGAAAACCAGAAATTGAAACTATCCGCACAGCTGGGGAAGGATGGTGCCTCAAGAAGAATACATTAGAACTTAAGTGTTAGGGGGGCAAGCTGCAGCTCAAAGTGGCCATCAAAATGATAAAGGGATACTACTAATGATAAAGGATGGTAAAGGGATACGATTATATGGACAGCTGCCACACTGAGCACATTAAGTTAGAAGTCTTACATTTTAGAGACATTGACCCAAATTCTGCTCCCACTTACATCAGTGCAATTGGAAGCAGAATTGGACTGCTTCTTCCCTAGTGTTTAAATACTGCCTTCACTTAACTTTGGGGGTCTGCTCTGCTAAGGTCTAGGGTAAAAGCCAAGGGAAAACACAGAGAAAGTCACTGCTATTAGGCTGGGACTCTTTTGCTTACATGGGAGGTGACAAAGATACTCCCACCACCCAGGAGCCCATTTTGGAGGAAGAGCAGATTGGGGGAAATCCCCACAAACCCCAGAGCTGCAGGGGTGGGATGAGCCTGAGCAGAGATGTGGGGCCAGAGAGCAAGTGACAGTTCAGCAGCAACTGAAGTGCCCTGTACTGAATGGCTTAATCTGCTGCCAAGGCTGCAGCAGGTTTTATCCACATGCTCCTTTCTTGAAGCATCAACATGCTGCTCATTTCTATACCAGACCCACTACGGGAGCAGCTTGGTAGGGATGCTAGTGCTGCTCCCCACCTCATGCTGGCTGAGCAGATGAATGGAACTTCTGTTAATCCTGCCAGAGGAAACTTTAAGGGCCTTGAACTGTGGTGGAAGTTTACACTTGAAATTAGACGAAGGTTTCTAACAACCAGAGGAGTGAAGTTCTGGAACAGCCTTCCAAGGGAAGCAGTGGGGGCAAAAGAACTGTCTGGCTTCAAGATTAAACTCGATAAGTTTATGGAAGAGATGGTATGATGGGATAACATGATTTTGGCAATTAATTGATCTTTAAACTATTCATGGTAAATAGGCCCAATGGCCTGTGATGGGATGTTAGATGGGGTGGGATCTGAGTTACTACAGAGAATTCTTTCCTGGGTACCTGGCTGGTGAGTCTTGCCCACATGCTTGGGGTTCAGCTGATCGCCATATTTGGGGTCAGGAAGGAATTTTCCTCCAGGGCAGCTTGGAAGAGGCCTGGGGGGTTTTTGCCTTCCTCTGCAGCATGGGGCACGGGTCACTTGCTGGAGGATTCTCTGCACCTTGAAGTCTTTAAACCATGATTTGAGGACTTCAATAGCTCAGACATAGGTGAGAGGTTTATTGCAGGAGTGGGTGGGTGAGATTCTGTGGCCTTCATTGTGCAGGTCAGACTAGATGATCATAATGGTCCCTTCTGACCTTAATATCTATGAATCTGTGGTGCTGCTTACACTGAACAAATACAATCTGTGAGTGATTCAAAGGACATCCTGAAATAAAGCAGATGAAAGCAATCCAGCCCTACATTCTCAGGGATCTGGTCCATGGCTAGCTACCATCTCAACAAAAAAGGTCAGTCTGGATAAAGGTAAGCAGTATTTTTAATGTTTATCCAGTCTCTTAAACTTGCCCAGTCTCAAGCAATCCCATTGTGCCACACATTCTGCATGGAGCAGTCACTCAGCCTTCCCCTGAATCCATCAGAATGGTATCCAAACAACATACCACACATGAGCAGTTGGCAAAGGAATTTTGTGTGCAATGGGAGAGTGGCACTGTGCATTAGGACAAGAGGAAACTGCACAACCCTGCCCCCCCCCCCCGAACATAATCACACTACCCTTACAATGTCACTACACCAGGACAGAGTGGGAGAAGGGTGCCCGCAGTGAAACCCAAGACCTCTCCACATTTATCCTCTCCACTTCATGGTGAGGACGAAGCTCAGGCACCTCAGCTTGTCAGCTGTCAAGAGAAATATGGATACAGACCAACAGGCTGCTCTTTTAATTTGGTGAATTATGTACATGACCTAGGAGAGAGCTGCTGTCACTTCTGTACCAGGTTGTGTTTTCCCCCCCAAAAGAGTTTAGGAGTTACTCAGCGAAGATGCTCTCACAGCAGCTGGTCAAGACGGTAGTTGTTTCCTTCAGAAATTCAAAGACAATTTGGCCACCACTGTCTCATCTCCAACCATCAAAAAAAGATGCAAACTGATAATTCTGGGAAAAGCATAGTTGAGTGTATTTCAGAAATCAACTTTTTTTAAACCAATATAGGAGGCTGCAATGGGAGAGTTGTTTTTACTTTTACCTTACTAGCTTGAATCTGGTCCAGGTTAGACATAACTAAAAGTTGTTACTGTTTGAGGGCTGTTTGGCAGTCCATGGGGAAAGGTGTTACTGCTACCACAATTAGCACCACTGCTGGAAGTTTTCACAGAGGGTCCAGTATACCTCTCAAAGTGTCCATGATTTCAAGGAATGACACTGATGTTAGTCCAAACAGGGGTGGGGGAACCTCACCTTTATTATTGACTATTTACATCAGAAATGGAGAATGAAGCAGCTGAGACAGATCGTTCCTTATTGTGAATAACTAATACCTCAATACTTTCAAGTTTTCCACATGAATAGTTTGTCCCCCTCATTTCAGGTCTTTAATAAATTGCATTTCTCATTTGGGCCTGGGTGACTGAAAGGTATGAGGGTCAGTAGTTAAATGGCACTTGTTCACAGTGGGAATTTGTCCTTTCACTTATGAGCCTCACTTTGCAGAAAGGAAAATGGCAACATACCTCATAGACTGTTATGTACATAACTTAGTATTGGATACATGCTCTTTTCTATTTAGTTTGTATAAATCAAAAATATTAACCTCTGAAGTGTAAAAAAAGGAGCTATTTAAGGGGAAGTTAAAAAATTAAATCAAAAGATGCTTTACTTACAGACATGTCCAAAAAACCTTACATTTTAAAAAACCTTCAATTACTATGCAGAAGTGGATATATCACAGTGAAAAACCTGTTGCCCAATATTTAGAGGGGAGACATTATCTCCAGTATCCCTAAGCCATATTTTTTCAGGTATATAAAGAGACTCTCTCTTGACATGATACAGGAAGTGCACTTCAGCTATTCATTACTTTTTTCTCAGTTAATGAAAACAAGTGTTAAAATATTGCCAGTAGCTGTCACGGTATTTCATAAAGTGGTATAATTTTAGACTGAACACTTTAGGGCAGGGACCATATTTTCATGTGTTTGTGCAGCACCCAACACAACAGGACCCCAAGTCCCAATCAGTGTCTGTGCATACTACCATAATATCAATATTAAAAACAACTGCAGCATTGACATTTTACTGTGCTAAATCCCCAAGAGTGTTTCCAGTCTTTCAACATCAAGCAACAATTGAGGCTGGTAGTAAATTGATTCTCACATTCCACTTAGAATCATAGAATATCAGGGTTGGAAGGGACCCCTGAAGGTCATCTAGTCCAACCCCCTGCTCGAAGCAGGACCAATTCCCAGTTAAATCATCCCAGCCAGGGCTTTGTCAAGCCTGACCTTAAAAACCTCTAAGGAAGGAGATTCTACCACCTCCCTAGGTAACGCATTCTAGTGTTTCACCACCCTCTTAGTGAAAAAGTTTTTCCTAATATCCAATCTAAACCTCCCCCACTTGCTCCAGTTTGTTTTTGTTAGAAATGATCTGTGATGGATATAGTGGAATATATTGATTAGTACTGACAGTCACAGCTTCCCAGGGGTTTTGTGGCATTGCCATTCCACAATGACCTGCTTTCCACCTTGTCAATTTCCTCTTGAACAATCAGTTATAAATATCTGTTCTATTAGAGATCACTTCTCACCCTTCGGAAAACAAAAAGGGGGTCAGGCAAGTAAAATCAGTACAATAAAATAGGCTTGCAATGGTCCAGAACAGCTGATGTTTATTGAGAGAGCTTGCATTAGTGAAAGAAAAGGCACAAAGTAAGCGACAAAGACATTTATATGAACTGTATGAGTCAGAGGCCGTTTCAGAGTTTTTACAAATTACTTAAAAGTTACCATGCCATGGCAGACAAATATCTACGAAATCTTAAAGATTAAGATCTTAAAAATGCTCAAAAGGTCACCCAGAAATAAATTAACATCTCCCAGAATGTAAAGCATATCCCATATTGATTTCTGGCTAAATAGTGTTATTACATTTTGGGAGAAAAGTAGCTTTAAAATGTGTAAAATTTTAATGGAGTCCTTTTTTTAAAATCTCACATTGCAAAAGGTTCCAAACTTGAACCAACTTGCTGGTTTTACCTTGCAGAGCTCCAGTGAATTACAGCAGCTATAGATCAAACAATGTGCATCAAATACAGAAACAACCCAGACAGAAGACGAGAGTCTTAGTTGTTCTGAATATTTTTACATTTGTTATAACAGTTTAGTCTTCTGTGGCAAACGTCTTAAAAGGAGACGGACCCAGCACTTAGTCACACTGTGTAAGTGAATGCCACCATTACAAAAGACATATGTTAGGGAAACAAATGTTTTGAGGCTTGAACAAATGGTGACTTCTTGGTGTTCTAAAAAAAAAAAACCCAAACAATCCCACAGGCTTTAACCGTACAACTGAGAACTAGAAATGGCACTCAGAGGATGATGACAGAAGGACAACTTCCAAATTCAATAAATCCACATATTTATGCTGAAAGGCCTTGTACACACAGTGCTCAAGAAGTCCAAATCAAGGATTAAAAAAATATATACCCACACATTGCATAAAACAAACATCTAAAACTTTCTGCCTGGGTACATGGCCCAAGCAAAAACCCAACCCCTCTAACCACCAGACATCTTTTTGCTTAACCAACAGGCTGACAAGCACTTCTGAATGTAGGATCAAATTCCATCCTGGTATAAGCAGGTACAACTTCACTAAAGTCAATGGGAGTTATACTGGCAATGAACTTGGTCTTATGTTGAAAAAACAAAGTTCATCCACTTAGCTGCTCCTCTGTCAGGGTAATGTCCAAATTCTGACTGAAGTTGAAATCAGTGGGGTTGTGTAAAGGTAACTCAGGGCAGAATTTGATCCTCTGTTCAGGAATTTCATTTGCTTGTCCTATGCGAATAATTAACTGCTTATGAAAGGCTAAGAGCAAGGAGAAACAAGACAGTGCGAGCGTACAGTCTTTTGCCCAACAGATGGGTTTCAGCACAGTAAAGGCCTGGTTTGCAGAAGAGCAGAGCATCACCAATGACAGCCATGGTTGTTCCACCCTTCTAAAACTACCCCCCACTCCACCCCAAAACAACCCTTGTACTTACATTCACTATTCAAAACTCACTGTAAAAAGCATTAAAGCCATAAGTCCTTCCCCGTTTCAAGTTAATCAGTGGATCACCAGCAGCATACAAACAAAACAATGGAAACTATTTTTTCCCATAGTTTCCTAAAATCTCTTTAATGTAATATTCAGTACCAAATAAAGATTAATGGAAAGAGGTAGCTTAAAAAAAATCCAATGTTATTAACTCAAGGAAGGAAAAGCTGCTACCATTAAGTACGCTGTGCAATAAAAATTTTCTTCTTAAAGCAAAAATTATACCTGCACAATGACTGCATCTCATTCAGTCTTCATCAATAACATATAAAAAAAGGTTTTGATTTCACTTTTCCTTGGAATTAAAGACTGACCATTTAGAGACTCACCTGAAATTCTAAGGGAAGAAAATAGGTTATTAGCATTTCCCTAAAGTATTCTATTCTTCGATATACTGTAAATTGTATTTTTAATGTGTTGACAATACCAAATCTTTCCATAAAGTTCTGCTCTTTTCAGATTATACACAGATCCCAACTAAATCCTTAGCAGCCTTTCAACTTTTATTGATCATTTAAAACCATTTAAGGCCAAAATCTGAGCAACACTTCATGAATTTAGAAGGCTTCATGGATACTGCACCATTCAAATACAGCTGTTTAGTATTTCTGTAAATATAATCTATCCATTTAGTAATCAGAAATTCTGATTACTATTGTTGTCACACTTTATCTGGCTCCTGATTGACTATGAATCTGAGCAGTATATCAAAGTTGGCTGGGAAGCAGTAATATTTTGTTTTAGAGACTCATGCACTATTTGTAATTGAGGGGCAGATATACAAAAGGGAACAGTGATTGGTCCAGGCAGCCATGTTATATGTATCCACATAAAGGTGTGAATTATGCCACCTCATGGCTTTGTCCCATTCCATTTACCACCTGGAGGTACAGAATCTCTTTACAATCTTTTGGAGACAGGAAGCAGCCAGCTCCTGCTGTGCATTCCAGCAGTTGTCTGCATTTTTGCTGGCATACATGCTGCCACCAGAATTTAAGTTTTTTTTTAAAACAGTTCCAAAAGGAAACTGAACTCTCTTGTAGACATTTTAAAACTTAACACTGCCCTTAATTAAAATATACCAGTTCAACCATCTACTTCATTCTATAAACTCCATGTGGCCTTCAATTAACATTTCTTAAAAGTCTGATGAGTGAACTAACAAATTCTAGCAAGTGGTCTTATCTTGTTTATCCTGATCTTGAAGAGTGAGCTTTGATATTTACAATAAAATAAGACCCTGCAGACTTGTGTATGATATATGAGACAGGCAACGGTTTCATGTTATGCAAATTCTATACTTTGTTTTTTAATATTAATCTCTTTGGCTAATTACTGTCTCTGCAAGCAGTGAGAAGGGTTTCAGAAACAATGGTCATTAAAGTGCAAAGAGCATTAAGGCATGAACAAAGGTAGTTCTCCCTTTTCCTGTCCTAAAGATCCATGGAGAGATGCTTGTAAATCTAGTTTTATCCGGTCACATGGAAGAATTCCAAATGAACACACAGAATTAGTTTTAGACATTATTTCATTCCAGCTTAGAAATCTGGCAACTGCTTATACCAATTCCGTAGAATTACCTACGGATAGCACCAGTCCAAACTGATTTGAGGACACTTAAAAGCACTTTAGCACTAGGGACAGTTCAAATGAATCAAAGTAAAACAAAAATCGATTCCCTATTTATATTTTCTTAGTATTTTTCACTAGGTTTGCAATCAAAGCTATTTTAGGATGATTCAAGAAGCTATCAGTAGGAGAGAGGGGATGAAAAAAAGTAAATAAATTTAGGCTGACTTTCAAGGTAACTTTTTAAAACATCTATTAGACTGGAATAGTCCTATCACATGGATCATCTGAAGGTTACAGTAGATTGGAGTAGGCACTGGCAACTATATGGTAATGAAGAATGCTGCACTGGATGCTAGAGGTGAAAGAGCTACAATATCAAATAAGCCCTTTCCATATGATTTCTATAATAATAGCGATTTCTCCATCTAAGAACCTTTCTTTCACTCTTTATACCCTACAATGAATTCATAGAGTACTGAAACTCAAAACAGTTACATGCATAGTCCTGCACTAGAAATAATTAATGTAAGAAGAGCTGTGCATAAAGACTTAGCTGGTCCACCCAGAGGCATGCATGTACATGCTAACTTCCACCATACAATCCTTGTGTTGCACACAGATTTTTTGGTGTATGTGCTGCCAGCCAGAATTGGGCCCATAATACTGATATACTGACATGAATGTATTACAGTTTTAAAATAAACGAAACTGAGAAGCTAACGCCATAGCTTCCATAACATTTTTCTTTCTTGAATTTGCTTGACCAAGTCAACATGGTCTAGAACTTAGAGCACATCCCCTGCCATACCCTGATAACAGAGTTGGGAAATGGTAAGAAGATGGGTCTCGCTGGAAGCAGTGCTGACCTGATCTCTGCTGTGGGAAAGTCTCAGTTCTCTACAGTAGAGCCCCATAAAGAGACCCAGCTGAAAAACAACTTCTACAAAACAAGGATATATAGGTAAGAGACTGACAGCTACCAACTTGGATTTATTCTTATGTCTACACAGGACCAAGAACCCTGAATAGTGCAGATCACTTATGTAAAGTTAGCCTAGCAACAATGGAATAAAATAAGCATGGGGAGAGCATTTGTCAAACTTCAATCAAGAATTGCAAGGATTAAATCTGTCAGATCATCAGTGCTATTTTAGTGTCACTAACAGTGATACTTTTCTTTTTGATCTGGTGTATATTCAAGTTTCCCTGGGCAGATGTCCAATACGTGCTGCCCATACATGGGAAGAATCAGAATAAGGCCAGCTCTGAACCATTAGATTATACCTGGAGGTAGGGTAGCCATACAAATGTTGTGACTTGGGGGTCTAATTAAAACAGGCACTAGCTGCAGAGTTCAGAACAGCATGCATTGTCAATCTGAAGAGTTCTGCTTAGCAATATTGGTCTGCCTAGATACAGTGTATGCTGTCCATACTTGCCATGAAATGCTGTGCATCATATGTGCACAACAAATGCTAACTAGGGCAAAGTATCTGATGCCACAATGGCTTAGGACTTCTCTGTATGAAACAGGAATCTTCTTCTGTTCTGTAGCAGGTGGTCAGCTTGTACCACCCGCAACTTCTAAGCACAAACCCAAACACCAGAGGTGCCAGACTGAAGCACATGGAGTGCAAGAGTAATAAGTCATTTGTCAGAATCCTTCTGTAAAAAAAAAAAACAAAACAAAAAAACAAACAAACACAAAACAAAAAAAACCCCAACGAACACTGAGCTACCGCCTAGGAAGATCCTGTTCTAGCAATTCACTGGCCCAAAAATAAATAAATAGCCACTCAACAGCCTCTATGGCAGACACAGTAGGAGGTCCTCAACCTTTGAATGTGCAAACCCGGGACAGACTCAGTATAAGGGTCTCCAAAAAAACTGCAATTAATTTATTTCACATAAAAGTTTCTTCATCCTTGGTTTTGCAATCATATGTATAAGAGTGCTTGTATGAAATGGAGGTACATTTAACCTTAAACTAGGGGCTGTCACAAATTTTGACCATGATCCTACAAAGAAATCCACCCACCTGAACCACTGCAACCACACGGAGTAACAATGGAAAGTTACATGGATGGATCTCTTTGCAGGTTTGGGACTTTTAGCAAAAACAAAACCAACAAGGCCAAGAGCGCTAGTCAGTCTCACAAAGGAGTCCCTATTTCCACTGCTTAAAGCCAGAAAGAGGCAGTGATTCCATTGTGGAGATTGATCCCCTAAGAAATATAGGGTTTGTGACAACATCAGTACAGTTCCTAGGTACTGCAGCATTAATTTCAGTAAGAGCTATTGCACATGTAGAACCTTTGAGGAAAAAAATCACCAAGAACCTAATGAAAAGAAAAAAAACCCTTTCCGTCCCATGTTTCTTATAATCCCCATATTTTAAAGTGTCAAATGTCAAACTAGAAAAAAAAAGCACAACACACAAACTTAATTATAACTCCAAGAACTCCACTCAGTCATTTTCCTATGTATAAATAAGGCTGAAAACATCCAGATTAGTTTTAAAAAGTTCTATTAATTTTGCTATCTCATCCACAAGAGCTGTGCAAGAGTCAGGAGAGATCAAAGCGTGGGCTGCTGGTCAAATGTCCCACTGTTGTCTACAATGCAGCCAGCAGTCCTCTTCATCTTCCCTACTGATGTGCTACCTGCAGCGACCACTGAACCCCACTACAGCTCACCGTTGTGCTCATAGCACTGTATCAATCTGTGCAGATCAAGATGGAGTACTGCATGCTAGAACATGTAGTCTTGTGGGCTTCCCCTCTGCACTGAAGATGAGGATAGCAGCACTACATTCCACTCAGGTAACAGAGATACAACTCTTGGGCTCCTAGAAAGTTGCCTATGCAGCTCTTGACTGGACAAAGTTTAGATAGCCTGCTGTAAGTTTCAGATCCGATCTTCTGCTTCCTTCCGGAATAACTGAGTTTTTCGCTCTGACTCTGGAATATGTTCAGTAAACACCCTTCTCCCCAATTATTTGATCATGTATTATTTTCCAATAGAATAACCAGCTACCTTTACACTTTTAATATGAAATTTGATCCCATAAACTGCAAAGAATTATATAGAAGTCAACTGTAACAGCTAGGAATATTGAATCCGTACCAAAAGGCCGCATCTATTAGTTGGAAAAACACTCAACATCTTTCTCTTTCAGTATACTTAAAAAAAAAGTTTAGTGTAAACAAAAGAATACAGTTCTCCCTCAGCAAGGTCAAGTAATTAATTGAATGTGGGCTCAAGAAACTTCCAAAGAACTTTATCTACATACAGAATTTTAAAGTAAATACTAGCATCCTCTTGCAATGATCCCCAAGACACTAGTAGCAGCCTGCACAGGCAATTTCAGTACTCTGTACCACTGCATGCAGATCTCATTTTTCCTCCATAGCCATAATCATGGAAAGCCCACAATAATGCAAAACATAGCTAAGTAAAATTACTTCCCGTAAGACATTCACTCTATGCCATGGAAAAACAAGTCCCTCAGCTTACATGGCAAAGTGACAAACACAAAATCAATCAGAATATGCAACAGAAATTCAGAGCCATCCTGAGATTTACAGACTGTCATGACAAACCTGTGTGAGAAAGAACCAAAATAAAAGGGAAAAAAAGGAAGTTGTTTTGAGAGGTGCAAGGGCTGGGTGGAGGAGACAGATAGGGGGAGAAGAGATCAGCAATAATGGAGATTTTGTTTTACTTAAGTCCCTCTGCCCTTTCCTATTAGCTGGTCCCTCTAACCTTTGATGGCCCCTCTAGACATCCACCCTACAACATCAATGAGTACAGCTATCTTTTGTTGGTGTTCCCTAAGCACTTGAGGTATGAAATTCCATTCCAGTGAGCGGATGCAGAACTGGTGGAGATTCCATAGTTCATTCTTTCCAGTGTGCTGCAGGTTACTTGAGAGGATTTCAAGAATTTGTTCCCATCATACTGGCCTATAGTATCTTCTGTGTCCAGTTTAACTCTTTAGGTTTCATCCATCTGAAGAAGCCTAGTTGAAACCTTTCCAGTTTATGGATTTCAGCTGCTTCAAAATCAACATGAGCCCACCTTGAAGGAAAAATGCAAACACATGCAGCGGAAGTCTGCAAGTTGAATCAGTTCTCAAGTTCAAGTTTCAGAAATACCTCAAATCCCTCCCCATCATCTTTGGCCTCAAACCTAGCCTGCAATCATAAGTTTGAGCCACAAACATTTGAATGGTTTTCATGAGTAAGAAAAAAAAAAATCAGCAGTGGTCACCAGTCAAACCACTGTAATGCATCTGAGTAGTACTCTAATTCCTCCCCCAGTGCTGGAAAGGCAGAGGCACTTGCCCTGTTATAATTCACCCGCAGACAGTTCCAGTTTTATTTTTACAGGTGGACCTGGCTGGACAAGTTTAAAAAAAAAAAAAAGGCATAAAAAGGAAAGCTTCCTCTTGTTACTTGATCATTTGGGTCTCTTCATCAGCATCATAGAATTCTTCATCTTCACTTTCACTCCCCGCAGAGCGATCTTTATCTGCAGACTAGGAAAAAAAATGAAATTGTTAACACATTCAACAGTTAACATTGAAAAAATGTACTTTTGCAGCACCTTCAGAGCATCTCAAAGTGCTCTTTACAAATAGGAAGCATTACAACCCTACTGAGAGGTGGGGAGGATTTTGCCCATTTTACACAGGGGAAACTGAAGTACAGAGAAGTTAAATGACCTGCCCAAGGTCAGTTCCACTTGGATCTGAGGATTTTAGATTCATACTTCTTCGAACCCTCTTAGCAAATGATGGACTTTTATCCAGCATGAACTCCTGTACTCCCTTTAGCTGACTAAGGAGGTCGGATGCAAGACAAGTGAACTGACTAGGATGGCTTGATCTGGCATTCTACAAAGCTTTCTGAGTTACGAAAGCAGTAGCAATGTTCCTGTCCCTCTGATCTACTAGAAGCAAAGGCTCAGGAAGCAGAGTTTGGGGGAAATGCCTCTTCATCCCTATTTATCATGAGTGGACATCTTCCTACACAAGCTTCACATTTAAAAAAAAAAAAAAAAAGGGCATTTGCCAGGATTACCTGCCATGGAGATAAACAAAGCTCCAACTAGCCAGCAATATAAAAAGCCTAAACACAGGTGAAAAGAGACTCATGGGACCAGAAAGCTTTTACAAAACAAGCTAACTACGAGAAAAAACAAAACAGCAAAAAACTAACTATGCCTGACACAAAGGGAAAGAGGTTCTGCAGGTACTGAAACTGTTGGAAAGGGAGAAACTGTGGGACAAAAGGCTATTCTGTACTCTTGCAATCTACAATGCAAGGGTGTGCAACATACATACCTGCAAGCTATTTTCACTACTTGAAAAGTTTGTGGCTTGCGATCCAAGTCAGGTGACTATCTGGGGTAGAGAAGGGAACTGCAGAGACAATTTGCTAAATGAGAGCTGAAACTAGATCTCCCTACTCCCAGGGCTGTACTTTGGCCACGAGATCATTCTTATCCTCCAAGCAAAGGAAGTTACCCGACTTGCACTAATTACATATAAGAGGGGAATTGTTTCCCGCCCCCCCCCAAAAGGTTAGAGTGGTGCAAGTGCGAAAATACACACATTTGAAATTTTGTTTGGATGAACAACATTCTTTCAGACAGAGCATTTCCAGCAGTAAGCACCCCCTAATACCTTGGTAGGGAACTGTGCTCTGCACTGACTAAAGGAATGGGTGATAAATTGTGAACAATAATAGAATCACAGGACTGGAAGGGACCTTGAGAGGTCATCTAGTCCAGTCCCCTGCACTCATAGCAGGACTAAGCAATATCTAGACGATCCCCAACAGGTCTTTGTCTAACCTGCTCTTAAAAACCTCTAACGATGGAAATTCCACAACCTCCCTGGGCAATTTATTCCAGTACTTAGCCACCCTGGCAGTTAGGAATTTTTTCCTAATGTCCAACCTAAACCTTCCTTGCTGCAATTTAAGCCCGCTGCTTCTTGTCCTATCCTCAGAGGTTAAAAAGTAATTCTTTCGTTCTACTCTGCGCTGATTAGGCCTCAGCTGGAGTACTGTGTCCAGTTCTGGGTGCCACGTTTCAGGAAAGATGTGGACAAATTGGAGAAAGTCCAGAGAAGAGCAACAAAAATGATTAAAGGTCTAGAAAACATGACCTGTGAGGGAAGATTGAAAAAATTGGGTTTGTTTAGACTGAGAGGGGACATAAGTTTTCAAGTACATAAAAGGTTGTTACAACGAGGAGGGAGAAAAATTGTTCTTCTCGTGTCTTGCTTACCACAGTCCTGCTAATACATCCCAGAATGATGTTCACCCCCCCCCCCCCCCCCCCCAACAGTAGTACATTGTTGACTCATATTTAGCTTGTGGTCCACTATGACCCCCAGATCCCTTTCTGCAGTACTCCTTCCTAGACCGTCATTTCCCATTTTGTATGTGTGCAACTGATTGTTCCTTCCTAAGTGGAGGATTTTGCATTTGTCCTTATTGAATTTCATCCTATTTACTTCAGACCATTTCTCCAGTTTGTCCAGATCATTTTGAATTATAATCCTATCCTCCAAAAACCTTGCAAGCCCTCCCATCTTGGTATTGTCCGCAAACTTTATAAGTGTACTCTCTATGCCATTATCTAAATAATTGATAAAGATATTGAACAGAACTGGAACCAGAACTGATACCTGTGGGACCCCACTCATTATGCCCTTCAAGTTTGACTGTGAACCACTGATAACTATTCCCTGGGAACGGTTTTTCAACCAGTTATGCAACCATCTTATAATAACTCCATCTAGGCTGCATTTCCCTTGTTTATGACAAAAATCACAAATACCATTTCCTAAAATATCCTTTTGATTTCCCTGAATGTCTCATCCAAGTATTGACCCAGCCCAATCCTGTTCAGCTTGCAATATCTGTCTTTCACAGATTCTGAAGTGCTTTAGAACCCAATCATAGAATATCAGGGTTGGAAGGGACCTCAGGAGGTCATCTAGTCCAACCCCCTGCTCAAAGCAGGACCAATCCCCAGTTTTTGCCCCAGATCTCTAAATGGCCCCCTCAAGGATTGAACTCACAACCCTGGGTTTAGCAGGCCAATGCTCAAACCACTGAGCTATCCCTCCCCCCTATAAACGAAGCACCCCTGAAACACAGCCCTCTGGGATGGAAGGCAGCAACCAACCTGTGCATTACAGTTTTATAATACACTGCTACCTTGATATAACATGGTCCGATATAAAGCGAATTCTGATATAACGCGGTAAACGAGTGCTCCAGGGGGTGTGGCTGCTCGCTCTGGTGGATCAGCACGTCACGTGTGTGGCTTCGATATAACGCGGTTTCACCTATACCGCGGTACGATTTTTTAACTCCCGAGGACCGTGTTATATCGAGGTAGCAGTGTATCAGTGATTTATGGGTCTTCCTTGACATGGAGAATTATCGCACTCAGTGTATGTAACTTACAGACCTAAAAGCCCACAAAGCAACTGCTCCCAGAGAAGAGGGGAAAACATTAACACATGTATTGTCATAGAACAGGGGCCAGCAACCTATGGCATGCATACCGAAGGCAGCACGCGAGCTGATTTTCAGTGGCACTCGGCTGCCAGCCCGGGGTTCCGGCTGCCAGCCCCTTGCCAGCCGGGATCTCAGCCACCGGCCCGCTCAGCCCACTGCCTGCCTGGGGACATTGGAAAACTCAGCAAGGAAAAGCAAGGGCAAGGATCACACTAAACTGATAAGATCTGCATTTTAAATTTAATTTTAAATGAAGCTTAAACATTTTAAAAACCTGATTTAATTTACGTACAACTGTAGTTTAGTTATATAATATAGACAGAGAGAGAGACCCCTTCTAAAAACGTTAAAATGTATTACTGGCACACGAAACCTTAAATTACAGTGAATAAATGAAGACTTGGCACACCACTTCTGAAAGGTTGCCAACCCCTGGCATAGAATCAGACAAGTCTTCTTACTTTGCCCAACCCAGACTAACAACATTGGACACGGTCAGATTTTCTCTGCAAATCTTTGAGCACAGTGGGAGATTATCCAAATATTTCAGCTCTTATGAATCATGTAAAGTGGCTATACCCAGTCCTTGTCGATAATTAAGGGGTTTGCCAGTGCAGTTGTACCAGCAAATCCTCCTTGTATAGATGCAGTTTTTACCAGCAAAAGAGTTGGTTTAAACTGCATCTATACCAGGAGGGCGAAAAAAAAGCTATTCCAGCAAAATGGCTTTGATGGTATAACTGGGGTATAACACTACACTGATGGTATAACGCTAGGGCATTTGCTAACACAGCTATGTCAGGAAAAAAAATCACTCCGCTAATCGAGTCTATGACATAGTATGTTGGCAAAACTTAAATGTACACTAGGCATCAGTGGGTATCCAGCAGAACAATGTATTAAGTAATCCTAATGGCAGCTCCACCAGACTTTTCTATCACCTTTATCAGACAGGGTTAATGTTTAACAGCTTTTCATTTTCCATATGTTTTACCTGTGATTGTCTTAAAAAATGTATAATGTGTCAGAGGCCATCTTGGGTGTAACTTCACTGAAGTAGACAGTGTCTCTGCAGACATGAATCTGACTCCTTTTGTTTTATCTGGATTCAAATCAGATGTATATCTGGGGAAGCGTGTTCCTAAAGACTGAGTATTTTTTCATTTCGTTTAATGTGACAAGATGTACCTTCTAGTGCTCCAAGTCAATCTATAATCTTTATAAACCCTACAATACTTATACGTTTTGGACCAGTGTTAAGAAACCTAAGATCCCTCCCCAAACTTAATCACTCTTTCCACTCATTTATTTCTCCCTCCCCAGGAGAAAAAAATAGATGAAAGAACTCTCACACCAAGACATGACTGGAAGGTCAACAAAACCTGATGAATGAACAAAGGGAAGCAAACTCAGCAGTCAAGTAAACCTCACTGAAAATACCTTGCCTCCAAGTCTCCTCATTATTAAGCCTGGGAGCTGTTAGATCATGCATCTCAACTAATCTCAGCTACTACGGTCAGGTGTGAGGTAGACATCAGAGTTAACCAGGTTCTAACCAATTTAAGGCTTTGTATGTTAGAACCAACATCTTAAATTGCACCCAAAAACAAAAAGTGGAAGCCTGCACAGATTATAGAATACAGGCACAGCCCTCCCTCATAAACCAGCTGCTGCATCTTGTGCCAGATAAGGTTTTTGAAAGGTCTTACGGACCAGCCTTATAGGACCCAGCAGACTAGAGGTGACAGAGGCAGAGATCTCTGTGTTAGGGTCCTTTATCCTAAATGGAAAGTTGTAACTTTTTCACCAAGCATGAGAGGGATGAGTTGACCTAGCTAGGATCTGAGCCTGCACTTGCAGAGAATATTGCAGATATGATGGTAAGATCACTAAACTATCCCCAGTGTCCCCTTGGAGCCTGTCATCCACAGACTAAGCACCATCTAGTTCGGCACTCCTAAAGTTGACAGCTGTAATCGATGCACTACAATGGTGGAGAAGTATTAAGAAAAGTGATGTACCCGTGAGCCGCCTAGTGCTTGCAATGACATAGCTTCGTCCCCCAGTCTCCAGTATGAGCACACCTGCAGGTCTGATATCGTCTCTAGCAAAGGGCTGTTCAGTGTTTCTGGCAACAACAAACTCAGGAGCCCCGACAACACGCCAGTCACTCCAAACACGATGTATGGCAGAGACCACTGCACGGATTTCTGGAAATTAAGAGCAGAGATAGTTAAGGAAAGGGGGGCAAACATATCGCATTTTACATATTCAAGCACTTAATTTTCAGCCACCCTGTGAGGTAGGTATTGTCACACTACACCACGTTCTTCATAGAGATATTATGAGATAATTATGGCATAACTATAACGTATTTTATGCAAGATTGATCATGTGAGATATTGAAAAGGCTATGATTTACTGAATATAATTATACTACTTATATGCATGTATCATTTTGGTATCTGAAGTTAGGAATATTGTTTATGCATCTATTACAAATGTGTTTACACCTGGGGAACGCCCATTAGGCAGAATGCACACAGTCTAGATGGCTGGCTGGAAAGGGCCATTATGGAGAACAGGTCTTAGAAAAAGTTAATCTCCCACCAGGGAGCCTTCCTGAGGATGCTACAAACAGACTGAGTCATTGCTGCTGTGACCCTACAGACATGTGACCAAGTCACCTGTACTGGACTCCATCTTGGAATACCAGTGTATTTCCACTGAACAGGCACGGGAACCAAGCTTGGAGACAAAGCTATTTAAGGCAGAAGAGTGACATCAGGGTTCTTCGCTGACTCCCCACCCAAAGGAGACGCTTGGAAACACCTGAGAAACAAGGACTGGACTGGGGGAGAAGGGTTGGACCCAGGCTAGAGGGATTTCTAGCCTGTGAAAGCAATATCTGGGGGTTTTAAGCTGCAAGCAAGGGCAGCTGGCCCCTTAATCTCTACAAACTGCCTGAATCAACAATTAGGGTGAGAATTTGCTACTCATATCCAATCTCTTTAGTATATTATGCTTAGATTGCGTTTTTGTTTATTTGCTAGGTAATCTGTTTTGATCTGTTTGCTATCTCAAATCATAGAATATCAGGGTTGGAAGGGACCTCAGGAGGTCATTTAGTCCAACCCCCTGCTCAAAGCAGGGCCAATCCCCAACTAAATCATCCCAGCCAGGGCTTTGTCAAGCCTGACCTTAAAAACTTCTAAGGAAGGAGATTCCACCACCTCCCTAGGTAACGTATTCCAGTGCTTCACCATTCTCCTTGTGAAAAAGTTTTTCTTAATATCCAACCTAAACCTCCACACTGCAACTTGAGACCATTACTCCTTGTTCTGTTATCAGCTACCTTTGAGAACAGTCTAGATCCATCCTCTTTGGAACCCCCTTTCACGTAGTTAAAAGCAGCTGTCAAATCCCCCCTCATTCTTCTCTTCTGCAGAAGAAACAATCCCAGTTCCCCCAGCCTCTCCTCATAAGTCATGTGTTCTAGTCCCCTAATCATTTTTGTTGCCCTCCGCTGGACGCTTTCCAATTTTTCCACATCCTTCTTGTAATGTGGGGCCCAAAACTGGACACAGTACTCCAGATGAGGCCTCACCAATGTCGAATAGAGGGGAATGATCACGTCCCTCGATCTGCTGGCAATGCCCCAACTTACGTAGCCCAAAATGCCATTAGCCTTTGTTAGGATATAGATATTCAGGCCTGTCTGTAAAGGCCTATACTCTAAGAATTTAGGTGTAATCTTATCCCTTGGCTAGTTATAGAGGTATAAAAGAATCAAAATCACTGTCTGCCAGTGTAAGGTCCTTCTCTTACTGCGACAGTCTGAGGCCCTGTTCTTAGGCTAAGGCCTTTGGCTAAGCACAGACGCAGCCATAAGCTGGGAAGCGACCGGTCACCTCCTCACATTCCAAACTAGTCACATTGAAATAAGGTGCTATTGGGCTGTTAGGAATACAATCCTGTCCTGATAATGCCTATGCCTCCAGCGAAAGGGAAGTGCCTAGAAAATGTAAAAGGAAACTTAGTTTGATAGCTTCCTGTCTGGCAAGAACTCACTTATCAATAGCTGGGATGTGAAATCCTCATTTCTGTGTTTGTTCTATCACTGTAGTCCCCATTTCCCCACTGTTTGTCTGTATAATCTCTGTCTGGTTCTGCGATTGTTTCTGTCTGCTGTATAATTAATTTTGCTGGGTGTAAACTAATTAAGGTGGTGGGATATAATTAGTTAAATAATCATGTTACAATATGTTAGGATTGGTTAGTTAAATTCCAGGAAAATGATTGTGCTCATCCAGCTTTTCTAAATAGGCTTGAACCACTTCTTTCTCCACAGAGGGCTGGTCACCTCCTCCCCATGCTGTGCTGCCCAGTGCAGTAGTCTGGGAGCTGACCTTGTTCGTGAAGACAGAGGCAAAAAAAGCATTGAGTACATTAGCTTTTTCCACATCCTCTGTCACTAGGTTACCTCCCTCATTTAGTAAGGGGCCCACACTTTCCTTGACTTTCTTCTTGTTGCTAACATACCTGAAGAAACCCTTCTTGTTACTCTTAACATCTCTTGCTAGCTGCAACTACAGGTGTGATTTGGCCTTCCTGATTTCACTCCTACATGCCTGAGCAATATTTTTATACTTTTTCCTGGTCATTTGTCCAATCTTGTAAGCTTCTTTTCTGTGTTTAAGATCAGCAAGGATTTCACTGTTAAGCCAAGCTGGTCACCTGCCATATTTACTATTCTTTCTACACATCGGGACGGTTTGTCCCTGTAACCTCTATAAGGATTCTTTAAAATACCACCAGCTCTCCTGAACTCCTTTCCCCCTCATGTTATTCTCCCAGGGGATCCTGCCGATCAGTTCCCTGAGGGAATCAAAGTCTGTTTTTCTGAAGTCCAGGGTCCGTATTCTGCTGCTCTCCTTTCTTTCTTGTGTCAGGATCCTGAACTCGATCATCTCATGGTCACTGCCTCCCAGGTTCCCATCCACTTTTGCTTCCCCTACTAATTCTTCCCTGTTTGTGAGCAGCAGGTCAAGAAGAGCTCTGCCCCAGTTGGTTCCTCCAGCACTTGCACCAGGAAATTGTCACCTACACTTTCCAAAAACTTCTTGGATTGTCTGTGCACCACTGTATTGCTCTCCCAGGAGATATCAGGGTGATTGAAGTCTCCCATGAGAACCAGGGCCTGCGATCTAGTAACTTCTGTTAGTTGCCGGAAGAAAGCCTCATCCACCTCATCCGCCTGGTCCGGTGGTCTATAGCAGACTCCCACCACGACGTCACCCTTGTTGCTCAGGCTTCTAAACTTAATCCAGAGACTCTCAGGTTTTTCTGCAGTTTCATACTGGAGCTCTGAGCAGTCATACTGTTCTCTTACATACAATTCAACTCCCCGACCGTTTCTGCCCTGCCTGTCCTTCCTGAACAGTTTATACCCATCCATGACAGTACTCCAGTCATGTGAGTTATCCCACCAAGTCTCTGTTATTCAATTGCATCATAATTCCTTGACTGTGCTAGGACTTCCAGTTCTCCCTGCTTGTTTCCCAGGCTTCTTGCATTTGTGTATAGGCACTTAAGATAACTCGCTGATCATCCCGCTTTCTCAGTATGAGGCAGAAGCCCTCCCCTCTTGCGCTCTCCTGCTCGTGCTTCCTCCCAGTATCCCACTTACCTCAGGTCTCCTTCCCCCGGTGAGCCTAGATTAAAGCCCTCCTCACTAGGTTAGCCAGCCTGCTTGCAAAGATGCTCTTCCCTCTCTTCGTTAGGTGGAGCCCATCCCTGCCTAGCACTCCTCCTTCTTGGAGCACCATCCCATGGTCAAAGAATCCAGAGCCTTCTCTGCGACACCACCTGCACAGCCATTCATTGACTTCCATGATTCAAATGGTCTCTACCTGGGCCTTTTCCTTCCACAGGGAGGATGGACGAGAACACCACTTGCACCTCAAACGCCTTTATCCTTCTTCCCAGAGCCACATAGTCTGCAGTGAGCTGCTCAAGGTTATTCTTGGCAGTATCATTGGTGCCCACGTGGAGAAGTAGGAAGGGGTAGCGATCCGAGGGCTTATAATCACTTAAAAAAAAATCTCTTTTGTAGTTAATAAACTTATATTTGCTTGGTCTAAAACCAGTGTGTGGGAGTCATAACTGGGGGCAGAAAGTTGTGTATATTCCTCTCCACATTGAGGGAGGGGGCGAATTTCATGAGCTTAGGCTGTACAGTTCTCAGCGCAGCGCAAGACAGTATAATTTTGGCTTTACCCTCCAGAGGGGGGTGTGTGCAGTTGAGTAATTGGGAAATTCCCTAACTGAAACCTTCCCATGCAGAACTGATCACAGCATCTGTATGTTTCTGAAGATGGCTGTGTCCCTACCTGTATGTGTGCTGGTGAAGGTGCAGACTGAAGCCTGGAAGAGGGCTTGACAGGCTGGTTACAGTAGTACTGTGTAAAGGGAACCCAGGCTGGTGGGTCAAGTGGGCTCAGTGACACCCCAGTTCCAGGTGGCACCCCGTGGGGAACCCATCACAGGTATGATACGTAAGGCTGCATGTCTGTCACGGAGGTCATGGAAGTCACGGATTCAGCCCCTAGGCCAGCAGCAGCAGTTTGGGTGTGTAGGAGGGGGCTCAGGGCAGGAGGGTGCGCTTACTGGGGGCGGGGGCGCACGAGAGGGAGGCTCCCTGGCTCTCACTGGCATAGGCAGAAGAGGGGATAGGAGGCGCCACGCGTTGGCCATGCCCGCAGGCCCCACCCCCACAGCTCCCATTGGCTGCGGTTCCTGGCCAGTGGGAGCTGCGCCTGCAGAGCCAGCACCTGGGGTGGGAGCAGCAATTGGAGCCCCCCGGCCACAACTGTGAGGACATGTGGAGCCCGGCAGGGAGCCTGCGACTCCTGCCAATCCTCCCCCACTCCCCCCGAGCACCAGCAACGCTCCCCCCAGCACCAGCAGGGTCCCAAGCATCCCCCCACCCCCAAGTTTTAGTTAGGGGTATATAGTAAAGTCATGGACAGGTCACGGGCTATGAATGTTTGTTTACTGCCTGGGACCTGTCCATGACTTTCACTAAAAATACCTGTGACTAAAATGTAGCCTTCATGATACATAAAGATCGGAACAGAGGATTTCAAAAATGCTTGGAACCTCTGGATCCACAGGTTTTGGAACGAATTTTAAATAAGTGCCTGCTAAATTCATGTTTCAGAGTAACAGTCGTGTTAGTCTGTATTCGCAAAAAGAAAAGGAGTACTTGTGACACCTTAGAGACTAACCAATTTATTTGAGCATAAGCTTTCGTGAGCTACAGCTCACTTCATCGGATGCATACTGTGGAAAGTACAGAAGATCTTTTTATACACACAAACCATGAAAAAATTGGTGTTTACCACCACAAAAGGTTCTCTCTCCCCCCATCCCACTCTCCTGCTGGTAATAGCTTATCTAAAGTGATCACTCTCCTTACAATGTGTATGATAATCAAGGTGGGCCACTTCTAGCACAAATCCAGGGTTTAACAAGAATGTCGGGGGGTGGGGTGGGGGGAGAACAAAGGGAAATAGGTTACCTTGCTAAATTCATGCATTCAAGTTCTTGGCTATGAAATTTTTCCACAAACGCTGATTTGTGCACACAAATTGAGTAGATGTCAAATGCCAAATCAAATTTGGGGGAGAAAAAGTGTGAGTTGCCTAAAATGGAACTCCAGAAACTTGAATGTACAGTTTCAGGCAAATTGAGAAGCCAGGCAAGTTCATTTTGAAAATTTGAACCTTTAGATGCAACTGTTAAAAAAAAAAATCAGTTAAGTTTTAAGTCTCACTTTCATTTGTGAAAAAATTCTAAATCAAGATAGGAGAAGTTAACACAATATTAGACTATGACCAGGCATAAAGGCACAATGTTTTATCACCAATATATACAATCTCAACTTTCTCCCCCACCAAAAAGACAAACCTTATTTACAAATGTGCTCGGGGGAACTCCCAAAACAAACAGTTTTTCTCCCCAATTCAACATTTATTTGTTCCCATATTTACGCAAAGCTGACATATGTTAAGTTTGATGAAGTCTCAAATTGATGATTTGTTTAAGATCGTTTGCTCAGATTCTCCACAATGCCAAGTTCTTTCCGGACACAGGAGAATGGAGTGCTCCCCATATACTCACCCGATCACCACCACCACCCATGTCAGGGAGCTTAGGACACTTCCTCAGGCAGATCTACACTGGCCTGAGCCTATCCTGGAGTACACTGGGGGCTGTATAGTCTACACCATCTAGCAATGAACTCCCAAAGGCCAGATAGTCAGAATACCCTCAACCCTGCCTTCCGGACAGACCCCTTTGCCCGAGTCAGGTGGGAGGGGATGCAGAAGCAAGAAAGCTCCACCCCACAGAGGGAATTGTCACCTGGTCAGAGTTGGCAGTTTCCAGTTCCTTTCTGCCAGAAGAAAATCTGACCATTTATTTTTATACAAATACCTCAGGTCACTATACCATACATAATATATGTAATTCCCCATCACCCTGATTTCTCATTCTGTTCAGGGCCTACTGCAAGATTCAGGCTCAGGGATTTTAAGTATCTCAGGTCTCTACACAAATATCCACATCTAGAAATATGACACTTAGCTACGAATTTTAATTTGCATGCATCTTGTGAGAGTGAAGCCAGTTGAGGCTGCCTCTCTTCTCCATTACGATATTAAGGTTAAACCGCAAACCTCACATTTCAAGGAATAAACTGATCACATCATTCCTTCCCTTTCCCCTATCCATTTCCAGAACTACATGTTTGCTGAGGCAATTTATATGAAGGGATTCATCTCTAGCATTAGCCACAGACAGAGTGGGGATAAGAACTACTAAAGAGAGTACAACAATCTCATCTGATATGGCAAATCCTACAAGCCAGCTTGGGTTTTAACTTTGCCTATTCAGGGTTTTAGGAGAGGCTCACCACCATAGTATCTGAGCATCTGAAAGTGGTCAGGCTGTTGCAGCGTATAGGCCAGTTCATGAAATCATTACATGGATAAAACACAGACTGAAACAAGTGGTGGGAGTTTTGCCTACATACGGGCTACATCCTGCTGTCCTTCACCATGTATGGAGAATCATGATACTATATTGACATGTCCTCCATGTTGATTATATTTTACAGATCTTGAATCATACACAGTTTATCCTATTTCCCCCATCCCTGCAAACATCTGATACATCAGAGCTAAGCAAGATATAAAGAAATAAAAATGTAAGTGCAGACAAACCAATGAAGGGATGAAGGGAGCAATAATCCCACCAACCCGGGAAAACATGGAGCAGGAACCCATTCCAACGTTCCTAAAGAAAAATACAGACATTAATCAATGGTATTTGCAGGAGAGGAATTAAGGAATTTTTTAAAAGATGTCTGCAATAAGAAAATTCTTGGTCATGGTACTATGCCTATGACAAAGTTTGTTGGCAAGGGAGGTATTGGAATGCTGCTCAAAGCATTTCAGTAATGGAATTGTACACAGTGCTGAAGAACAGAGACCCTGTTCACAAACAGAATTTCAGGCATTAGTGTAGCTGCCACAGCAGAGACAAAACCACTGTGAACTGTGATTTGGACTAGCGCACATTAACCTTTCTTGAAATTGGGGATAAATGGCACTAATCCAAAAATCACACCACATATCAGATTTGTGTGTCTACACTACAGGTGCACTGTATGAGCTACAGTGGCTGGCTGGCTACTAATGGCTGTACCTGGGGGAACCGCCAGTACAAAGTGCATCTATACGCTACATTCATCTGTCCACTCTACTACAATGAGTATGTGGCTCCACTACTCCCTACTGGATCAAATGTCAGAGCTGCTCAAGTGTTTGTGAATGATCAAGTTGCACTAAACAATTGCAGCCTCCTGAAGGTATAAGCCCCAACATCACTGGCTACACTAGCATAAATACTTAATGGAGTTGTCTTATATTTACCCAGCACCTGGCAGATTTCGGGTGATACTGCTATAAGGCCCTATGACTAATCACACAAGTTTTCCTTTAATTAAGGGAAAGTCTCTATGAGAAGGTGCCGTTAACAGGACAAAAATAAAAGTGGAAGTAATAAGGATTAGGGAGATGGGCAAAAGAAACCACCACCACAAAGTGAATTCAGATTACCTGATCACTGTAGGATAAAGCTCTGACGTGTAGATATAAACAATGTTAAATGCTGCACTGATTGTCAGTTTCCCCAGTAAAGACAAAGAACGGCTGTTCACAACTGCAAACACTCCTGTGGCTGATAAAGAAAGTGTGACCCTTGTAAGGATCCATAGCATACAGAAATGTCCTTTAGTAATCACTTCAGTAACAAACGAAATGAAAGGGAATCTGCTGAAGAGTTTGTTATGCTGACAATATCTGTTGGAGGTGCATACAATTATATGTGGCTTCAATAGGGCTCTCAAAGCTCAGAAGAATTCAAAAGATCCATCCTTCAGACAACAGTGGCAAAAAAGTCACCTATCTGATTTTGTAAGATGAGGAGGGAAAATGCACCCATTTTCTTTAGCTATACTGTCAGATTGTACAAAGAGAAAGAACATCTTCCTTTGAACACCCTGTGAAATGTATTTTAGAATTAAGTTTTACATTGAAAAAAAGAGACTTTCAAATCTGGCCTACAATTTTTTGGTGGGGAGGGGGGAGGAGGAGGAGGGAGAATAATTTAACATCTAATGTCAGTCCAGGTGTTTCTATTAAATTAAGAAATCCAGTAGATATAGTTTGTTTAAATTACTACAGCTCCCAGCACCAAAGCATGAGAGCCAGAAAAAGCAAAGTCATTTTTTCTCATTGACCAAATTATAAAAACAGTGAAGTTCACTTTCGTACTTAAATTCTGTTTTTAAATTGTTATAATAGGCATTAGAAGTAAAAGAAGAAGACGACTGGTTTGAACATTTTTATGACAATTTCTAAACATTTTCTGAGAGTACCGTTGGCAAAAGCAATAAATGTTGAGTAAAATTTGTACTATTAGTAAGCTGGTGGAAAGGACAACAGAAAATTTTTTCAAAAGTTCTTAAGTGACTTAGTATCTAGGTGACTTTCAGTGGGGCTTTGGTTCCTATGTGATGGGTGATCTAAAATTGCCTCATTAGAAAAAAAGATAAGAACTGCCATATAGGATCAGATCAGTGGCCCACCTAGCCCAGTATCCTGTTTGACATTGGCCAGTACCAGATGCTTTAGAGGAAAGTGTTAAAATCCTATATAAAGGATAATGACAAAAGACCCAGTTTCTATTTCAACCCAGGCAGTCAGTGATTGACATATTCTCTGAAATTTGAGTTCTATCCCTTTAAAACAAATTACATTCACCACTGTCTAGTGTAACAATAGATATTCATCCATATAAATGTTTAATCCTTTTAAAAATCCTGCTAGGTTCAACAGTCTAAAGCCTTTGACTAATGCTATGTAATACAAGTATGAAGTATCATTAATTTTATGTGCCTAGCTTTGAAAGGAAGGAGAAGTCTTTTCTCTTGCTAATATTTTCTGTTTCTATATCTGTGTACAATAGTTGAAAAACAATCTAGCATTGGACCTTTATATGGCTTCCTGAAATAAATTAAAAATTAGGGCTGTCAATTAATTGCAGTTAACTCATGCGATTAACTCAAAAAAATTAATCGTGATTGCAAAAATTAATCACGATTAATCCCACTGTTAAACAATAGAATACCAATTGAAATCTATTAAATATTTTTGGATGTTTTTCTACATTTTCAAATATATTGATTTATATTACAACACAACACAAAATGTACAGTGCTCACTTTATATTAGTTTTATTACAAATATTTGCACTATAAAAAGGATAAACAAAAGAAACAGCATTTTTCAATTCACTTCATACAAGTACTGTATTGCAATCTCTTTATTGTGAAAGTGTAACTTACAAATGTAGAATTATGTACAAAAAATAACTGCACTCCAGCCGGGGAACAGGCTTGGGGTAGCGCTTACCTCATGCAGCTCCTTGAAGCAGCAGCATGTCCCCCCTCTGGCTCCTATGTTTGGGGCAGCCAAGGGGCTCCACTCCACACACTACCCCCGTCCCAAGCGCCGCCCCCGCAGCTCCCGTTGGCTGGGAACCACGGCCAATGGGAGCTGCAGGGGCGGCGCCTGTGGACAGGGAAGCATGCAGCAGAGCAGCAGGGCCGCACCTCTGCGTAGGAGCTGGAAGGGGGACATGCAATTGCTTCCGGGAGCCACTTGAGGTAAACCTCACCCCAAGCCTGCATACGAGCCCCCTCCTGCACTCTGAACCCCTCGGTCTGAGCCCAGAGGGCCCTCCTGCACCCCAAACCCCTCATCCCTAGCCTAGAGCCCACACCTCCAGCTGGAGCCCTCACCCCTCCTGCACCCTACCCCCCCCCGCCCCAGCCTGGAGCCCCTTCCTGCACCCTGAACTCCTCATTTCTGGCCCCACCCCAGAGCCCGCAACCCCAGCTGGAGTTCTCACCCCCTCCTGCACCCCAACCCCAATTTCGTGAGCATTCATGGCCCGCCATACAATTTCTATACCCAGATGTGGCCCTCGGGCCAAAAAGTTTGCCCACCCCTGGCGTAAGGTACATTTCCCCAATTCCTAGTATAAAGCAGAGGCAGCAATATGTTGGTATGGTGATTAACAGCATAGGACTGGTGGCCTGGAAATGGGTTCCAGTCCAAACTCTTTCCCCAACACATCACAAAGCCTTCAGAAAACCAATTTCCCCTTTACTATGCCTCAGTTTCCCCAGATGTACAATGGAGATAATTACCTACATCATGTCAATGTTATGAACCTAATGTTTGTGAAATCCTTAGATCCTGAGTTGGAGGGGGTTATATACATGCACAATACTACTATAAAATCTTAAAAAGGCATTTACCTTTCTTTTCTGGAAGAAACATGACAATAAGACAGGCCAGTCCTCCCAGGAACAGGAACGCTGCCAATGTCCGTTTTCGGCCGAACCTAACAGGGTCCCCAAAAAGGATAATACTTAACTTTTCTATTCCATTTTTCATCCAAGGACTTCAATGCACTGAGCAATCTAAAGTCACCCAACACCACTCTACTCACATGGCATAAATTACTGAAAATCTCCTGCAGAGTCTTTACTTTCTCACTCTTTAAATTTTCAAAGAGAAATCTCTGGTCCTCTCATAGTATGGTCAGTGCATGAGCCTGTCAAGGATGCACTACGTAGTGCAGATTGTAAATCACTAAGAAATCTCCAGACAGACTGGCTGACTATTCCTATCTCTTTAATTTGTCTCCCATTGTGTGTGTGTGTACGCGCATGCGTGAGGGGGGTTGAAAGAGAAGAGGGGGCAGAGAATGGGCGCATGCAGGAGGAGCTATTCCTCAAACACAGAAGGAAAAGGGAGAAAAGCCACCTATTAATAAAGTTCTGAGATGAGCTCTACTGAAAGAGAGAAAGAATGGAGTATTGCACATCAAACATAGGCTAGATGGCCCAGTGTTCAGTAAGGTTGCCAATCCTCCAGGACTGTCCTGGAGTCTCCAGAAATTAAAGATTAATCTTTAATTAAAAAGATTATGTCATGTGATCTAACCTCCAGGAATATAGCCAACCAAAACTGGCAACCCTATTGGTCAGCCCTATGAGGCACAATGCACATACACCAAGATGGGAGCTGCCCCCAAGACAGCACTCTAGTTCCAAAAGAATTAATCTTGGAATAGCATAGAAAGCATTATGGGATTCTTCACTGTGGTGTCACAAGATCAGAAGTCTGAAGAATGCCATCTTGTGTATTAGTAGAGAGTCAGAGCAGCTAGACACTACAGAATTCTCCTTGAGAGCTTCAGTTTAATCTGTGTGCCAGAACTAGAGTATTATTTACTGCTTTGGAGTGGTTAGGAAAGATTGCTCTCTTTCATGAAAATTTATTAATTTTTTTACATAATTCATTCCCCCAGGAGGCCAGAGTAGGTTGGGACTGTTAATACTTCCTATAACATGACTAAACTGAGAATAAGCTAAGAGCAAACTGGTGTCCAGGAAAATTACCTCTGAAAAAAAATTAGATATTGAGCTTCATTCTATTTAATACTTACCATTTTTGGTTAATCAAGTAGATACAGATTGGGTAGGCAGGTATCTCTATCAGCCCAGAGAGAGCCAAGTTGGCATAAATACTTCCACCTAAGTCACCTGCATTGAGAGTCAGACCATAGTATACCAAGCTGCACACAAACCTGCGGGGGGGGGGGGGGGGAGGGAGGGAGAGAAGAAGAGAAAGAAAAACCAAGTATAAGACTTTGAAACTGAACAATCTTTATTGGAACCTTTCACAAAAGGAGGACACACTGAATTTTTCAAGTACGTGCACAAGCATGTACAATTTCTACTACTTCGGTTCTCAGTTTCAGGAAGTAGTCAATTAACTCACTTTGGTCACCACTCAAGAGAAAGTCTGTGTGTTACTTATCACTAGAACTTGCTCAGAACATCAGCTCAGTTACTGTTCACAGTAGGAGTTGACGCTGCAAACAAGTGAAGTGAACGATGACATGAACAGTCTTTTCCAGATGCATTAGCAGGCAACCTGAATTGCTGGAAAACAGAAAGACAGTTAAAAATGTCTATCCCACATAGGAACTTGATGTCATCAAGAGGACTCCCAGGTGACCAGTCCAGGACCTCTGTCTTTTCCCCTCCAGGTGTCTTCAGTTTTCTGGAAGGTGACAGGCTGTTTTGTCCCATTTCTGCTGGGTGGTCCAACTTGGTTGCTCTTTTTGGAGATGTTGGCATGGACCAATCAGATGCTGACCCATATGTTTGTTGAAGATTCAAAATGTCCAACCACAAAAAGTTGTTTTTGCTCCACCATCCAGTCAGGGAACAAGGCATCACCTTTCAGCTCTTGCAACTGGGGCTGGAATTTTCCTCTCTTTATGCAACACATTTCATCAGCTCAGCTTGTGTAAGATAAGTTAGGATATAGATGTTGGTACAGCCATCTTGGGACATACGCTGAACACCAGCTTGTTTGCTCCAGTCAGCAACTTACTTCCACAAGTAGTTTTCCCTGGGCCCCTCTGCGGTGCATCCCTTGGCCAACTTTGCAGTTATGCTTGCTCAAGTTGCGGTTTCACCATCAACACTCTGCTAGCTCCTGAAACATCCACTTTAAAGTTCCTATAGTGTACACAAAGTCCCTCCATATTCTTTGATAATCTTTAAAATAGTTCTAGCAGTCCATTATACAACAAAGTCACTTCAAGAGCTGTTCTCCAGCAAGCTGGAACCACTGTATAAATCTTCCATGGTACGTATAGCTGAGCTGTATTACCGATTGCATTTTTGATCAAACAGTTGCATTTCTCATTATTCCACTCTACGATCAAGTGTCCTTATAACATGCTATTTGGTTTCAACTCCTCTCATTAACTTTTTTCAGCACAGGTTAGATAATATTACTAACCTGATAGCATAAGCATGCTTGATTACAAACCTCTTCACTTTATCACTAAAGTGAAAGTAAATATGAATGTAACCACCTTCTTTGCCTACCAGGGACAATCCAGAGGTAAACCTGGTCATTAAAGTTTACAATAGTTTGCCCAAGGCTGCATCACTTATAGTTAAGGCCAAGATTTTGTCACGGATATTTTTAGTAAAAGTCACGGACAGGTCACGGGCAAAAATTCACAGGAGCCGTCTGTGACTTTTACTAAAAATATCCATGACAAAATGGGGAGCTCAGCTGTGGAGTCCCCACACCGCCCGCAGCGGTTAGGCAGCTGTGGGGGCCCGCTCGGAGCTCCGGAACCCCCCACCGCCTGCAGTGGGCAGGAACTCTAGTGTGCTCCGGGGTACCCCCGCCACTCAGTAGCTGTAGGATAACAGTGGACTGTTCATTTGGCTGGTAGAAGTCATGATGGGGCTGCTTCAGAACTCTCTGGATGCCAATGCCATCCTCACTGTGGCCAGCTGTGCACTGCAGTGTGTTTGCCAAGCGAAAGGAGAATCATTTCGCCAACAGTGAACTCAAGACACTACTGGATTGCAGGAACATTAAAAGCTACCAGCAAGTGCACCTATCATTACTGGGGTGGAATCCACACAAGCAAGGGAAATAATTTATTCTAGGAATCTATTGTATCAGACTATGCATGTTTAAGCACATACTATTTGATAATATTTGAAACCGTTCTACCTGAATTTCTAAAGTACCAATCACCTGTCTGTCTAGACATCATCACATTCATAAATCAGTTTCTTTTCTGCTTACAAAACAAATTGGCCTTACAAAATACATTTGTTAGTGGCTGCCCAGATCTTTAAGAGAGCAGATGACACTATTATTATATGGAAAGTTTCAAAAACCTGTTTAATAACTTACTTTACTTTTCTTACCCTGTTTATCCCAGGATATTTGCATTAAAACATCTTAAATATAAAGATAATGTCTCCTTTTGCTGATTATTCCTCACCTGAAGTTAGAAACCCCAACCCCAAGAAACCCCAACCAATAAAAATCTACTCTAAGAAAAGTCAACCTAAAAAAGGTTAATGAAATTTAAGAAGTCAAAAACAAAACCCTACTCCAATCAGAATTACTACCCTGAAAAGGGGGTAGTGCCAAAGACTCCATGAAGTCCACTTTTACATGGAAGGTACTCTGATACCCTGGTGATGGGCAGCGGTATAAACCACTAAGACAGAGAGACAGACAGACAACAACTGGTTGCTGTCATGGCAGTATTACAAAAGGAAGATTTTCTATTTTTAAAATAAACAAAGTATTAGCTAGTGGTTTGTACAGGGGACTGAGAATTGGAGACCTGGATTTTATTCCTGAAAATGCCATTACGTCATGTAACCCCTCAGCTTTTCCATTTGAAAATGTGATCTTAACCCAACTTTGAGCAGATCCTGCAAAGAATGTACACATATGTTTAACCTTAAGTGTGTACATCTTTGCAGGACCAGGGCTTTTGTAAAGAGTTTTACGATCCTTTTATGAAGTGCTAGATATTTATTTTTTAAAGCAGCTCTCCGAACAGGGCAGTATCTTGAATACTAGAATAAAACTGGCTTACTATCCAAAGGGACCAAATAATTTGGGCACTAAAAAAGAATCAGACTAAAAACCGCACAACCCTGGGCCAAAGAACTAGGACATGACCAATCTCAGCAATTTTGGAGGGCTGTAGGGAAAGAGGGTTCTCAACTACTTTTGAGATTCTTGGATGAAAAGCATCATAAAAGTGTCAAGATGAAGTACCTCAGGCCTAGATTATTAAAATGACATCAGGTGAAGAATAAGCACCAAGAGTTAAGGAACTCAAACAAAGATTCTGTTCCATGCACAATGCCCATAGTAATAAAGAGGCAAAAAGCATGACGAGCTGTCTCTCAACACGTTTTTCAAACACTTTAAAAAGAGCTGAACTTAAAAAGAATTGCAAATACCAGATGAACATCATGATCAAAGTGCGCCCCAAAAGGATCTTGTATCGGAACAGGTCCAAGAAACTGCTGGTCTCTCTGTGACTCCTGTCAGCTGGGAGCTTTAGTGAAAAAGTACATTTCTGCTTGCAGTTCCTCTTTGCAATGAGATAGAGGGCATTTTCTGCTTCTCTCAGCCGACCTTGTGAGTATAACCAGCGGGGGGATTCAGGAATGAATCTGAAACAGAGATTTCATTGAGGCTTTAGGGCCCTACTCTTATAGAGGATTGGATTTGCCTGTTTGGAATAAAGCTGAAGGACATTTCAATGTCACAGCATGTTTTTTCAAACAACATTTCACCTCAGTTTTAGAATTCATCTGTAGTTGCAGGTAAACTACACTTTAATAAAAAGTGGGGCGAATAAGAGCATCTTTATTTACCAATTTTCTGAGTATCTAACATGCAACAACTTTGCTCTGTATTTTAAAATTTGACTCAAATGTTAGGAGTCTGCATTAGAGAAATACAGAATTAAGGATGTGTGGATTAAGCAGTTACAGTACACAGGCAGCTGCTGGTTATGAAAAACTAAACTAGTTTAGCTGTCTCACATCTTCTCCCCAACACAGTTGAAAATTCTCTCCTGCAGGCATCAGAACAGTCACTGCAAAACAGCTCTATCACTCCCTATTGGCAGAATCTGATTTGTACAGCTGAGATTGCTGCCTACAAAAATCCTCCTGTGCCTCTTGTTTTCAGTAGCTTATAACTTCCTGAAGCTTTCACCTTTCCAGGTTGTAGTCTCTACCCAAAGTTGATTTTTTTAAACACATATTTAAAGTGATCCAGCCACCTTTGCATAAAAAGTTAGGAAAGGAACATTTTCTCCTATCTAACACAGAACATCCTTGCAACCTTTTTTGAACAGCTCTAGGGTCAAACAGCTGGAGGACTGAGATTTGGTACAGAAATTGCACTTACTGTAGAGAGGTACTTTTGAGCAGAGCTTTGAAGTCCTGAGAGGAAAGCATTTATATTTTTTTATTTTTATTTATTTTGCTTCAGAAAGACAAGCTGAAAGGTTAGGGTGTTTTTAACTAAAGATTTTTAACCTAAAAATATCAGGAATGTCAAGTCAGACTCTTCACTAAGGGAAGAGCAAAGTTCTCATTGGGATTTATATTTTAAACACCTCAACTGAAGGTGTGAATGTGTTGCATCTCTAATAAAGGTTTCTTTTATTTAAAATGTCACTGAAGTTAAACAGCAACTAGAAATCCCACTCTTACAAATGCTAAATTTTTGCTCGTGATGTCTTGGCTGGAAGGCTATGACAAATGAACAGCTAGTCACAAGATCCAAAACATGAAAGACAAACCAACAGGAAAAAACAGTGCTTTTGATAAAAACCTTTTAGGTCTCTTTACCCATTATGTTATAAAAGAAGATGGCACCAAACTAAATTTTTCCCTTTTGCATACCTTTAAGAGTGTATGCACAACCTCAATGCTGTCCCTTGTGTGCATACATTATAATACTACCCTTGAAACTGAGAAATAGCATGTGACCATATAGTTACATATATGCAGCATCTTGTAGTAAATGTGTAAATCCAGCACATTCAGGTATATGACAAGTGCAGAGTAAGTGGCTCTTAAACATCATACTAGAGAGTAATAAAAATATGGCATATCTAGGCCACTTAAATCTGCAGATATGTAGGCACGGGATTTCTCTCATACATCACATAGAAGTACCACTATCTTCACCTTAGTGCTCCATTTTGGAGAACTCTTTGACCTACTTTCTCAATTCCTACTCTTCTGATGAAGGCCAATGAAACAGTTTTAAAAACAATAACTTACAGAGAGAGGAGAAAGACTACTGTTCCCTCCAGGTTAACCACAACTGCCAGAGTCCTCCAGGAGCGAATGAAGTACCCTAACATAGCATACTGGGCAATTCCCACTGCAAAGAACAGGCCACCAATCGATCCTAACACATTGGAAACATATAGGAAAAAAAAGAAATGTTACAAACCATTTCACTACATTGCTCATCCCCATTATGTGCGATCAGAGAGACTAGCACTTTACCAGGAACGCAGGAAGTATGGACAAAAAGGCTACTTGACTCAAAATCACGGAAAAGAGATCCTTAACAGGGAAGAACTGTTAAAAACAACAACAAGCAGGAAAAGAACAGGACAAAAGAAAAATGCTACATAAATAATCATTTGGCCTTCCTACAGAACTTTTCACCCATCAATTTCAAAACATAAATAATTAGATCTTATAATCCCCACATGGCTTGTTGCAACCTCCCACACTTGAAAATAAATACTACTAATTATTGGAAAGATGACATTTCCAACATAAAATGTTAGTTTATAACCTTCATGGTTCATGAGATATTAAGCTTTAAAACTGTCATTGATCCCTTAGCCAAGCACTTGCCTGGAATTAGGCAAAGAGTAAATGTGTCATGTTCCAGACTCTGGAGAAGTGTAATTTGCAGGCACTGTACTGCATGACAGCTTGCATGCTAGCAATGACTACAGTTAAAGGTGTCTAAATATTTCCATTATATGTTCTTTGCAGTGTTGTTGCAGCCACGTTGGACCCCGGATCTGAGAGAGACAAGGTGAATGGGTGAGTTAATATCTTTTGTAGGACCAACTTCTGTTACCTTTTCCAGACCTGAAGACCTCTGAAAAGCTCAAAAACTTGTCTCGTCCACCAACAGATGTTGGTCAAAGAAAAGATATTGCCTCATCCACCTTGTCTCTCTTCTATTTTAAGTTTTTAGGTTGATTTATCACAGGGTGATTTTGGGGGGGGGGGGGCAGTTTAAACAAAAGTGGTCCAGCCACTTTTGAGTATAAGGAGAATACAGAAAAAAAAAGGGGGGGGGGGGGAGAAAAATGGTTTGTTTGATAAAAAAATTGTGGGCTTTTTTTGAGTCCTGCTACATCAAAACTGCATGAGGGAGGAAGGAATTGAAATTTGGCAGCCAAACAGCTCCCCTTGAGAAGTGCCTTCCTGTGTCCAAAGTTCTAAGTGAAGGAATGCAATATCATGCATACATGCGTGGCTTGTTCAGCTGTGTAGCATGCAGAGGAGAGTAACTCAACTAATGTGCATTTGCCAGTGTCCAGTCTTAGTGGTGCAGAAATCTGAAGTGGCCCGAAGTCATTTACTGTGTTCATCTAAGGTGTACATTAAATGTGGCAAGGCTCAGAGACTGTATGATCATGCATATGCACAAGGGAACAGAGTCTGCAACATTAAATTTGGCATTTCTTGGCACAAGTACTTAAACTGAGATCTCTAGAGCTGAATAGTTTTCTATAAAAGTGTTGCAGCTAAAGCTGTACCTGCCAATGCCCAATAGGCAGTGCCCACACATTCATTCAGTAGAACAAAGGCCACCAGAGACATCCCTCCATTCATCACCCCCACCAAGAAGCGAGAGACTGCAAAGAACTCATATGAGGGGGAGAATCCATTTGCAATGGCAAACAGGATGTCAAGGGCAAAACCTGGAAGACAAAGCGTAAGATTTAATTTCAGAAAAATACCTGAATGAGAAAGACAGCATTTAGCATGAGCATTACTTGACATTCAGTGAAACCTGTTCTAATCAAATCATATTCAAGAGCTACAAAAGTCTGTTGCTTAATGTAGATGATGGGGCAGAATTGTAGTAAGCACCCTGGGGCAATCTCTTAAATGAGATTGCCTTAGAAAGGTGGTGATCTTCACAGGATTTACTGGTTTCAGAGTAGCAGCCCTGTTAGTCTGTATCCATAAAAAGAAAAGGAGTACTTGTGGCACCTTAGAGACTAACAAATTTATTAGAGCATAAGCTTTTTTGAGCTACAGCTCACTTCATCGGATGCATGCATAAATTTGTTAGTCTCTAAGTTGCCACAAGTACTCCTTTTCTTTTTACAGGATTTACTGCACTAGTACCCAACACCAGTTCATAGAGAGCTGTTTTTCCTCTTCAGAAAAGCCACCATCACATTTGACAGTAACCAAGATATCTTGTTAGTAGTTTCAATAGAGAAGCCCAGGACTGAACAGGCCATAAACAGATTTTTCTTCTCAACCCTAGAAGTTCTCTCTCCAGGTCATAACTCCTCCTTGTTGTCAGAAAACAGTTTGGAGGAAGTTTGCATTGCTGTAATCGTCCCTGTATCTGTTCTGTGACTAGAGGGTTTCAGTGTTCGGGGTCAGACACCTTTTACCAGCACGGAGTTAATATAAGACTTAAAAATATGTCATTTTTTTTTTTAAAGTGTTAAACTTTAATATGTCCTGTACATGAAATCCCCCGAACAAATTTATGGTATGAAAATGGTACATGATGTCCATGGGTTTTAAAATTCTGCTAAGTTCACAAATATCTAGCAATGCATGCATGATTTGAGAAGTGATGACAAACTCATCTGGAACTTTTAGGAGTCTTGACAATTAAGTGAGAGGTTAATGAATAATTAATCTCGGATACTCTGAAATTTTAGTTTCATTTTGTGGAACATTCAGGGATCATGAGCATCATGGCAAACAATGTGGGCCCAACTTTTAAGTTTAAGCACATGTGTTGGGGGTCCAAACTTCACAACTGGTTGCTTAAACACTTCAGGCTTTTAAGTGCTGAACTGAGCACACAAATATGGATTATTTGTCCCTAACTTGGGCTCCTTGTGTGTAGTGGAAGATGCAAAATTCATCTCTACGCCTTGGCTTTCCACAAAACTTGGATAACTGCTACTGTGTCTTCTGAGACAGACATGAAGCCACTAACAAGACAATGACATTTCTCTCCAGTCATTTTGTTAGGGCTGCAGTGGGTTACCTGTGAGATAGACTTTTTTCCTCCCAAAGCGATCTGAGAGCTGGCCAAAAGAGATCACTCCAACAAAGACACCACTGAAGAAAAACGAACTGGCAGCACTGACTTTGTACGATGTGTTCCCAATTAAAAACCACTAGGGAGAAGAAAAAAAGTTTTAGTCAAAGTCCAAGAAGTGAACAGCTTGGGCAGGAAAAATCTTTTAAAAAGAAAACTCCAGCTCAACCTCCACTTCAGTCACCAAAATATCACCCCCCACCCCAAACCCCCTAAAGACTTTGGCCCACTGTACAATTCCTCCCCTCCTCCAAAACTGTAATGCCTTCCACATCTGAAAAGAAGGTTAGGTTCCCCAAGGGAACATTATTTTTTGTTGGCTTTGTTGTTTTTTGTCTATGTACCTTTCATTTACGTACCTGTATGTACATGACCATTATATCTAGGCAACATACACAGAGTTAAGAGTCACAATTTGGGTCCAAAGATGACCCTAGCTCTCCTCATCATGACCTACCTTGTAAGTGAGATCCATTTGGTTGGCTTCTAGTTTTCTGCCTTTGTAAGCACTGGCATTTTAATTTTTTTTTTTTTTTAGAAGAGCAGGTAGTGGAGGGTGGACAGGGGGGGCACAGAACCTTTCCCAAGCACTGTCTCTATTGTACCTGTACTGTGGATAACATGAGTCTCCAGAGCTGTTAATCTAGGCAGGCATAGTCAATTATTTTTTGTGAAGGTTCAAATTTCTTGATCAAGGTATAGTCAAGGTCCATACGCCTCCCCACTTCCCCTGCCAAACATGACCCAAGTGCACCCTAAACACTCAAACCATGTAACAAACAAAAATCTCATGATTTTGGGGTAGGCTAACTCACGATTGAGTTCTTGGGGTTAGCAATACAAGAAGTGAGACTCTAGAAAGGATTTGAATGAGAAGGTGGAGACCCAGAGCATTAGGTGACATTAGGTGTTTATTCCAAGAACAGGATGCAGCATGGAAAGAGGCATTAATGAAGGACTGGGAGAAGGAAACACATGTGGCCTCAAGGCTGACACTGATGGCTAAGAAGGGAAACACTGGGGGAGAGTTGTACAAAGCCTTGAAAGTGAAGATGAGAAGTTTTATTATCTTTAGCAAAAAGAAAAGGAGTACTTGTGGCACCTTAGAGACTAACCAATTTATTTGAGCATGAGCTTTCGTAGGTGAGCTGTAGCTACGAAAGCTCATGCTCAAATAAATTGGTTAGTCTCTAAGGTGCCACAAGTACTCCTTTTCTTTTTGCGAATACAGACTAACACGGCTGTTCCTCTGAAACCTATCTTTAGCAAGAAATTGTTCTGCACATATTCACCTCATATGTCCCCTAATTCCTGAACCCTTCATCAAAATAAAAAAAAGTTACCTCGGTCAACTTTACAATCCATTTTGTTATTATGAACATTTCTACTTGATAACATCCAAGTCTCTTATAGGGCTGGGTTTGTTCTTGGAATTGAAATCAGATCCAGTTTCTTTTTTGTAGCAGGTCTATATACTGCAGCCTCTACAAGGCAATAACATCCGACACAAAGGAATTCCAGAATGAACCTAATAAGTGTTCCATACTGTTCAATGATACTATCTTCTCTTGTGTTCTCTCCACTACAACCATCTTGTTTATCTTTCCCTGTTTATTGCTGCTGTGTTCACTTCCCAAAAACAACATACAGATCCTTTCCCTGACGTGTTGGCTGTATGGTTGTGTCATTTTCCCCACTCTTGAAACATCTGTGCACTGACCTTCTGAATTCCCTTCTGTCCTCTACTACCCAGATGTTCCAAACACTGTTACATATAGTTTTTCTAGCAGAGCTCAAAAAACTGGTTTGAAGCCCAGTAATGAACAGCCTCATCAGAAGCAGCAAAAGCATGTAATCAAAGCCTACAGAATATTTCAGGAACACCATGAAAATAACTTGATTAGTCTTACTGTATGTGTCATTCTGAATTATCGCTTAATGGGCGATATGTGCATGCTGTTATAGTTAGTAACATGGCCATAAGGAATCCAGATGCTTGAGAAAATTAGCTTCTAAAGTTAATTATTGCCATGCATTTTTCAAATGTTTTTTCCCACTGTATGTGGAAACATCTAGAGAACAGGACTCTGATAACATATACACACTCATTTCAATTATCTAAGCAGTTTTTTTCCTCTAATATCACAAGAATCATATTGTAATTCTTGATATAAATGTTAATTAAGCCCAATAATCATGTGTCTGAGTAAAACTAGATGCTTTCTGAATCAGTCACAGCTCAGGGAATAATTCAGTTACAACAAATTTGCTCTCTAAATTCACCCAAACGGTTAGAAGAACTTCATTTTAATGTAGTCAAGACATAGTACTTCTTTCCCCTGTATAAGGCCCATTACATCACATCAATTCATGAAATACTTGGTCTGTGAGTTAGTCGATTTTTTTCTAGCATGAATTTGTGACGGCCACATTAACGTTTACAACAGTGTGCAGATCATCCCAAATAAATGCAGATCATGTCTTTAGACCACTCCATCATGAATTAAAACATATTTTACAGAAATTTTTTTAGGCAGTTTTTGTACATTTGACAGTATTTTAATAGAACTATACTTTCCACCTGTAAAGCCAGGTACCACAGTTATTAGAAGTGCAACTGAACAGAACTTAAAAAGGAAAGTTATAACTAATACCTTTAAAACCTCATAACTTTAAAGCCTACTACAGCAGAACCTTCCATGCAACAGGACAAGTACTGCATCCCACACTGAAGTCTGAGAATCCTCCCATTCCAGTAGTTTAAAGCTCCAATTTCTAGTATGGCATGGTGTCCAATATCTCATGAGAAACATGATCATTCAGAACTTGTCTACAAGGGTCTAGATTTTGAGAAGAGGTGATTTTTCAGTGCTCATTATGACATGCCTAAAGAAGGAGGCTTTTTACAGTGTGGTTGTTCAGCATCTCTATAAATCAGGCTCCTTTAAGATGTTGCAAGTTGGGCACCCAAAAATTGCATCACTTTTGAAAAATCTAGGCTAAAACCTTTAGAATACCACATAGAACCATAGAATATCAGGGTTGGAAGGAACCTCAGGAGGTCATCTAGTCCAACCCCCTGCTCAAAGCAGGACCAATCCCCAATTAAATCATCCCAGCCAGGGCTTTGTCAAGCCTGACCTTAAAAACTTCTAAGGAAGGAGATTCCACCATCTCCCTAGGTAATGCATTCCAGTGTTTCACCACCCTCCTAGTGAAAAAGCTTTTCCTAATATCCAACCTAAACCTCCCCCACTGCAACTTGAGACCATTACTCCTTGTTCTGTCATCAGCTACCATTGAGAACAGTCTAGATCCATCCTCTTTGGAACCCCCTTTCAGGTAGTTGAAAGCAGCTATCAAATCCCCCCTCATTCTTCTCTTCCACAGACTAAACAATCCCAGTTCCCTCAGCCTCTCCTCATAAGTCATGTGTTCCAGTCCCCTAATCATTTTTGTTGCCCTCCGCTGGACTCTTTCCAATTTTTCCACATCCTTCTTGTAGTGTGGGGCCCAAAACTGGACACACTACTCCAGATGACGCCTCACCAATGTCGAATAGAGGGGAACGATCACATCCCTCGATCTGCAGGAAATGCCCCTACATATACATCCCAAAATGCCACTGGCCTTCTTGGCAACAAGGGAACACTGTTGACTCATATCCAGCTTCTCGTCCACTGTAACCCCAAGGTCCTTTTCTGCAGAACTGCTGCCTAGCCACTCGGTCCCTAGTCTGTAGCGGTGCATGGAATTCTTCCGTCTTAAGTGCAGGACTCTGCACTTGTCCTTGATGAACCTCATCAGACTTCTTTTGGCCCAATCCTCCAATTTGTCTAGGGCCCTCTGTATCTACCCTACCCTCCAGCGTATCTACCTCTCCTCCCAGTTTAGTGTGAGGTGATCTTCCTCCAAATATGCACTATACCCCTAGCAGATCCGAAACATGCTGTAGTTTACATTTATCTTAGTAGGATGCAGAATTTTTAAAAAGATGAATCCGTGCTGCAGATCCAATTCTGAACTTTTCCAAAATATGAGGGTTCAGATACAAACTTTTTGTGTAAGTACTTCCTTAATTATTTTTTAATTGTTCTTTGCTTACATCTCCTATCTACAGAATGAAGCCATGTGAAAAACTCTATGGAGAATTTAAGTCCTAAGACATTGGTTGATGACACATACACAAACGTACTTAAGGTTAAAAACAAGGGGGAAGAGTTCAAGAGGATGAATACAGAAGTGTCTACAGAAGATTTTAAAATGTTATAGCCAATTTAAATTGTCTTAAGTTATGCACTAAAGTTATTATACACAATCACATTTTAAATTTAGAGTTAAGAACATTATATTCTGTTTTACTCTTCATTCTTTTTGCTCTATAATACAGGATGGAGCAGCACAGAAAGTATCTCTGAACACAGTTAGTCGGGAGTGTATTAAAACTGGCAGTTTTTATTAACATGCTCGTAACTAAGGCTGAGAGACTGTCGCGGAAAGTCACAGATTCCGTGATTTTGCAGCAGCCGATGCAGCTGGCTTGGGGGTCACCTGAGCAGCTCGGGCAGCCCCTGAGCCAGCTGCACCAGCCGCCGCTGGGGCAGTCTCGGGCCACTGCGCCGCCCCCCGCCCCCCCCCCCCAGCGGCAGCAGGAATTTGGGTGCAGGAGGGGGCTCAGGGCTGGGGTGCGAGAGGGGGGTGAGGGTTCAGGGCAGTGCTTACCTTGGAGGGCTCCCCAGAAGCGGCAACATGTCCCTCCTTCGGCTTCTAGGCTGAGGGGTGGCAAGGCGGCGCTGTGGACTGCCTCTACATGCAGGTGCCGTTCCCGCAGCTCCCATTAGCCATAGTTCCTGGCCAATGGGAACTGTGGAGCTGGTGCTTGGGGCGAAGGCAGTGCATGGAGACCCCTGGTTGCACCTCTGTCTAGGAGCCAAGGGACATATTGCTGCTTCCAGGGTCCCAGGCAGAGCCATGTAGGGAGTCTGCCAGCCCTGCCAAACTCCCTATCCAGCACCAACAGGGGTCCCAGGCCACCACCTCCCAAAGTACGCATGGCACCTCCCACAGAGCACTCAAGATTTAGTCATGGGTATTTTCAGTAAAAGTCATGGACAGGTCACGGGCAGTAAACAAAAATTCATGGCTCGTGACCTGTCCATGACTTTTACTGAAAATACCCATGACTAAAACATAGCCTTACTCAACCACTGAAGTTTGAGTTTTTTTAAAACTCATGTCCAAGCTAAATTAATACCTCTGGACATTGACCATACATTTATAACCACTAACAGTTGGCTAAACTGCACAGGTCTAAATTCAGGTCTTACATTTACAAGTAAATGTGCTCAAAATGGGCAACTACATATGCTAATTTAGTGTTAATGTGTATCTAAGGCAGGGGTCGGCAACCTGCGGCATGCGAGCTGATTTTTGGGGGCACTCTGCTGCCATTCGGGATCCCGGCCGCCAGCCCCACTCAGCCCGCTGCCTGCCTGGATGATCGGAACCCCAGGCAGGCAGCGGGGCCAGCGGCCGGGACCCCGCCTGGCAGGGGCTGGCAGACAGAATCCGTCCACTGGCCCCCGTAAACGTAAAATGTATTACTGGCAAGCCAAACCTTAAATTAATGAAGACTTGGCATACCACTTCTCAAAAGGTTGCCAACCCCTGATCTAAGGCCTAGCTCCACAGCATCTCATGCACTGTCCAAATCCCCACCTCAGTACAGACCGGAGTAGTTTATATGGGGAATTACGTAGGCACCATGTGAGGGATACTTGCAAAAACTTATAGTCCATACCTAAAAAGAAAAGGAGTACTTGTGGCACCTTAGAGACTAACCAATTTATTTGAGCATGAGCTTTCGTGAGCTACAGCTCACTTCATCAGATGCATACCGTTTCTGGTATGCATCTGATGAAGTGAGCTGTAGCTCACGAAAGCTCATGCTCAAATAAATTGGTTAGTCTCTAAGGTGCCACAAGTACTCCTTTTCTTTTTGCGAATACAGACTAACACGGCTGTTACTCTGAAACCAGTCCATACCTATAAACCCTAAACCTCACCCTGGAATACCTTAAACAGCTTCTGCTATGGAGGAGCTACAGAGCAGCCTGGGATATATTTAAGCATAGCACTATTTATGAATTAAGCCCCACCATGAGAATGACAAAAATTACAGAGGAAGAACACAGCCACCATGCAGAACTTTGAACACTAATGCCACTGATCCTTTTTCTCAGTTCCAATCCACTTCTAGAAACATGCAACAGTGTAATGTACAACTCCCATACGGGAAACTTATTAAAGTTTTGGAGGAGACCCAAATGAGCACGGTCTATACAGCAGAACAAGGCTGGTTTGTTGTTTCCACGCATACATTTGAACAGACAACTTGTTCTCCAGTTGGACTAAAGCACCTACTTCTTTGATAATCAAAACACTCATTGGTTTGGAAACCAAGACAAGAAAATTGTACAACCAGCTCCTCTACTCCTCCCACTTTGCCCCCATGAGATGTATTAATCTCACACTGGGCTGAGAAACCCATTTCATTATTTAATACCTCGGAAGCTATTGATGTGAAGCTGCTGCTGAAGTGTACATGCTTATGAACTTCACTCCCATTGGCTGTCAGAAGCCATTCCCCAAAGGCTCTCTCTTCATTAGTTGACTGGTTGCTATGGCTTTGATTAGCTGAGAGCTCTTCAAAGTCCCAGTGGTAGGGAGGTGTCGCCCCTACTAGCGCAATGAGGATTGCTTCAGTAGCTGCATAGAGCTGAAACAAAACAGACAACAATCAAAGATGTTGCTTTTTTGGTGTTGGGTTAGCATTTCATCCACAGAGATTTCAAGTCAGTTTTAAAATGCCCTTCCTGTCTTTTTAGATTCTCTTATGACTTCAAGATGCTTTGACTGGTCCCCAATATCTAACATCATATATTCCAGTATCATGATTCCAGACGAGTGGTTCACATGCTTTTAGAGCGTGGATCACTTATTGAGAAACCCTCTTTGTGGATACCTCCTTTCCCACCAACCTTAAGAACCCAGTGACAACTACAGGAAATACAGGGCTTGGATACATAAAAGAGTATTTAGAAGAGTATCAAGAAAACAAGATGAAAATGCATTTTAATGGAACTAGATTACATTCTTTTCCATCTCGTGATTTTATGTCTGTACTGTTCACTTTGTCCCCTTTGGGGGGACATTTTACTATTTGAACCACATATCCCCCTATTGCCTACAGCAGACACCCCCATCACCAATCAAATCTCTCCAGATCTCATTGCAGTTTGATTGTGTCCTCCTGTTTGCTACATTCCCAACACTGGTGTCTTCTACAAACCTGATCAATTGATTTATTTATATTAATACACACACACGCAACTGTCACACCCCAATGGCCCCCTCTTTCAAGGGGTCCCCTGGGAGAGGCAGATTAGCATTGTATATTGCTAATGCTGTTGCAAGCTTTGCAAACATTTTGGGAAGGGTCAAAGGTGTGAGTGTGGGGTGGAAGATTTCTTTGCAGGTTGCGAGAGGCCAGAGGGGGAAGGAAGAAGAGAGCAGAGCACGGGTTAAGTCGACACTACAGCTAGCTAGCTCAATTCGACAATACGACACTGGCCCCAACCCAAGGTCAGGCACTCGACAAGATCTCACTCAGCCCCAGCCAGCCATGAGAAAAGAAAAAGTAAACTGAATCAGGGCTGCAGAGATTGCAAACAGGTGAGACGACGGGTGGGGGCGAAGCGGAGTTTCATGTCCCTGGAGCCGGAGTGTTTTGGGAAAGCTGAGGCAGCCACAGAAAGTTGGTTTGGACTGGTACAAAAAGCACCAGAAACAGAGGTCGTTGAACGAAACGCCCCCAAAAGAACCCAGAACTTAAAAACCCTTTTAAGAGCCGAAGCGACCTGGAGATCAACAGTGGACCCTTGATGACCCAAGCACGGGACAAGAACTCCCGTCCACCCCACCCCCCCCTTCTTCTTACATTACACCTAGGCTTGGCCAGCCTCGGGTAGTGCAGGTGTGAGTATGAAAGTGGGTTAGGGCTTGGGGCACTAACGCTTTCTTCCTTCCTCGGTGATGTGGGGAACCCCCCCTCCTCCCAGCACTCTCCACTATTATTTTATCAATAAAGCTTTAAAACTTAGATGCTTGGTTTGCTCCTTCATCTCCTCCCCTAAAGATCCTGCGGCCTCAGCCTGATCACCTGATGCCTCAGGCAGATTGGTAACAAAAATCCGTCATACAACCTGACAAAGACGAGTCAGGGATCAGACAGACGCTTTTTATTTAGTCAAAAAGCCCACTGAAAATCCAAAGCACCCTAGTCTGGCCTACAGCAGGGAACATTGCTGCTTGAAGACTGAGGCTATGGCTACACTACAGAGCTTACAGTGGGGCAGCTGCACCAGTGTAGTGCTGCTAGTGCAGATGCTCCAAGCCAACAGGACAGAGATCTCCCATCAACTTAATTAATCCAGCCCCCGAGTGGTGGTAGCTATGTCAGTGAGAGAAGCTCTCCTGCTGACACAGCACTGTCCACACCGGTGCTTAGGTTGGTGTAACTTACGTCGCACAGGGGGGTGGCTATTCACACCCCTGAACGACATAACTTATACCGACGTAAGCTGTAGTGTGTACAATAGCGAGTTGTTTCCCCATTAACAAAGAAGATCCACAGAACACCAGTCTACAAATTCAAGGTGTCCAGACTCCAGGTTGAAAACTACTGTTCTAAGACTTTCTGTAAAAATGGAAATCCCCCAACTGGAAATCAGAAAAAATAAGGGAAGATTTTATAAAGTTGTTTGTGGCATTACCAGATATATCTCCTAGGTCTGCTGGATTGTGTGATCTTATTTAAACAAAACATCAAATAATGCTATCCTGGTCTAAACAACACTTGAGGATTCAAGGGTTCTTATAAGCCCAAAATACATTTATTACCAAGTTAACAGGCAGCACCCTTAAATTAGTAAAATATTTTGACACATTTGGTTTGGGGAATGGAAGCACAATACTCATTTTTCCTTTAAAAGAAATCTACTCCACAGAGCACTCAATCCAAAAATAGACAGATACAAGTGTCCAATGGGAAGAGATAGATATTTTGGTATGGAAAGATTTCAGCTGCAAGTTTTCTACAGATAACAGCATACACAGAGAAGAACAATTTTTAAAAGCCTATTTTTAAAAATGGTCACTTGGTCCTTTAAATTAAAAAAGTACATGAAATATTCGGGACATATCTTGCTGCTATTAAATATAGAACATATTTCTGCATTACAGCTTATTGGACTCACTGTTATAAGACTGTTTTAACCCAAAGCTCCTCAGAGCTTTTTTGCCAACAGCAATGTTGCCAACTCAATTTTGTCATAAGCCTGGAGACATTTAGTGTTTTCTCAAAGCCTTAGCTTCTGAAATTAAGTGAGAATCTCACCTTTCATTTAAAAACAGATCCTGGCCCTCATAGTTGTAGAGAAAAGCTTGAAAATATGACCTAGATCAACATCACAGGTAAAAAATCCAGAAGGCAAATAAAAGCCAAATTTATATTTTATCACAATTTGGGGGGATGTGATGTTACACAATCAGAACACTAATGTTTTACATTAATTTTGCAATGGGTAAATAATTCTGCAAGGTAGTAGAGAACCAGGCCTTTTATTTTCAATTTGGTATTCATTCTATTCAATAAAATAAGTCAAAATCATGCCATTTAGTTTACACTCTGCCTTATAGTCCTATAACATTTGAATTTGCTCCACACAATGATGGTATTGTTTCCACACAGACAAAGCACTGATTTATATTAATAGGTGACCATCAAAAGGGAAAAATAGCCATATGCCCTTTTTTCTTCTTTATGATGGATGCGGTAGGCTTCAAAGATGTAGTTTTTCTAATGTGCTTAACACAAAAAACAATCAAAATTCAGATCCTGTCTTGCCCAGAAAACTCTGATGACTAGCAAACCTGTGAAATTACATCACCATAAGAGTGAAGAAAGTGCAAGCTGACCAACTGAGAGGGTGTGACCCTGGGAGACCAGGTGCCAGCTCATGCCCAAGTACCCATGTCTCAACTGAACCCTGACAAATGCACAGTTGGAATCAGTCTGGCTCACTTGTGTGTTAGAATTGTTAAAATAGGCATTAGAATTAAAAGAATGTTCAGTATTTAGGCTTTATTGACTGCTTGGGCGTTGCTGTATGCAATAGTTTCATTTATAACACCTGAATCCCATATTGTAAGGTAATATTTGAGCCATTGCATTGTGGGCCTCTGTGACTGTAAGTCACCAGACAGGAAAGACATTAATTAGTGTGAAAGGCTGATCTTCAATAGAAGACATTATGTCCTTCCCAACAGGAAAGGTCCATTGACATCAGATGGACTATTGTGGGATCTTAAAGAGGACAAAAGACATTTGTTGTTCTGCTGTCTCCATCCACCTTCCCTGCCTGTGAAGATGAGTCATGCAAGTGGATTCCTCCTATCAGCTGAGTTTGCAGCTCAGAGCACATGGCAGCAGGGTGATTAAAACCCTGTATAAAAGGGATTAGGTATCTCTATTCTATTTGAACCAGTGGGGGGGGGGCACGGGGGGGAGGAGAGAGGGAGTGTTTCTAGGCATAAGCAAGAGATACCCAGCTGCTTAGGGATAGCCCTAAAAGAGATACAGAGTTTGCTGATTATAGAAGCTTTTATTACCTTTTGAAACCTACACAAATAAATTACAATCTTATCTACATGTACCTGCTTAAACCTTGTAAATAACTCCCAGGTGCATTTCCTTCATAATAAATCTTTATATAATTTATTATAGGACTGACTACAAGCATTGTCTTTGGTGTGAGAACTAAGTGCAACTGACCCGAGGTAGAGTGACAGGTCCTTTAAGACTGGGAGTAACCTCAATATTGCTGTGATTTTTGGTATAAGGGACCAATCCAAAAGGTAAGCTCACCTGGGTGGCAACATAGATTAGAATATGCAAGGGGCCTCTCTGACTCCATGCTAAGACTGTTATAGAATCTGAGGAATTTACACTTGATAACTGGTTGGTAAAATCTAACTATAGAATTCACAACCAATGTTGGGTTTGTGCCCTGGTTCCTAACAGTCAGTCCTGAGGTTGATATTGTCGCTCTTGAGCCACTTCAGGCAGCGTTACAGAGGGGAATAGATTTTTAGTCAGACTGTTTAAAACTAATCTGTTAAAGTTTTGAAGTTAATTTCCAAAATATTAATGTGTTAAGTCAATATCTAACAAAAATATCTCATCACCTCTGCTCCCGATACCAAGGTGTCTGTTCTCATCATAAAAAAAACTCCAAGACAACCTGGATATCCTCCAATAAAACAAAGAAAGACCAGAGTTGGCATTTCTAATACTACTGATGTAAAAGTGAACACTCACACACAAAACACATTCTAGAAAAAAAATTACACATTCTTTATCATATAGTAGTCAAAAAGAAGCAAGCACAATATTTTTGGGTTGTTTTAACAAGTCCTCTCTTGGTCACCTTTAAAGTTGTGGTTTTTGGTTTGTTTTTTTAAACCAATTATTAGAATTGGGGTGCTCACCACAGGGTGCAGCAGCAGCACCCTCTGTCTACTCATCCTCATTCTTGGTACCTGGGGGATGAAGGAGAAAGTTTCTCAGAGTATTGCTCCTAGATGGCCCAGGAAGCCTCTAACTTCCATGCTGGCATGGCACCTGGTAAATTTTTCAAGCACTGTGTGGTCCCTTTCCTGGGTGGAAGCAGATTTCATGATCTTATTGGTCAGTTTCCAGTTTGGAGCAAAAACCACCTACATGAAGTCAGGTATTTTCTTAGGCCTGGTCTACATTTAAACTTTTGCTCACATAGCTATGTTGGGTAGAGTTTCATTTCCCCCCTCTTCCTCCCCACTCATAAGCCCTAGTGTAGACTTAGGCCAGGTCTACAGTACAAACTTAGGTCGACAGAAGCCACCTAATAATGTATGCATCTATACTACCAGGTCATTTCTGATGACCTAACTTGCCTGTAATGTCAATTTAATTACTCCACCTCCATGAGAGGCATAGCACTTAATTAGATGTTGATGGGTCAACAGAGAGGCAGTGTACAAGCAGCATTGTGTAAGTTGATTGAATTGGCTTCCAGGAGGTGACCCTCAATACTCCACTGTGACCACTCTGGAGATCATTTTCTACTCTGCTGTAGAGCAGCCAGGTACACAGGAAACAGTTCCTCCCCTGTTAAAGCCCCGGGAAGTTTTGAATTCCCATTTCCTGTGTGATCAGCCTGGAGAGCTCGCCAGACCAGCTGATCATGGCAACTCAATGCCCCAAATGCACTCCAGCCTGAACTACACAGGAATCATAGAATAGGACTAGAAGAGACCTTGAGAGGTCATCTAGTCCAGTCCCCTGCACTCATGGCAGGACTAAGCATTATCCAGACCATCCTTGACAGGTGTTTGTCTAACCTTCTCTTAAAAATCTCCAATGACAGAGATTCCACAATCTCCCTAAGCAATTTATTCCAATGCTTAACCATCCTGACAGTTAGGAAGTTTTTCCTAATGTCCAACCTAAACCTCCCTTGCTGCAATTTAAGCCCATTATTTCTTGTCCTATCCCACCTGTCAATGCTTATTTCTCCATACCAGAAACGGCACTCCACCATGTTCAGCTGCTGCGTGACACTCCAGCAGCAACTGGGAACTGTTTCGTTCTATGGCTTGCAGCAGTGCTGCTTGAATGACATCACAATGTTACACACAGCGGCTCCTGTCTTGGCTCTGGAAATAACGCAGGATAAGGAGCGAGGCGTTTGTAATGCTCACAACAAGAGTGCACAGCTGAGCAGGGTCCATGCTTCTCAAGCTATGGCATATGCACAGTTAAGCCAGGCTTTCGAAAGAAGGTGCAAGAAAGTTGTTTGCTGTTGATATCAGGGGAGGGAGGGAGGACACTGCATCATGGGAGGCCAAAGCCATGTTCCCATTCCCCACTGCGACAATGTTTTTGTCCCATGAGGCATTGCAAACCCTTGCCCAAGCCCCCTGCAGCTACTTGCACCATGGGATAGATAGCCATGGTACAACTGCTCTGTGCATCAATGCAAGCGTTGCTAGTGAGGACACTCCACCAACAAGAGCATGGTGAGGACATTCACGACCGACTTAATTACTGTGGCAGCTGGATGTCGACTTAACTTTGTAGTATAGTTGTACCTTGAGTTATATCAGCAAAAAAAAGTCCTTTTGCTGACTTTTTTTTTTTGTTTGGTGTATACTATATTGGCAAAAGAACTCTTTTGCTGTTATAAGCTGCATCTATGCTAGGAGACTTGCCGATATAGCTAATACAGCCAGACAAACTGCAACACATGGAACTCCTTCTCACAGAAGCCTCAGGTCCACTCCTAGTTAATCTCAAAAAGCATGTGTCTTGGGCATCAATCTATTTCCAGGCAGTACCTGCCACCCAAACAAATCAAACTGATAAACATTCTCTGTGCCCCTTTTCCTCCCTCAGCCCCTGCCCTTTACATATGATAAACCCCTGGTCCTAGTCATAGGAAAGCCTTGAACCACAGCCTTGAGAGGTGCCCTACCCATTAGCCCCCCATTTGTGCAGCTCCTCTGCAATGCAAAGGAAGCTCAGAAAGTTGTAATGATGCAACAAATGACCCATACAATACCCCCAAAACCTAAAATTATTTCTATGAAGTGTTTCATCCTGGATGCTTTTACATCCATGACCCCTACCATTCCAGCCATTACCGCTTTTTACTGTAGCTGCATTTCATTAATTAAAAACACAGTAATCAGCCCTTATAATGAAGTATTGATGAATTTACATTAGATTTGAATGATATAGTCTCATACATTTGACTATTATTGTTGCCAAGAGATCCAGTCCAACTGTCTTTAAAAAGAAAGAAAACAAGAACACTTTCAACACTGCTTTGCTGCCACTTGAATTGCCTTATCAACAATTCACAAGCAGCCTCATTGTTGTCAGCAAATAATAGGTGAAACACGTACTGTCAAACACAATAAGTAACGAAACTTTGACCTTTCTAGTACAAAAAGATTAAATCTGCACCTTGGAGAAAGAGATGAATTTAGCAAAATGAAAAAAAATGGCATTGCTGCAGTAGGACTCAATGGCAGGGGATTGTGAAAGGTACCCAATTATTCCTCTTGGCAATGTGAGCATTATGGTGCTGAACCATCTTTCACAGAATAGATCACCCAGAGGCAGGAGACAAGGTAACATTGTAGATTTAAGACTAAAGGTATTTGAGATTTGGAAAATGAAGGTGTTGAACAGCAGCAAAGCATGCTCCACCTTCCTTGCCCTGAAAAGCATCAATAACTTCTAGCATTTAAGGCTGACCTTATGAGCTGATTTTAACAAAATAGAAGCTTGATTCATTTGGTTGTATAAAAGATTTGGAATGGCTGTGAAGAAGGGAAAAGATGAAGCTTTATACCAAAATTATCTCATGCAGTAGCTTGTGACTTGAAGGAATTTATATTCTGAAAATGTGCAGGTGTGAGAGAGAGAAGAGGGTTAATGAAAACAGTCATAACCCCCATAGTGTGTATGTGTGTGTGTATGTATATTAGATATATTTTAACAAACTCTCTTCAACCATAAAATAAACTGCATATATCAAGTACCTTTCACCCACTCCCTTGCACTTCGCTCATTATTCCCTCTGAGTCAGGACTAGTACCTTTCCACTAACTGCCTTAAAAAAATTAAAATATCACAGAAATTATAATTCCCCTACTATCCCTCCATCCCAATGCAAATTTGATCCAGACTCCTGCTCTACCTGGGGGGATTACTGACCCACATCCAGTCAGTCCTGCAACCAAAGATAGCTTAAAGGTTCAATATCTTTTAAATCAGTAGAGAAAGAAGCAGGTGCTTCAAGAAACTGGAGTCCAGCTTTTCCTATCTACAGGTACATCATGCTTTAAGGTCTGAATTTAAAGATAACTATTTTAAAGATTTTTTTAAAGAAATACTGTAAAAGACATAAAATATAGATATAAAGACATACATTTATGTGGCAAAGAATTTTAAACATTCGAAAGTCAGATTATAATTTCTATAACCACTGTCACTGGGCCACACTATATACACACACACACACACACACACAGAGCTGTGCAATTCCCACATAACTCTACCTGAGTTGTCCACACCCACACAGAGACAAAGGTGAAATCATTGTGTATTGAAGTTAGACTCAAAAGCATGACTAGTAATGCAGAATATTCCATCTGTGCAATGCAGCCAGGCTACAGCGAAGGAAGAAATCATCAATTTGGAGTATGCAAAATTCTAACCATCATAGTGAAGTGAGTTTTGCCATACAATTCTTGTTCGTTTTAAGGGGAGGGAAAAAAAGATGGAAGAGTTGAGTCTTCAAATTCCACTGAATTACAAGAAATGTGCAAGCATAAAAACACGCACCTCAATGCACGGGTCCCTCCCCCGCCGTCCTCCCCCGCCCCTCCCAGGCACAGGGCACCACCAGGACAGGCCCCCTCACTCGCCCCCCCAGGACAGGACACCCCCCCCCACAGACCTCCTTACCCGCGCCCCCGGGCACAGCGCCCCCAAACACCTCCTCACACCCCCCCAGGGCCCCACACCCGCCCCTCCCCACAGGCCCCCCCCAGACCCCCGCACGAGGCGCCGGGCCGGGCCCCACCTGCAGCAGCACGGCCAGCAGCGCGCACAGATACACCTGGTAGGGCCCCATCTGCCCCACCAGCGCGAAGGCCTCCTCCACCTCCATGCCGGGCCGGGCCCGCCCCCTCGCACGCCCAGCAGTAGCACCGGGGGGCCCGGCCAGCCCCTGCGCCAAGGCCGCAGGCAGCGCATCCCCGGCCGGGCGGGAAGCAGCCAGCGGCTCTGTTAAAGCAACTGACACGACGGCTCGCTGCCGGGAGACACGATGCGCATGCGCGTCCTCCCGGGGTGGGAGAAGAGAGCGAGAGAAACCGTGGACGCATGCGCAACTTAGCGGGAAAGGAACACGGGCAACATGCAATAGAGGAACTCGACGAGACGGCGCATGCGCAGTGCGGCCCTTCTCGGACCCTTATTGGGATCCAGGAAGTGGGCGGGCACCTTTGCGGCCGTTGATAAGGAAGGGGCGGGGCTCGAGGGGTACAAGGGCGGGGCGAGAGTAGAAGTGGGCGGGGCAGGGTGAGTGGCAGAGTTCGAGCCGGCCCGAGCGCTCAGGAGGGGAGTGAGGGCCAGGTCCCCTGGCCTCTTGGGCGTCGCGGCGAGCGGGCTGGCTACTGGGGGTGCCGCGCTGTGCATGCAAAGTGCAGCCTAGCACCCAGCTTCAGAGGCTGCCTTCCGGGGCAGGGGTCGTCTATGAAGGAGTTACTCTGAACGTGCTGGACTAGTTCTGCACCTAGGCTTCCAGGAAAAAACATCAGCTTTGTCTGAAGACCACAGAGAACTATCAGCCCCAAAGCAGCGTGTTGGGATACCGTAACGACCGGGCTCGTGTTTGCCTATCCCACTGCTCTGGCAACAGAATTACGAGCCCGTCTCAGGGCCTGCGCTGCAGGCACTGGGTTTAAGTATTTACTTAGCTCAAACAGTGAGACAGATCCAACTTTTGTAGCAGGAGGACCTGAGTTGTATCCTCAGCGTTGCCCCAAAGTTGAGGACGTTCTCTGCCTAGTGTGCTGCATCAAGGAAACCACAAATGGTCAGAGACCGTGAATTTATTACAGTATATTTTCCCTTGATCTTCACAAGAAAACTCCCAAGAACATGAGGATACCAAAGTTTTAGCGTTTGTTATTCCATGAGACTTTTTTCCTGTGGTAGCAACAGCAGCTTCCACTTGGCAGCTTATGTAGCCAAGGTGGACATGCAACCAGGCCCTCACCCCGTTATGGCCAGGCCTTTTGCCTCCCTCTCTCCCCCTGTGCACTCTGGTCAAAACCTAATGAATTTTTGAGAGAAAAAAACCCTATTAATTTAGGTGAAGACTGGAAAAGCAGAAAAACCTTACTTCCACTAAAATCAGGCTTTTCCTGTTTTTTTTTTTTTGGCTGTTACAATAATCAGGGGGTTCTGACCAGAGTGCATTTGTATAGTGAGAAGTGGGGGTAAGGAGCCTTCTTAGAGTAGGCTAGTCAGAATAGGGTGAGGGACCCACTAACCCATGCTCTCACCGTTACCCAAATCCTAAACTCACTGCCTCACCCCTAAATCTGGAGTGACTCCGGTCCCTTCCAATAGACCTGTGTGAGGTCTTGCACTCCAGTCTAAAGGAGTGGTTGTGGAGAGCACTTCAGCAGCATGCAGAAGTATGGATATCTACTGCTACTTCCAATTCCTACTGCTCATGACATTTCCACTATGAGCAAAAAGAAATAGAGAGGTTGGGCAGACCATAATATGATTGCCCCCCTCTTGTTTCTTGCATGCTTTGATCAGCAATGGAATAGTTAAAATATTAACTTTTAAAATGCCACTATTACATTTCTTAGTGAACCCCCCACTGAGTTAACTGGCAACAGTTTACACTTACGATTACATCTGGTTCATATTTTGAAACTTATCTTCACAACCATAATGGCTAGAGACTTTTTTTTTTTTAACTGAAAGCTTCGCCTCAGGACTGTAAGGAGGCAGCCACTGAGGAATAATACCAGCTCGCCATGCTACCACAAACTGGCAAAAATTAATTAGCCTGCACACAAAACCCTTTACCAACAGAAAGACCAATAGACCCTCATTTCTGGCTTATTAGGAAAATTGTCCCAGAAGAAAAATGTACAGTGCTGGCAGCTAACCATAAATTCCCATATGAACACCCAACTGTAGCCCTTATTCATGTGAGCAATCCATTGAACTCACTAGCATAACTCCCATGAGGAAAGGCTGTAAGCTCAGACCTCAGTCCCATAAATTACTAGATATGCACATATGGATCTAACTTGCCAGATGCATTTTCCAAGTTCACCTCTCTAAGAAAATAGGTTAAACCACCTTATTAAAGCTGGGAGACCATTCCAACCCATCAGAATTTTGGTTCCCAGTTTACAATATCTATTCTAAATAGCTCTGAGGTCCCTCTCTTAGGAGAAAAACAGTGCTGGAGTTCTTTTGGCTTCCTTGTAGTACATGTTCCGCAGCAGCATGACATCAGCAGTCTGGAATGTCATCAGTGAGGTGGTAAAGATACCTGTCATGGTACTTTCCTTTGCTGGCTTTCTCTTACTGTACATGAAAGTTTTCTAACCAGACTAATCATCTGCATTGCAGCAGGCTTACCCCACAATGCTAAGGAAGCCTAGCATATGGCTAATTACTGTTTTCCAAACAATCCACTAAGGCCTTTTTGTTTCTCTAATGTACCATTTGCATTTTTTGCAGACAGTGAAACAAACCATTCCTTTGGAGGTGCTTTTCAATTTTAAATGAGGATCTAAGAAGATAAATTTCTGGCTGGAATTTGAATGATGTTACAGCCTGGCCCAGCCCTCGTTTCTGGACTAACACCAGTCTTGTAAATGGACCCAAATCCTGGACTCACATGTTTCTAAGCCAGCCTTCCAGATCTGGATAGTGACTGGGAAGTCACTGTTCCTAGCTCTGGGTCTCTTGGGCACACACCCAGGTGCAGACTCATGTCTGACACCCCTCTTGGGCAGTGTAACTACGTAGTCAATCCAATTTAGGATACGTCTACACAACAACTAGATACCTGTGGATGACACGGAAGTTAACACAGCAATGAAACAGCCCCGCAGCCCGAGCCCCCGCAAGCCTGAGTTGACTGGCAAGGGCCAGCCATGGGTGTCTTGCTGCTGTGTAGACTCACCATTAGACCATGGAACCAGTGTCCCAGCCTTCCTGAGGCCCCCCTCCCCCCCAGTGGCTTAGATACATTTCCCCAGAGTCCAGTTGGCTGTGGGAGCTCTAGTTCCTCAATTAACACTTTCAGTGACAGCATGGCAGGTAAGCAAGGAATACAGGCTTAGCAAAGCAAGTTCTTACCCACAGATACTTTTTCTCATAATAAAATACATTAAAGAGTTCCATATCTTTGAAGATCAGCAGACAGCCCTAAAATGCATGTTGGTCTCACCTAAAGGCTTACCATCCCCTGATGCTAACCTAAGCAGGACTAGCTTCTTCAGACACCCCTCCTGTCTATCACAGGCCATTACTCCACTCAGCCATCTGCACACTAAACCCAACAACTGGAATTAAACCAAAATAGTGCAGCCCTCAGGGGTCTTAACTATTGTGTGTCATAGGCAGAGAACAGGAGGGACTGAGATGCACCAGTGCCTGAGGAACTGATTGAGACATACCCAGATGATACTCTGACTGTGGTCTGCGGACATATCCTAAGGCTACCAATGGCTAATCCTCTCAACCTCCCCACAACAGCCTAGTGGTGGAAGATTCTACTCCATTGGACACTCTTATCATATGGTGCCCCCAGCTGAGGAACAGAGACACAGGGACTTCTTCAGAAGCAGGGTTCAGAAGCTGTACACAGCTTGCAGTAGAGCATTTCTCTATCTAATCCATGTACATCTTGGAGGATCTCCCTGTCGGAGGAAGTCTATGAGCCTGTAATCCCCAAGGACCCATGGTTATCTCAGATAAAAAGGGCTAACAGCATTATATAGAGGGACTACAAAATCATCTTCAGGAGAAGGCTCTCATTTTACAGTATCAGGAAGAGACTACACAAAATCCAATCCCTCCTGGCAAAGAAAGCCAATTGATCCTGCACCACTGGAAAAAGAGGGAAGAGATTTTCAGGTGATTCCTGATACCCAAGAAAACAGGAAGCTTCACTCCTTTTTGGATCTCAGCAATCTCAGTTTTTATGTAATGAAAGAAAAGTTCAAAAACTTTTCTCATGCACCTCATAGAAAGCAACTGGCTGTGCTCTGGAAATCATGGACACTCCTATGTCCTCAAGGGTATGTTTCAACCACCCAAGGTATTATTTATGATTACAGTAATTATCATTATTATTACTGGAGTGTTCGGAGGATCAAGGTCCAAAAGTGTAGGATGTTCTACAAACAGAACTCTTGCCCTGAAGAGTTTACAAGCAAATTTAAGACATGAATCAACAAGAGGAATGTGGGAGAGAGAACATAAGAACAGCCATACTGGGTCAGACCAAAGGTCCATCTAACCCAGTATCCTGTCTTCCGACAGTGGCCAATGCCAGGTGCCCCAGAGGGAATGAACTGAACAGGTAAATCATCAGGTGATCCATCCCCTGTCACCCATGCCCAGCTTCTGGTAAACAGAGGCTAGGGACACCAGAGGACAAGGAAAACAGTGACATGAAACACATGGGTACATAGACTACTTGTATGCACTGTTAGATTGTTTTGACTCAATTGATTTTATTATTTATGATCAATGTTACAACATAAATAAGTAAATGAGATGAATATAAGAAGTCCCTACTGGCCCTCTGCCTAGTTGATATCACCTGGTAGTTTTCCATAAGCATCAGGGCAGCAGTGGGTTGGAAAGGATTTGAATAAGAACAGGGTAGTGGTTTTATAACTAGTTCAGGGAGAGCACAAGAGGAAACACAGAAGGAAATGTGCAGGAGAACAAACACCCATTGCTGACATCATCAATGGAGCAAAGGGCAAGAGAGGATAAAGTGGGTTGTGAAGGGCCTTAAAGGTAAGGGCAGAAAGCTTGTATTTGATGTAGTGAAGAAGTGGGAGCCAACAGAGAGATTCAAAATGTAGATGGGTATAGGGATGACATGTTTAGCGCAATGGGCTGGAGAAATGACCTTCTGTACAAAACACAACTTCAAGAGACCTTCACATTCAATTGGGATTGCGGACAATTTGCAAACCACTCTAAAGTAGTGGCAATTCAGTCTGGGTCAGAATTTCTACCTGGCCCCATTTCTACAATTGGTCTCTCCAGAATTTTGGAGAAGTTAAGATCTG